AGCATTGCTGTCCAGGTTTCTATTCCCCATGAATTCAGTTGTGGGTTTTTTTTTTTTTTTTTTTTTTTTCAAATACAGCAGAATAAGCCTATAATAAAAATATATAGGCCCCAAAGGAATACCTACATATGCCTTTACACACACATTTTTATAACCAAATTTTATACTGAAACAGAATATAACCAGAAATGATCACCAGAATTGGGTTGAACTTAGTCAATCATCTAGGAATAGTGGCAGCCCATTTAAGGAGGGGTCAGTGTGAATGACTGCAGTCAGATGTTAGGTAACTTGTATGGCAAATTAGCCTTTCTTCAGAGTGCCCTTGCTGTGCGAGTTAAACTCATTGAGTCCAAGCTGGTAAGATCTGTAAAGCTGTAAAGCAGAGGAAATTTGCTTCAGCCTCCCCTCGACTGTGTAGACATAACCCACATTGTGGCTTCTATTTTGCCCCTTAAAGAGGTGTTCTCTCAGACTTCTTTCAGTGTCTGTTTGTGAGATGGGAAGGAGCAGGGCTGGTGTAATTTATCTTGAAGAGTTGTGTAGTGGTTGGCTGCAATTGTGTATCCTTTTTTGTGTGCTTGATCTGTGTGTTATGTGTTACAGTTATGCCCAGTGCAGTGGGACTGCTGATAAAATTGTACCTGTACCTCTTCCCAGAACTTAAAAGTCCAGATGAAGGACTTTGAAGCAACTGCTGAGCCTCTGCAGGAGTGGCTGACCACAACTGAGAGGATAGTGCAAGGAAGCAGCAGTCGGCTCCATGATCTTCCTTCCAAGAGGAGAGAACAGCAAAAGTTGCAGGTGACCTCTTATAACCCTTTTTACCACATCCAGGCCTTCCTGTCCCATCCTCCTGGCCTCATTGATTTCTTACAAAAGCTTGATCATTCTAGCATCCTGACCTCTAAATAAGATGAGAACTGTTTTCAAGGATTGCTCTTCATGATCCTGTTTCATCAGGTTCTGCATCTCCACATTTCTTAGGACATTCTGCTTCACTTCTGTAGCTGTATGGTGTGCCTGTCTCAGCAAGCTTGCCATATGTCACTTCTATTTTTCGTGGGGCCTTCATGCTTCTCTCTTTCCTCCGTTCTTGCACCCACTCTTACTATTAACGTGCTTGTGCTTTACAGTCTGTCCTTGAGGAAATAAGCTGCCACGAGCATCAGCTCAACAGGCTAAAAGAGAAAGCTCAGCAGCTGTGGGAAGAGCAAGCTGTCAGCAAAAGCTTTATGCGCAGAGTGTCTCAGTTGTCTTCTCAGTATCTTACTCTAAGCAATCTGACAAAGGTAATGCATTCCTTGTATGTGCTTTTAAGCAGCTCATTTGATGTATGTGGGGGAAAGAGACTGAAATGTGAAGCACTGCAGTTGTCTTGCTTGTCTGCTCTGTGGTACGTCTCAGCTATCTTGTTTTTCACACTGGCTTTAGAAAGTCGAAAGTAAGGACCTGGATAGTTCCATGGAGCGTCAACAAAATGGAATTGTGATTTTTTTTTTATATATATTTCTTTTTTAAATGTGTTTTGATTAAAAAATAAACCCCACCGGATTATTCAGTAATCAGGTTTGATTTTGATAATTTTGAGTATTGAGGATATTTATTTTTGTAATAAGTGGCACATGAAAGAAGTATTTTTTCAAAACTTAGGGGAATTATTTTTGTTAGAAAATACAGAATACAGAGAAGTTACTACTTTCTTGCATCCTACAATACTGATTAATTATTTGCATTGTCAGCGTCTTAACCTAAACTAAAAAAATTACCTCTTAGGCTGCTTTTGAAGGTTGAAGGGGAGGCATAGGCCATTCTCTGAAGCATCAGGCTAAGAAATAAGAGTTCAACCTAACTCTTTAATTGAGTGATGCTTGACTTGCTTCACCATTTCATAGTTCTACTATCTCTATTGTGTAAACAGATAAGACGGGCATTCATATTAGGACTGTTAATTTTCACAAAGTTCCAGTCGTGAAGGAGGCTTGATATTGAATTAGGCATATAGTTAACTACAGTAATGAGAATAATTAAGGATTTTGGAAGCGCATTATAGGATAAAAATTCAATTTAGAAAGTATTTATGTTTGGGTAGTTGCTAGGTTTTTAATGTCTAATTTTTCTGTGGAAATAAAAATGATAAAGAATGTCTAGAGCTGTATGACTTACTGGAAGTGATTGTATACATGGCCATAATAAGTTTTCATTACTGCAAAATGAGGAAGGGAAAGATGCATTAGTTACTAACATTGGCTTATGTGAACAGAACTTGTAGGAGATGTCAGGATGAGAAGAGGGAATCTGAGGCAGAGGATACATAGGATCCAGCCTATGGCAGAAATCCTGAAATTCTTTAGATAGCCATGGATGCTTGAGAAAGATCCCTGTCTGTAACTTCGTAAGCCTGTTTCACTGGCTTGACTTTGGTTCTATGTCACCATGTGAAACACACTCTGTTCCTGTTCACCTCAGACCTTTCAACAATGTAACTCGAGCATGAGTGTCAGTAATTTTTTCAGAATGATGGCTATACCAGCGGGAGTCATTGAGGAAAACAGGCCTTTCTTTTCCAACTATTAACAAAGTAATGTTGTTTCAGTGGCATAGTTTCACAAGCTTAAATCTGTCTTGTGCATTGGCAGATTTCACAAGTTACCTTCAGTTGCAACACTGAAGTGGAGTTTAGGTGTGAATTACCAGATGTTTGAGAAAAAGTGAAACTAGAAAACTCTCATCTACTTTGGATCAGAGGAGACAATTAGATGAAGCTTTACATTTAGAAAACAAACGAAAGGCATCTCTGAAATTTTCACTTGCATATTATATATGGACAACTTTGTGTATGTGTGTGTGTGTAAACGAAAGGCATCTCTGAAATTTTCACTTGTATATTATATATGGACAACTTCTTGTGTGTGTGTGTGCGTATGCAAAATTCATTCCATGCTCCAGTAAGTGTACTTGTAATTATCAATGTATGAGGAAAATTTCTGACTGTAGTTTATGAAACACCTTCTAAAAATCCATAAGTAGGTATGAGGAATAAGCAATCCTTTGAATGGCTATTGGTGCTAATTGCTGTATAAATTGCAGGAGAAAGTTTCCAGAATGGATAGGGTCGTAGCGGAGCACCAGCAGTTCTCACACAGTGTCAAGGACCTCCAGGACTGGGTGGCTGATGCAGTTCACATGCTGGATTCCTACTGTCATCCCACGGCAGACAAGAGTGTTCTGGACAGCCGGATGTTAAAGCTAGAGGTATGGAAACAATAGACTCCAAAACTTGCTCTTTTTAGATCTGTAAGAAGATTGCAAATATAGGATACTTTACATTAGTTGTTGCCGTTCAGACATTGATTTTTAATTTACTCAAAAATAGCTCTATTTATAGATGAAAGAGGTCATTAGAAGTTTTCTCTGAGAAGGATATAGGGATCTTTTTAGATCTGTAAGAAGATTGCAAATACAGGATACTTTACATTAGTTGTTGTCGTTCAGACATTGATTTTTCAATTTACTCAAAAATAACTCTATTTACAGATGAAAGAGGCCATTAGAAGTTTTCTCTAAGAAGGATATAGGGGCCTTTATGACATGAAAAACTGCATATATGCAAATTCTTAAAAAAACTCAAAAGATGTTGTGTGGTTGCTGAAGGTTAAATGAAAGAAGTAGGATATTCACTTCTGTTAGTTTAATATATAATGTCCTAGATCTTAGAAGCGATATGAATGATTCAAAACAGCTTTTCCTGTAGCTGTTTGCTTTAAAAATGGTGACTACAGTAAGAAAATAGCATCTATTGATATTACTGCACAAAAGATGTTGAATGGCAGTGCTCAGAAAACTATACTTTTCATATTATTGATGTCTCAATTTTTGAGCCAAAATACAGACAAGTCCTCAAAATTATAAGGATACATGAAATACTAAGAGTCTGTGGCAAAATACCAAAATTATATTTTGCCTTTTGTTTGCTGAGTCTTTCAGGTTCCTGCTTTCAGGCTTTTCATGACTTTGTTTATTGTTAGAAGCTGTTAGTTTGCAGCTGTACAGCTCCAGGAGCTGAAGTCTCTATGCCGACGTTTCTGATAGTCTACTGAGTTTATGTGTTGGTACCTTTGTGTTGCAAAACGATCCTAGAGGTGTAGAACTGTATTTCAGGCCCATAGAACAGCTTTGTCATAACCTCTTCTTTTCTTTATGAATGAATCATCTTGTGGTACCTTTGTGTTACAAAAAGATCCTAGAGGTGTAGAACTGTATTTCAACCCTGTAGAACAGCTTTGTCATCACTTCTTGTTTTCTCTATGAATGAATCATCTTGCTTTCCATTTAAATGACATTCCCTTTGGAATGTCAGCTTTTCCAACCAACAGTACCTTCTCCACTGCACTGTAAGTACCTGCACAGATTCCATGAAAACTTCCCTGGCAACTAATTATTTTTGTTTTTAATGATCTAGACCTACCCTTTGAAAGTAATTTTTTTCTTTGTGAAGCCCAGCTGTGAACCCCACTGTCCCTCTTCCAATTGACCATTTGTATGAGCTGCTAAATTTGATCAGCTTATTTTCCAGTAAAGCCAGTTAGTATGTTCTTGACCAGTTAATGATAAAAGTAGAATAATATCTGCTAACTTTTTAGGCACTGCTAGCAGTGAAACAAGAAAAAGAAATCCAAATGAAAATGGTTCTGACAAGAGGGGAATCTGTTCTGCAAAATACTTCTCTGGAGGGACTACCAGTGATTGAACGGCAGTTGCAAAGCCTGAAGGACAACTGGGCTTCTCTTCTGTCTGCTTGTATCCAGTGCAAGAGGTAAACAGGGTATGAGGTACAGAATGATGCTTAGCAATAAAGCACTGTCAAAATTTTTGAAAATTTAATTCCCAGGGTTTTATTATTACAAGAGTCAAAGTCATATAAAATGACTGCATATATGAATTCACATAAAGTGACTGCATATGCCTAACATTGCAGGTCTAGAGGCCTTAAGCAATGTATTCAGTTGAAATAGTAAGAGGGGAGGAAACTGTGAGGGACCTAAGCTTTGTTAACACTTATTGTCAATATATTCTTAAAAGTGGGTTCCAGGTTCGTAATCTTATTGTAAATTCTACTTTGAGTTGCACTGGATGCATTGAATTGTTCTCAGAAATGAGAATATCTTGTCACAGACATTAATGATTCCTCTGTGAAGATCCTGTGTCGTTTTCCACTTGGTAGCGTTTCACAAAAGGTACTGTAATTACAGTGTCCTGTAGTGATTCTCAGAGTGATAGAATGAAGAAATACAAACAAAAAAATGTAGTCTTCTTTGGTGCAGCATCACTAGTTGCGAATTTCAATTAAAACAACAAACGTAATTAAACATTAGAATGCAGCAACTTTTGAAGGTATGCAAAGGGACAGAAAATTTGTGATTCTGGATCTTACGCTTTCAGTTGCATTTTTTTTTACTAGAGCTAGAACATGTCAGCTAGCTACACAATTTACAGACCTCCTTACTATTCCAAGTTGGGAAAACTTAATTTATTTCAATCAGCCAAACAGTGCTCCTAGTTGAAACCTGTAGGTTTTTAACAGCTGTCTCAGACTGCTTAACTTGTGATATATCTTTCTTATAAATATAGTCTAGAATAACTGTATATGACTATGTGCTACTGCTTAAATAGCATGACAACCTCTGCTATCACAATAACTATGTATTTTTAAATTACAGCCAACTGGAAGGAGCTCTGTCCAAATGGACAAGTTACCAGGATGATGTACGTCAGTTTTCCAGCTGGATGGATAAAGTAGAAGCAAGTATGAATGCTTCTGAAAGGCAGTATCCTGAACTGAGAGAAAAAACATCTGCCCTCAGCAAAGCAAAGGTGTGTTTGCTTCACAACAAACCAGCAACAAGACCATATCACCTCATAAGCAACAAAAAAGATTAATAACTGAAAGATTAATCTGTGGTCTTTTTTTTTTTTTTAATGCTGCTCATTCATAAATGTGTTTTTCTCTTTCTGTTTTGCAGCTACTCAGTGAAGAGGTACTGAGTCACAGCAGCCTGTTGGAGACGATTGAAGTGAAAGGCAGTGGGATGGCTGAGCATTATGTCACTCAGCTTGAACTCCAGGACCTTCAGGAGCGGTATAAATTCCTCAAAGACAGAACGAGGGTACAGTTTTTCTTGATACTACTCCCTCTTGTTTTGTGGGTGACAAGGAAAAAGAGAAAGTCTTTTCATTAATCATTTATTTTACAGTTAGTTGAGGAGTAAAAGATTTGGGACAGCTATAATAATGTAACAGAAAGTTATTAGGGTGATTTATCAATCTTTCTTCCTGGACCACTGAGCTTCAGATCGTTTCAGAAGGGTTCTAAAAATCTGAATCTGAAAAAATCATCAGGTGAATAGTCTGAGGAATTCTATGTAAAAAGTCTTACTGACTTCAGCATAGATATGGTTTTACCTGTTGTGACTGAAAAGTTGGAAGCAGCTCTGAATCTGTGATTTGCATAAGTGTATGTTTTGCAGTAAATGCAACCTGTCAATCAGGTAGTTCACAAATTGCGGACAACTATATTGAACACAAATATTATTAGCAAGTAAACTGACTCTAATGTCAAAAGACACAGAAAAAATTACTACATTTACCGATAAGTGTTAGTACCATAAATCTGGAAGTATTCCTTTTAGCACAGGGATCATCTAACCTTTACCATTTTCTCTTGCACAAAGCTATACAAACTGCCTGAATTTGCTCAGTTTGAGCAACAGAGTAGGAACAATGAGGAGTGGATGGTATTTCAGAGGCAAGAGCTCTGTACCTCCTCCTTCATGTAGCAAGAAACATCCCTTCTTTCTTTTCCCACCTAATATTCCAGATGACTTTGATCTTCCCAACTCCCAACTGTGGTGATGATGTTAAGTGTCAAGAGTATATTCAACCTTTAGGAAGAAATTAAAAGTTCAAAGCAAATAGCTGGAAAGTAAAGAATGGTAAAATCCTTTAATAATTCTTTGGCCAGATGGGAAATCTGTCAAGATTTCCCAATGGTTACTAGCCCAGGGCTGAGCAGACCAAGACCTGCAATTCCTTGCAGCCATTGTCAAGAGGCAAGAGAACTATTCTTTCTTTCCCTCTTCCCACTGCTAGGCATGGACAGGCCCTGTAAAAGATCAATAACATTCCTCTTTTCTTCCTTCCTCCCACTATTCAGAGCTGTTAGAAATAGGAAAGCAGAGAGTAGGTTCACAGCTGCTTTATGAAAGTGTTTTTCTTCTTATGTAGCCAGCTGCTCTGGGATACAGCTTTTCTTGCCTCCATCCAAACTCAATTGCCTATTCCCATAATTTCTTATAGGATGGGAATTATGTGTATACTTTTCTTGTGCTTAGAAAGACTAGTCTAATGCTAATATATGACACCTTTCCTGCTGTATTCCAGATATGGTAGTATTTTAGTGCTGGGTTGTGAAATTATTGTAACTTGCTCACCCACATACAAAGATGACTTGCCTTCTGTTCCTCACTGTGCTCTGTAGGAACTGCTCACAAAGGACTGGAGCAGTCTTCAAACCTAAAGATATCAGATACCCGTAATAGAATATTATTATTCCATTGGCAAAAGAAAATACAAAAGGCCATTTCTAATCTTATACTCTTATTAATCGCTTCAGTAAAGTGAATTTAAATTGATATAGAAATTAAGTCTTTTGTTATTAGATAATAAGGTGTTTAAAATTCATCCAAGGTCAAAACTTCAAATCTTTAGGATAAGTATGTGCATCCTGACATTTGCCTCCTCTTTATTCATCAAACCATCCTCAGAATCCAAGTACTCTGAATTCTAGGAAAGCTCAGCATCAGATATAAACTTTTCACCTTAATGAAAGTCCGTGTTTTATGTTTTCTTGGTTTGATGATATACTAAGATATATATATGTATGTAAATATTTTAACAAGCAGGAGGCAGTAACAAAAGCTGAAGGACTGCTTAACTTACATCAAGAGTACCAAAGAAATCTGAAGACCTTTGAAGTATGGCTGGAGAAGGAACAAGAAAAACTTGACTGTTTATCACATCTTGATGGTGATACCCAGAAACAGGAGGCAACACTCCGAGATTTACAGGTACATAATGTGTGACACTAAGCAAAAAAAAAATAATAATAATCCTATTAATAAAATAACAGAATAAAAATTGTGTCTCTTTTTTGTCAAGAACAGCTTGGAATCACATTATATGTGTCTGCTTGCCACATCTGGAAAGTTTTGAATTTAAACCTGTGCTAAATGGATTGTATCTGTCCCATGCCAATTCAGGCAGCTAATGCTTCAGAACTGATGATAAACTTAGAAGGAGGGGAAAAAAATTAGTGCATGCTTTGTCAATAATTTTCTACAATTCACTTGCCAACAATAGTGAAATTCGATTTACAAGTCAGCATGCCGTCATACGTGTTCTTAGAGATAGTGTAATATGTGTTCAACCATAGATAACTAAAGGGAATATCTAGGCAACATGAGGTAACTGTTTTTGTGTTAAGGAGAACCAGGGCTTTGTTTTTCATCTGTGAATGAAAGCTCTTAATGTAAGTTATGTATCCATAACTCTGCCTTTCCAGGAGCTGCAGGTCCACTGTGCAGAAGGACAAGCATTATTGAATGCTGCTGTCCATGCCAGAGAGGAGGTGATTCCCTGGGGCATTCCTCAGATAGAAGACAGAGCCCTGGAATCCTTACGGCAGGATTGGCAAGTTTATCAGCACAGACTTTCTGAAGCAAGAAGCCAATTAAATGCCACTGTGAGCAGGCTGAGGTTAATGGAGAAAAAATTTCAGAAGGTTAATGAGTGGCTGACAGATCTGGAGGAGAAAGTTGCTATCAGGACTGGGAGGCAGTCTGGCAGAGAAACAAAGGAGGTGCAGCTTCAACAAATGAAGGTAAGAGTATAGTTAAGGCATTCCTTCAGAAAAGTATCATTTGAAGTTTCCATATCAGTTCCTGGTTGCACTGTAAAAATGACAGGAAGAATTGGAATTTATTCTGAGATGGTGCCTACAACGGTGGAAGCAAGAGGGATTCTACATACAGGTTCCTCCCATTTTACTGGTAAGGGTATCGGCAGGATTGGCAAGTTTATCAGCACAGACTTTCTGAAGCAAGAAGCCAATTAAATGCCACTGTGAGCAGGCTGAGGTTAATGGAGAAAAAATTTCAGAAGGTTAATGAGTGGCTGACAGATCTGGAGGAGAAAGTTGCTATCAGGACTGGGAGGCAGTCTGGCAGAGAAACAAAGGAGGTGCAGCTTCAACAAATGAAGGTAAGAGTATAGTTAAGGCATTCCTTCAGAAAAGTATCATTTGAAGTTTCCATATCAGTTCCTGGTTGCACTGTAAAAATGACAGGAAGAATTGGAATTTATTCTGAGATGGTGCCTACAACGGTGGAAGCAAGAGGGATTCTACATACAGGTTCCTCCCATTTTACTGGTAAGGGTATGGCTATACCAATGTTGAAATCACATAGGGATATCTAGAATTCATTAGGGATATCTAGAATTCATATGCTCTGTGGTACATGAAGGCATAACTGAGGAAAAAGATTGGTCCTGGAGTGGGAATGTATTAGTGTTGTAACAAGAGTAAAGTGTGACCAACAAGAGTAAAGTGTGTTGGAGGTCTCTGCTGTGTTGATGTAATAATACTCCTTTAGTCACTGCAAAGAGCACATGTAACAAGAGTAAAGTGTGTTGGAGGTCTCTGCTGTATTGATGTAATAATACTCCTTTAGTCACTGCAAAGAGAACATATGGGTCTGAATAACCAAAGGAAGAAGATTTTAAGAGATTCTGTGTTATGCTTCACAGTCACCTGTAAAACTTCTGGCAAATTCTATAAGAAATATGGGTCTGAATAACCAAAGGAAGAAGATCTGAAGAGATTCTGTGTTAGGCTTTACAGTCACCTGTAAAACTTCAGGCAAATTCTATAAGAAATCCAGGTTGCATTTCTATTATTATTTGGGGGGAAAAAATTGAATCTATTGTAATGAAATGCAGTCCATATGGTATGATAAATTTTCTAGCATATTCGTTACTTTATCCTTCATCAGATTCTGGTTTGCTTTCCTGTTTTAAATCCGTGTTTACAACCATGTATTTGTTTTCCTTTTCAATGGTTTCCTGAGAGTTACAAATAAATTCCTGTTGTGTTTAAGATGTTTGAATCAGTCATATAAACAGAATAATGTCTTTGTCATAGAAGTGGCATGAAGAAATTACAATCTACAAAGATGATGTGGAGGAGGTTGGGGTATTGGCTCAGCAAATACTAGAGGAAAGTCTCACTGCAAGTACAATGGGAAGCCAGGCTACGCAGCTTACATCTCGCTACCAAACTATTCTTCTTCATGTCTTGGTAAGTAATGAAAATTAATTCATTATAACACCATAAATTGTTGATTAAGAAGCATATATAAACAGACTTTCTTAATTAGACTTTATCAGAGTTTATTCATTACTCTGATATATAACATAATATTCACATATATATTCATATATATACTTATATATGGATTTTCATTGGTATAACAGAACCATAATCAGGATAGTGCCCTTTCAAAAATACTCAGTATTATTCGGATGTTGTTACTCTGTTTTTTGGCAGTTTCAGGGGAGAAATTCAGAATTCAGCATGTTTGAATGCTGAACAACCTCTAGACAAATGTTTTCAGATTATCACTGAAACACAAAGTTGCAGGAAAAATTTTAATTGATAAGTTACAGTCTTCAGTTCACTTTAAGTAATGCGTCTTACAGGACTGTAATACAAGTCACAATTCAAATTTCAAAATATAAGTACATTTTCAGTGTTTAGCATTAGCTCAGTTTTAACAATAGTGATTGCTATATATATAGCCTGACAAGACCCCTGTGAGAGTTATCCACTAGATATGAAATTACTCAAAACCTATGTATTTAATCATAGTATATCAGGTTTTATTAATAAATAATGATTTATTCCTGCCTTGAGCCAATAGCAATGATAAACACCTGGGTGATTCTTGTTTCCTTCCCCTACCCTCCATATTTGTTTGAAGGAGCAAATAAAGTTTCTGGAAGAAGAAATACGCTGTATGGAAGAGTCAGAATTGGCTTTTAGCGCTTACACAAATTGGTACGGAGCTACCAACAAGAACTTCAGAAATGTGATCACCAAGTTTGACGTGGTTGATAAAACAGCAATGGAGAAAAAAGTGCAGAAACTAGAGGTACAGGTTTCTTGAATGCAATTTTTCTTTCTGTCCAAAAAGAGGCTAGATTTTAACATGCATCTTAACAGCTGCTCAAAATTCTGACTTCACATTACCCAGAAAAGCTAAAAGATAAAATCCACCCAGTATAAACTGTCCTGACTTCTCATGTCATATACACATTAGATCACAGTTTGGTTTTTGGGATTATGAATAGTCCTAAATAATATAATCCTGTCCTTCCAATAAGGCATGTTTGTATGTGTTTTGTTTTATGTTAAAACTTAAAATAAATTCCACTCACAAGGCAACCTGTCAAGTATATTTTATACCAGTATGCACTATGGCAAGAAGTGCTTCCTATTTCTCCTCATTGAAATAACTCAGTAGTAAAACTCATGTTTCATCTCAAAGTTGTAGATGAATTTTTCATATGTCCTGCAGCTTAAACATAATACGCTAAGGGAAAATTTTTTTCTATTCCAGAATTCGGAGTATGAATCCTCTCCTTATAACCCTCAGTTTCTATGTTTATCTTTGCAATTATCTAATGAAAAGTCCATTCAATTTCCCTAGCAATTCCTTCTGTGTCTTTGGCAAAAATTAAAACAACAAAAAAATAAATAGCCTCTCACTGATAATAGAACTACAATGAATAAAAAAAAAATAAAGAAAAAAAGGCAAGAGCTTGCATACATTTTCTGTTAACCAATGCTTCCTTCACAGCTGCTGTTGAGTGACATGGACATAGGCCATAGTTTACTGAAATCTGCCCGTGAGAAGGGGGAGCGAGCTATAAAGTATATGGAAGAAAATGAAGTTGACCAGTTAAGAAAAGAAATTGGAGATCATGTGGAACAGCTTGAAGAGCTGGCTGGCTCCATCAGGAAAGAGCACATGACTTCAGAGAAGTGCCTTCAGCTTGCAAAGGAGTTCTCGGACAAATACAAGGCACAGACTCAGTGGGTTATGGAGTACCAAGCCATGTTACATGCTCCAGCAGAGCCAAAGAGTGAACTCTATGAGAAGAAGGCTCAGTTGTCAAAATACAAGGTAAAAAGGGATTATATCATTAGACTGTATAAATCAATTTTGACCTAATGATTCGCAATAAATTATCTGATTCAGCTGTCTCTTCAAGTGTTCATTCCCTCAATAGAGGTATGAAATGTCTCTGATCTGGATGTCCAAGTCAGCAAATAAAGTGAAAAAGTGCATGATACCTGCATCTGTGAACCAGAGTGAGGACCTGGATTTGAAATGTGAATGTCCTAATAAGGCTTCCACATCTGAAAATTTCCTGTTATGGAGCAAAATTCTTTTATGAGTACACATATGAGTAATTCCATCAATATCAACAGAGTTAACTGTTGTTTAAGCAAGGATAGAATTCAGTTGGTCTGTCATTCACTGCAGACATCGCCACTGTTTAAAGTAGCCTAATCAGCTTTCTGGTTAAGGCTGAATGTTCCAGCTGAACTGACATATAAGACAGTCAGCTGCTATGGCCTCCTGTGATTTTTAGTTAGGATTTTAGTGAAGTCGCTTTGTGGGTTTTTTTCCAGTTGTAAAAATGAATAGAAAAAATATGCAACAAACCCCATTGCTCCTTTTAATGATGTTTTTATAAAATACTAAAATTTTCCAAAAATGTCTGGCTGGGATGGAGCTAACTCTCCTCGCAGCAGCCTGTGTAGTGCTGTGCTTTACATTTGTGGCTAAAACACTGTTGCTAACAAACAGTGTTGCTTTGGTGATATTTTCCCACTTTTTTGCAGAATTTGTTCCTCTGAGCAAGTTTTACCTGTAGCACTTGCCTGTTCACACATGTTAACTCCCTCTCCTTCACCAGTTCCAGATTATCAGCTGTGCTACTAGCTACTCATCTAAGAGCAATTGTTCCTTTTGTGTCTCCAAAGTTGTCTCAGGGCATAGCTCCTGTACCAGTAGCAAAGTTATTCTTATCTGGAAAGGGTGATATATACCATGGTAGAAGGCTGTGCTTCAGATCAAAGGGAAGTTAGTGAAATAGATCTTCAGTGTTCAGTATGTATATATTAATTCTTGCTTGCATTGTAGTCCATACAGCAGACTGTTCTGTCCCATGAGCCTTCAATAAAATCAGTGATTGAAAAGGGAGAAGCACTTTTTGATCTGGTAAATGATGTGACTCTAAAGAACAACATTCAAGACCTTCAGAGCAGTTACCAGGAACTCTGCAGCGCAGCAAAGGTACAAAGTCAGGGAGAAAACTAGGTTCTTTCAATTTCCTGTATTTTTCCCCCTCTTTAAGAAGTAGACTATTTGTTTCATGCTGTCACATCACACCCTGTACAGAGAGCCGGTTAGAATTAATTTTATTTTGCTTGGTGTTTTGGTTTGTTTGTTTCGGGTTTGGTTTGGTTTTGGTTTTTTTGGGGGGTGGAAGGGTGGAAAGTGTTAGAGGGAGTAGCATTCCTGAATATGGAAAGAACGTCTATCTAAATTACAAGAGTATCTGAAAGTAATTTTGAATGTGGCAGGTGAAGTCTTCATAGCATTAAGGGGAAATATATCAGTGATTAGTTTGTCCTATTGTTACTTTTTAAAATTGCTTTCAATAGATCTCTAAATACATTATTTCTTGAAGTGACACATGCCCTTAAATTATACCATTTTGTCTCCTCTTCTCAGTTTAATTTAGTTGTTGAATGGAAGTCACTGGAAAAAATGAACTGCAATACAGATCTGATTTAATTCAGCAAGAGCATTATTAATTACAATTGATTCATTAGTCCACATGTTTGTAGTACTTTGAAAGATTTAAAACTTCTAAATACATCCTAAAGTATGATTATTACTAAAGCTTTTAATAGGTTATACTCCTAACAAGGATAAGCTTTGCAAACCATGCTAGTACTTATGTTTGGCCTAAGTGTCTGTAATTGCCAATCCATCCACCAATAGCAGACTTATTTTTTATCACAGTTGATTTTCAATTTACAGATATTTCTCAGATTTGTACCACAAAACTGATATCTGTTGCATTAGATGTAATGTTGATGACTTAAATGTAGAGAAACTTATGAAAAATCCTTCTTCAAAAAAAAATGAATACATTTTAACTCAATGTGTACATTCTTAATTTGCCTACCACAATCACAGGCAATATGTACACACAAAGGCTATAAGCAGCAGGGACCAAATCATTATATTTGGTAGTTCATGTCCAGTCTCTCAAAAAGTGTGAATTGACCGTTTCTAAGTGCACTTAATGTCAAGTTGACAGTGTTCCTTTTCTTAAAGAAAGGAGATCCTCGGTGTTTTCCTCGGTGTCTTCAAAGTATGGGATTTCATCTGGAGTGAAAATACTGCTCTGTACCAGAATGTTTATTCACACAAGGAATCCCTTTGATGTTTTTCTTAACAGTCTAATCATGTGAGAGTCCCCCAGAGGAATATAAATTTATAAGATAACTCTCTTACTATGCTTTCAAGCTCTTGGTGGTTTCTTATTTAGGGTGGGTTGGGGGATGTGTATCAATTATTGTAATTACCTGAATATTTAATTTGGGTTATTGTGGACCTGCAGGCATACGTTGAAACCTTAGAGGTGAGAGTAAAAGAACATGAGGACTACAACAGTGATTTGCAAGAAGGGGAGAAATGGTTATTACATATGTCCAGCAGGCTGGTCAGCCCTGATCTCATGGAGAGTAACAGTCTTGAAATAATCACTCAGCAACTGGCTAACCACAAGGTAGGTTTGCTATTGGGCAAACTTATTTTCTCCAGTAAAATAGAATTTGTCTTCTTTGCATGTCTGTCTCTCTCACTCCAGGGCTCTATTTATTTTTCATTCAGCTGTTTTATTCCTCTTGCTCTGTGTAAATAATCATCAGTGTCATTTGTGCAGTTAACAAATGTACCTTGTTAGCACAGTTTCTTGGAAGAGACTGCATCTGCACAAGAGCTTTGTTGTATGCTGGTCTGAATTCTGTGTCAGATTTTTGCTGAGATGTCCCAGGAAATAGACCACAAAAAGCAGATTAGGGTAATTTTACTCCTAAGGCATTTTTTGCTCTAGGAGTTTTAGGGATTAAAAAATATTCTAAATTTTCATATCCACACCCCACCCCCAATTAGGTTGTAACGTTTCCTCATTTGCTTTTAGTCAAGACATTTTTATGGTTACTATTGATGATTTCTAGATTAATTAATTTAATGATTAATCGTTTCCAGAACATAAAAGAAAGCAAAATCCCACCCACCACCCACTGAAACTGAGGTTCCAAGGACAAATATTGAAATATTTTAACTCATTGTGATTAGTGTGTGATTCTTTAAGCAACCTCTTTAGATAAAAATTTGTTTCCACCAAAGTCAATGGAAAGAACTGACTACAGTGGAAGAGCTTATGGAACATGGTTGGATTCAGCATCAGATTTAGTCCTCCTTACTAGACACAAGAGAAGTTGGTGGAGCCCTGGGGAGCATGCAAGGAAGATTAACAGTAGACTTGGGGCATGACTATATGTTTCCACATTATGACACTGCGACTGCTGTTTCTGTGGGATATTTGTGTATAGACTTTTGACAATGATTTTACAATAAGTTTACAGTCTAATATCTTGACTATAACAACACAGAATGTCTGAAAACTTTTTTTTTCCAAATCTGAAGGCAAAGCATGTTTAAGAAAAAAAAAAAAAAAAAGCAGCTTATTTAAAAAGCTGTGATGCAGAACATGTTTAAGTTTAAAATGTTTCTTCAAAAGTACTTTATCTATTTCTTAGGCTATCATGGAAGAAATTGCAGGATTTGAAGATCGTTTGAACAACCTTAAGAGTAAAGGCGATTACTTGATCGATCAATGCACTGAACATCTTCAAGCAAAATTTAAGCAAAACATACAAAGCCATCTTCAGGGGACAAGGGACAGCTATTCCGCCATATGTAGCACAGCCCAAAGAGTAAGTCTTGTTTCAAAAATGTTTTTATGCCATTTAAGAATGCCATGCGTTATTTTTTCTCTAAATATTTGTTTCTTTAAATGGTGTAAAACTCTTTCCACCATTTCCATTTAAATTGAGTCTACAGGTTAATAATGTAGCACCTCATCATTACTGTGCTACAGTTGAATTTGTTGTGATCCAAATATTGCCTTGCAGCCAGTGAAACTACCTGCATACCAGTTCTTACCTTCATCTCCGCACACCCTCAATGCCTTCATGTTACACTAGCTTCTGAGCAGCTGCAGCAAAGAAATTAGAACTCTTGCTGTCAGTAGTTTGCATAGATACATAACAGGTCTTAACTATGTGCTAGGAAATACTGTCTCTCTTAGTAAAACCAGAATATACAGTTAAGAAGGGCTAGCTGGGTCATTCTGTAAATCCCATTAGGAGATCAAGCTAGCATAGTCTAAAAAAACAAAACCCCAAACAAAATAAAACCCCCAAAAGTAGATTTCACTGTCAGTAACATTTGTAGAAGTAGATAAAACCTCATACTAGATAAATAGCAAAATGTTGAACACTAAAGAAATAACATAATACTCTTCAATTGCATCTTTATTTTTTCTTTCCAGAAGCTGTGCCTTAGATACTGTCCATCTTTTCCACAAATTAGCAAGATGCAGTGGTAGCTTAATGAGCTTTCATCCCTTGATACTTTTATCTACAAGGGCTAAAATAACCACAGTTATTTTAGTTTATAATTCTGTTTTATCTGTCATTTTAGAGGTTGGAGAGCCAATAATGGTGCTTGCAAATGCAATCACCTTAAAATGTGTTTATTTTAGGTGTACCAGAGTTTGGAACATGAACTCCAGAAGCATGTTAATCATCAGGATACCCTGCAACAGTGCCAGACTTGGCTGTCTACAGTGCAGTCAGAGCTAAAGCCAACTACCTGGCCACCTTTCAGTCTGGCAGATGCAGTTAAACAGGTAAAAGTTCAGCATTTGAAAATGCTCAGTTATTCTTCATAAGGTGAGTTCAGGTAAGAGCTTTATATTAATAGAAATTAGATAGTCCCTCTGACCTTCTCAGAGGGCTCTGTAGCTTCGCTGTTTATTCCCAGCTCCAAAAGGAATACCTTGAGTGAAAAATAATGGTAGCTGAAAAACCATATAGGGCTTTTGCTAGCTCTGCTTAATGCTTAGAAATATTTTACCTGAAAAAAAAAAAAAAAAAAAAAAATATTGGTTGATTAGATAAACCTGCTCAGATACTTCACAAATGTGTTTTAACACAGAGATTGTGTCTTTCTGTTTGCCTGATTGCCCATCTGCCTACTGATATTCCTATATGAGAGCTGGTTTCATAGCACCATGGACACAGAGTCTGTTCTCAGGCATGTAAAATAATTTTTCAGCCTAAAAGCATAGAACTGCCTCTAGTCCACATTAGCCATTAAGAATCGTGTCTTTCTTTGCTTCTTGATTATTCTTAGTAACTTCATGTATTTTACATTGGATTTGTCCCTTGTTTTCAAATTAAACTGGTATGGTACCAAAAATGCTGGAGTTCAGGGCTTTCTCATCTGCCACGTGGCTTAATAGAGATCTTGAAATACTCTGGCTGGCAGCTCTGCAAGGGCTGGGGGAGCAGGGGGTGAGAGTGGGGCCAGCAGGGCAGCGCCTTCCCAATGATGCGCAGACCATCAGCACACAGGTGAGGAGAGCAGAGTCTGATCTTGGCAACTGTAGGTACTGGGAGGGTTTCAGAAGGGTTGGGGAAGCGTGTTGTGCCACTGGGCTGGATTCCCCATGAGCTGTCAGACACCGGAGAATTTCGTAGGTATTCACAGGGCAACATGACACTTTAATAATTGGATAAAGCCCTGCTTCCCATTCGCCTCAGGGTAGTAAGTCACCATGTTGAAACGGTGTGTATCTATCCAACGCATTATTTATAGTGAAATAAACTAGGTAATGCATATGTTACTAAGAATTTTAGTAACTGGATGTGGATGATAAACAATAAGAGTTACTCTTTTCCATAATTATGACAAAGCAGCCTTACCTAATAAAAAAATATATATATACATTTCATCTTTTGGAAGTAATAAGCTAAAGTGAAAATATTCAAATACATTATTGTAATAAGAAAAAGATAAATTCTGAGACTGTGGAAATAATTTGAGGATTTATTTGTCTTCCCTCAGGTGAAACATTTCCGAGCTCTGCAGGAGCAGGCCAATACCTACTTGGATCTTCTGTGTTCCATGTGTGACCTGTCAGATGCCACAGTGAAGAGCACAGCAACAGATATTCAACACACAAAACAAACGGTACATGATAACCTGCTTTTAATCCTATTTAGAGCTTTAACTGCCTTGATCTGTCCTCTTTTAAAAAGGTCATATTGGGTAATGGTTTAGACAAATATCTTTTTACTTTCATCTCAAGTATTTCTTCTAGAAATAGTGGTTTAGACAAATATCTTTTTACTTTCATCTGAAGTATTTCTTCTAGAAATAGTTTTTATTTTCTACTTTTTTTTTTTAATGAAATCCATACATTGCTCTCCTGTAGTAATGCAAAGACACAAAGATACATGACAAGGGTTGCTAAAAAAACATAGGCAATGTTACAACACAAAGATACATGACAAGGGTTGCTAAAAACACATAGGCAATGTTACAAGATGTTGGCCTAAAGCCACACAAATAACATTCTGTGGAAGAAAACCTGAGACAAGTTATTGTTTTCATAAAACACAGTTCAGTCTATTCTTCTCTGTATTTTATTAAGTTTAGACATATTTTATTGTTATTTATTCATCAGTAGACTGGTGTTCTTATTAGGATATACTAAAATATTAATTATAAGAATAAAATTATGATGGTTCTATTCATAAATCAGCATGCATCTGTTTCAGCATATGAATTCACAGAAGTGTACCTGAATTTTAAGTAGTTTAATACTTCATTTTAAACTAAAATTATAAACTTAAGAGTTATTGGGAAAGTAACATCATGAGTATTCCTGTCATAAACATGAAAATTTTTCACATACACACACACACAGACTTTTGAAACTACTTCTACCAAGAGTAAAAATCTAATCTAGAGAGTAACAGTATTCCATACCAGAGACGCAAATTGTACAAATCCAAGCAATCCATTAAAAAATGGCAGTCCAAATACTGAATAGCTCAAAAGTATCCCCAACATCAGAGTAAGATTCTCCTTTTATATATAAAAAATCCAAAATGTTTTTAAGAAATCACAGAGGGTACAGTGCTGAGATATATTAAGCTGGTTGAGTGTCTAAACCTTAGAGGTGCCCTACTGCTGTATTTGGAGCAAAATAAGCTGTGGGACTGTTGGTTTAAGGTGATTGATGGGCTCAGATCCAGTAAGGATTCTTCTTATTGGCATTTCACTAAAGGCATATAGGCAAAATAACCAGGCTAAGCAAATTAAAGTGTTTAGTTTAAGTTTTTATTTAGTCATTGCAAAAGCATGTAGAGCAGAGTCCAGAAATATGCTTGGCATACAGTAGACTAAATCATACGGTTAATTTTAATTTAAACTTTAATAGAAGACTAAGAACACTTTGAAATACACACACTCATAAATACAGTTTCTTCTTTCAAGGGTGAATGATAATTCTTTTTTTTTTCCCCAGCTTTCCTTTGACTTGCAAAGGTTAAGACTCTTTTTGTGGATAATATTAGCCCCTTCAGAATCTAGTGCAGAAATTTGCTGTTAGTACAGTATTGTGCTCAGAGAAAGAATGGTATTCATCCTCCATTCTCCAAAAATAGCTGCATTAAAGCATTCCTACTCCTTTTAATTTCTTTTCTTCTAGATTGAGCAACAGATAATGCATTCTCAGTATTTGGCGCAAGGTTGGGAAGAGATCAAACAAATGAAGGCTGAGCTCTGGATATATTTCCAGGATGCAGATCAACAACTACAGAATTTGAAAAGGAGAGGGGCAGAGTTGGAGCTAAACATTGCTCAGAATATGGTACTCCAGGTTAAGGTAAGGAGACTTTAGGTTAAGAACAATAGGTAAGGAAGAAGTTCATCCTGTGGCTGATATTATTATAATTCATGTTATGTGCATGTATTGCACAGCATTGCTAATAATGTTCTAAGCAAGAGCAAAGACAAAGGAAAGAGGGTTTCCTTCCTGATGCTACAGGGTGACACAGAAAGCAAAACACTGTAATATTTTTCTGGGTATGTTTTTTCAACAGTAGACAATTTTCAGCCTACTGTTCTGATTTGCCTTCACTTTTAATAGACTATCATAGTTTCAGCTGATTGCTGGTCACAGTGGGCCTGAAGATAAGATCTGCAATTTGTGCTTGCTAAGTTCTTTGATTCCAGTACGTCTAAATTATTTGGATCTATTTCAGAATTAGTCTAGGAAACGATACAATGTTGCTGGACTCTGAAAACCACTGCAAAATAGGTAAAATAGCAACCTAATCAATTTTACCCAAAATAGCAAGACAGATGCCTTCAGATCTTCACTCATTCATTTACAGATGAGAGAATTTTTATGGCCAAACTGCACATATCACAAACACCAGTAAAGTAGCAAGAAGAAACCGAGAAACAAGATTATTTCTTTGATAAATGATTAAATGTCTGGGGTTTGCAGTTCTGGTCTAGACTTCGCTGCATTCTTTTTCTGATATGATAGGAGTTAGGTGAAAAATAAGCAGCACTTCCTCTTCATGTCTGTTCTATACAAGTGTTTGAACAAAGTCATAGGACTTGAAGCTAACTCAGTACAGCATAGACTGAGAGCTGTTACACTCTAGCTATCATTGGAACCATAGTGTCACAGAATTGTCTAGGTTGCAAGGGACCTTTCAGATCATGTAGTCCAACCATCAACCTAACACTGATAAAAAACATCACCAAACTATATTGCTAAGCACTATGTCTGCCTGTCCTTTAAATACCTCCAGAGATGATGATTTCCACCTAGGAAGAAGCAGGAGTCTGTATATCTTCACTATTTGGGACAGTAACTTTGGATTGTTATGAAAGGCAAGCATCTGATACACAGTCAGATGTGGCACAATGTGTATTTTTTCCTAGAATTTGCCCCAATAACTGAAGTTGCCTAGCTTCATTTGAAGCATTCACAAAGGGGAATGAAGCAGACCTGGGCAGTAACATCTCTTCTCAAGAACCCGTACCAGCCTTCAGTCTTCAAAGTGCTGGAGCTGGACATGGTTGTTTAGTTCCAGTTATTGGAACTAGAATTTGGAGAAAGATTATATTTACCCTAAACAGTGTGTAAGTGCTGAAAAATATATGGTTACTTTTAGTTTTTAGTATATTGTATGTATTGATTTTGGGGTTCCCTCTGGCTTCTTATTTGGTAAGAAATGTGTGGCCAGATGAACTCTTTTATTTTCTGGAATTTATTAACTTAAATAGCAATCATACCTAGATAATCATTGGCTTTGTTTCAATAATGACAGTGATAATGATCACTATTGTAGAAGCAGGAACAAAACGAGGTATGGATGTGGGGGCTCGCTGACTCATGGACTCTGTTTCCTATTTTTAGTCTCTAATGAAAAGGAAAAAAGAATAAAATGAGCTAGAAACAGTACCGGTAAAATGAATTCTCATGAGACCTAGAGTATCTTGCACTTTCAGTGTATGGTGAGAACTGTGCTAATCTGGAAACCTGGGCAATTAGGTGTGTCTTGATCAATCACTATTGTAGAAGCAGGAACAAAACGAGGTATGGATGTGGGGGCTCGCTGACTCATGGACTCTGTTTCCTATTTTTAGTCTCTAATGAAAAGGAAAAAAGAATAAAATGAGCTAGAAACAGTACCGGTAAAATGAATTCTCATGAGACCTAGAGTATCTTGCAGTTTCAGTGTATGGTGGGAGCTGTGCTAATCTGGAAACCTGGACAACAAGGTGTGGCTTGATCGTGATTTTTGTCTATCACTGGCACTTGAAAACTGCTCTGGTTTGCTTTCATTTCTATAAACAACCGTCCTCACATGAGAAGATGAGGAGAAAGATTAGGGGAGAGAAGGCACCATTCTTCAAATTTACATCTGCACAACATTTGCCTGGGCAAATGTGTCCTAACACAATTTGTTTATTTCACAGTTTTTATTTAAATTCCAACTTAGAATTTTGAGTAGATGTCGAATTTACATCTGCACAACATTTGCCTGGGCAGATAATTAGTCCTAACACGATTTGTTTATTTCAGAGTTTTTATTTAAATTCCAACTTAAGAATTTTGAGTAGATGTCACCATATTGGTTTTGACTTGTATCTTTTTCAGGAATTCAGTCAGAAGTTGCAGTCTAAGCAGTCAGCTCTTACCTCTGTGACCGAGAAGATGAACAAACTAACCGAAGGACAGGAATCACCTGAACACAAGGAAATAGGGGACCTGAGCAACCAGTGGCTGGACCTCTGCCTTCAAGCACACAGTTTGCTCATACAGAGGGAGGAGGATCTGCAGAGGACAGGGGATTATCATGATCGCATGAATGTAGTTGAAGGTTTCTTGGAAAAGCTCACAAAAGAGTGGGACAACCTGGCCAGGTAAAAAAGTAGTAGCACACACAAAGCTGACAGTGCATATACACTGAAAGTGCTGTTTACAGAGTGTCTTGAAGTTAGATGCACTAAAAATCCCTTTTTCCATGCTTAATTAAAAGCAGGCCTCCCTTATTAATTATAGGACAATGACATGTATTGAAATAAAGAGTTTGAGAAGCCAGATCTTCAGTGTTTGTCTTTAAGGCAAGTACTGATTGATCCCATCTCAGGGTATAACATTTTCTGACATTTGAAGCATTTTGACTATTTTGTTTGAACTCTTTCATTTGTGTTTACTGTGTTTCATGTGTGGTTTTTATTATAATATTGTGATTTAAATACCAGACTGTTATATTACAGTTTAGTCGCTTCTGCTAAATGATTGCAGATGCTTTGTATAGCATAAACACACCAACTGTGTGCAAAATTGTGAGAATATATTACTGCTGCTATGACTGTCATGGAAAAAGATTCACTTCAGTCTCAGTACTTCTTGTTGCTCATATGTGCAGTATAACCAGTATATTTTGTAGTATTCATGTTAATTTGTATGGCCAGCCTGATGACCAGATTGCAGATGAAAGGGAGAGGAATAAAAAACTTTTTCTTTAATATTCAAGACTGGTACCTTTGAAAGAATGTGTAAACTGTAGGTATTTAAAGCATACTGATTTCAGTATATGGTGGGTTTATAATTCGTCCCGACTTCTTTTGAAAATCTATCATGAGATAGAGTCTAATAATTAATGTTTGTCTTGTCCATTTTGGTAACAGATCTGATGCTGAAAGTACAAACGTGCACCTTGAAGCTTTGCAAAAGTTCGCACTGGCACTACAGGAAAGGAGATTTGCTCTGGAAGATTTGAAAGATCAGAAACAGAAGATGATAGAACATCTGAATCTCGATGACAAAGAATTAGTAAAGGAGCAATTTGGTCATTTTGAGCAACGCTGGACTCAGCTGGAGGACCTTGTCAAAAGGAAAATTCAAGTTTCCATTTCAACTTTAGAAGAGCTCAGTTTGGTGCATTCCAAATTTCAGGAACTAATGGACTGGGCAGAGGAGCAGCAACCTAGTGTCTCAGAGGCTCTTAAGCAGAACCCTCCTCCAGATTTGGCTCAGAGTCTTCTCATGGATCATCTTACCATTTGCAGTGAGCTTGAAGCCAAACAGCTTGTTCTGAAGATGCTTGTGAAGGATGCTGACAGGGTGATGACCAACCTAGGGCTCAATGAAAGGCAAGAGCTGCAGAAAGCACTTTCTGATGCACAGCACCATGTAGATTGTCTCAGTGAACTGGTTGGCCAGAGGAGAAAGCACCTGAATAAAGCACTATCTGAAAAGACTCAGTTTCTTATGGCAGTCTTTCAGGCTACAAATCAAATTCACCAGCACGAGAAGAAGGTAACATTTCCAGAACACATTTGTCTATTGCCAGAAGATGTGAACAAACAGATAAGGTCTTGTAAGAATACCCAGGCTAACCTGAAGGCCCATCAAAATGAAGTCGCCGGGTTGTGGGCTCAAGGAAGGGATTTGATGAAAGAAGCAACAGAACAAGAAAAGAATGAAGTGTTAGGTAAACTTCAAGAACTACAGAACGTGTATGACACTGTTTTACAAAAGTGTAACCAGAGATTGGTAGAACTAGAGAAAAATATCGTTTCCAGGAAATATTTTAAAGAAGACTTGGATAAAGCTTGCCATTGGCTAAAACAAGCTGATATTGTCACATTCCCAGAAGTCAATGTAATGAATAGTAACTCTGAACTATACGCGCAGTTGGCAAAATATCAACAGGTTCTTGAGCAGTCTCCAGAATATGAAAATCTGTTACTTGCACTGCAGAGAGATGGCCAAGAAATCCTACCATCGCTTAATGAAGTGGACCATTCTTATCTGGAGGAAAAACTTAACAGTCTCCCTCAGCAGTTCAGTACTGTCACTGCTCTGGCAAAAGAAAAATTATATAAGGTTCAGGAAGCAATTTATGCCAGAAAAGAGTATGCCTCTTTGATTGAGTTGACAAGTAAAGCTCTGACTGAGCTAGAAGATCAGTTTATTAACATGGTCAAAGCTCCAGCTGCTGTTTTAGCCAAAGAAGCTGTGTCTCTCCAGCAAGCCTACAGAGATCTCCTGGGTGAAGTGTTGAGCCTTGGTGGAGCAGTGGATGAATTAAATCAGAAGAAGGAGGCCTTTCGAAGCACTGGCCAGCCATGGCAACCAGATGAGATGTTAAAACTTGTCACACTGTATCACAAATTGAAGAGGCAAATAGAACAGAAAATCAACCTGTTGGAAGACACAATAGAAGCATGCCAGGAGCACGAGAAAATGTGTATGCAGTTTGAGGCACAACTAGAAGCAGTGAAGAAGGAGCAGATTAAAGTAAATGAAGAAATGCTCCCCATAGAAGAAAAGCTGAAAATATACCATTCTCTGGTGGGCAGCTTGCAAGACTCAGGGAGTCTTCTGAAGCGAATAACTGAACATCTAGAAAACCTTTCTCCTCAGCTTGAGTCATCTGCATATGAGACAGCAAATCACCAAGTGCAGTCTTGGCAAGAGAAACTAAAGTCTTTGCATGCTGCCATTGGTGACACCGTGATGGAGTGCGAGAACAGACTTGTGCAAAGCATAGACTTCCAGACAGAAATCCGCCGCTCGCTTGACTGGTTGAGGTGGGTGAAGACAGAACTTAATGGAACACTAAGTTTGGACCTCAAACTGCAAAGCATCCAAGAAGAAATTCGAAAGGTTCAGATACACCAGGAAGAAGTGCAGTCAAGCCTGAGAGTAATGAATGCACTGAGCAATAAAGAGAAAGAGAGATATATGAAAGCAAAGGAGCTGATACCTGCTGACCTGGAAAACACTCTTGCTGAGCTGGCAGAACTAGATGGTGAAGTTCAAGAAGCTATACACATGAGACAGGTTAGTGCGCCCTAAGTATCACTAGTTTCTCGCTCATGAAGCTGAAAAATATGGCTCTGTGGTTTGGTGTTTGTAATCGTTATTAATCATTGTAATTATTATTATGAAAAGATTGATTCTTATAATCCTGCTGTTGTTTTTTTTAATGACTTCGGTTGCAGCCTGTTGCCATGGATGACCTGGGGGGGGAGTTGAAAGGCTTCCTTAATATGCATTTATACCCGCATGTAGAAGTGGAAGCTCACTCAAACCTACTTCCATGTAGTCTCTCCAGACCTGTATTTTAAATATAATAAAGGGAAAAGAAAGCAAGAATGGGCAAAATCCAAACTCTCAGGAGAGGATATTTTTGTTGCTGCTGTGAATTTTATGTCTGTGACCCTCTGTATAATTTTCCCTTTTATTTCAGGCTACCTTGAATAAATTATACAGCCTCTGCCAAAGATACTACCAAGTGACACAGGCAGCAAATGACTGGCTTGAAGATGCTCAGGAATTTCTACATTTAGCAAGAAATGGCCTTGATGTTGAGAACTCTGAGGAGAACCTAAGGAACCACATTGAATTTTTCAGCACAGAAAGTCAGCTCAGTAACCATTTGGAAGAGTTACAGGGACTTGTGCATGAGATAGAGCCCTATATCCAAGCCACAGCAAGAGAGCAGCTGATGCAGAATGTAGCTGCATTGGAGGAAAAGGCCAATGGGACAAAGCAAGAAGCCAAAACCCAGCAAGAGCAGTTGCAAAGGTATATTCATCCTTCTTTTTTTCTTTCTCTTTCATTTTAAGATCACCTTGTTGGAGATGAAAGAAAGACATCACAACATTAATTGGAGTTTTATAAAATGTTTGTGCTACTGGTGAGATAAGTGGATATTGGGACTCAGAGCTCTTGGATTCTGTTTTATCCTCTGCCACTGACTGGCTACATTTATGATCTTGAGGAAGCTATGATAACATTATATAAAACTCAGAACAGCACCAAGAAGAGTAGGAAATTACTGTCCCTTATTTCATCTGGCCAAGACCTATGCAGAAATAAATGAAATGAAGCAGACATTTTGAACTAAAAGAAAATATCATTTTAAACAGCATAACAATGTTACTTATTATTCCTGAATATTCTGGATTCCAAAAGTTTGGGTGGGTTTAAAACACAGTCTAGACGAAGTCATGAGGAAAAGTCAGAAGCTATTAAATGCCAACCTGTTTCTGTAAGGCACAGCCTAAAATCAGAGGCATATGCTTCTGTGTATGCTGTTTCCAAATAATCTTTCTTTTTCTTGGAAAATACAGTGTAAGAGCAAAACTAAGCAGTTCCATTGAAAACTAGGTGCAACAACATTCCTGATTTTCAGATGGTTTTATATTGCATTAAATTGTTCTTTCTGGAACTGCGTTTTCAAGGTGTGCTTCTGAGTGGCAGGAGTACCAGACAACAAGACAGAAGGTTATTGAAGTGATGAATGAGGCTGAGAAAAAGTTGTCCGAATTTTCAGTAGCTAAAGCTGCTTCTTCTCATGAAGCAGAAGAGAAATTGCTAACACATAAGGTAAGATACTGAAAATTATATTAAATCCTTTTCATTCAGTGAAAATAAATGTATGTTGTGTATGTCTCTACCTGTGGCAACCTGAATTTGAGTTTTTAAATCTTTTCCTGTAGCACTTCACTGTGCCATAGCACACCAAGAGGTGTTTGTGTTGGGAAGAACATGGATTTTATCACTTTTATCACTTTTCAGATTAATGTCTGTCAATATGCCGGGGACTGGAAGGAACTAGGAGGTTCCTAAAAGCCTTGAGAGCATAAGTCTGAAAACTGCTTACCCTACAAGAAATTCAGATCAACAGAAACATTCATCTACTTTGGATCATGTGAAATGGTTTTACTAGGATGGTGGGGTTTGTCTAATTATTGCAGATAAAAAATAGAGACCTAACCACCTCACTCAGCACAGGGTACCTCCCCTTTGTCTGCAGTGGATGGAAGTGGCTTCTCTGCCTACAAGTGTGTTGAGTAGTTACAAGCTGTGTTGTAGAAGAGGAAAACAGTGGTTATTTTTTCTTTTTCAGACTCTTGTTTCTGTAGTGAATTCTTTCCATGAGAAGATCACAGCCCTAGAACAAAAGGCTTCACAGCTGGAAAAAGTTAGCAATGATGCCAGTAAGGCAACTATAAGTAGATCCATGACAACGGTTTGGCAGCGCTGGACACGGCTCCGGAATGTAGCCCAAGAACAAGAGAAAATTTTGGAAGATGCAGTGCAGGAATGGAAGGGCTTTAATGATAAGGTAACTTCTGGTCTTGGCAAATCCTACTTTGTTAACTGTACACAGGTTTTCACTCATTATACTGCCTTATTAATAATCTTATGGTAGAAAAAGCTGATAGCAGGAATAACAGTGATTTTTCTCAGGTCATATTAAAAACAGCTATGGAAGTCCTAGGTTAAGAATCCATCTCCAAGGCTTGCATTATTCTTCTATATGCATACATAGTATGGTAAATACGGAGTTGTTTTGGTTTCTGGTCGTTCTTCAGAATCTTAAACTCTATGCTTGCCTTACCCAGATGGTCTATTCTAGATTAAGCCAACCTCTGGTTTTTTCCCAGAAAAGTATGAAGTTGGGATTTCTGAATTTATGCAGTGATATTATTGCTGGTCACTGTTCACAGGGCATGTGTCCTTTTTTTCCTTTATATCCTACCTGACTCTCTTTGTCTGTCATTGTCTGTTATTTTATGCTCAGATTGCAGGTTCTCTGAGAATGAGGACAATCTTTCTGTTAAATGTAGGACTTGTGCCGAATACTGGTAGAGTTCTAGGTCCTATGGCAATAAAGATAATAAATGTTAAAAAATATGAGAAGCCACACATCACTTGACAAAAAAGTCACTTAGCAAGTCCTAGTCCAGTGTGAGGAGCTAGGGCTAGCTAGCTGGATCTAGCACATGAGAGCATAGATTTATATCTGCTATAGAAACTTCTGCACAAGCCCCATACTACAACTGTTTTACAGCATCTAAATTTACAGCACTGGGTTTGGCACCTTTTGGTATCAGTTGTACTAACTTGTTTTTAATTTCATTATTGCCAATACTACATATCTTTCCATAGATTGAGAAAGCCACCATAGCAATAGATCAGCTACAAGGTCGCTTACCAGAAAGCTCAGTGGAAAAGGCTTCCAAGACAGAGCTTCTGGAACTCCTGGATTACCACAGCAGTTTCCTTCTGGAGGTGGAGCACCAATTGTCATCTTTGGGCCTGCTCAAACAGCATGCAGTCAGCATGCTTCAGGATGTGGAAATAAAGCCTCTGTCTCAGGAGGAACTACCAGTCATGCAAGAAATCAAAGCAATGCAAGATCGATGCCACAAGTAAGGCAATATTTTAAAAGATTCACGGGAAAAATGGTGTCTTACAATTCATTAATAAGAACTCACGTATCAGTTTTGTTGTCATTAGCAACTACCATCCTTAAAATAAATATCAGTCGTTGTATTTAAAATAGGATTAGTTTAATTTTATATTATCTTTAATTAATTGTGAAACATATTTTTGCCATTATTTTTTATTTCCATCAGCACGAGTATGCATTTTAGAATATGTACTTCTTTCCTTGCATAATGATAAAGCTGTAATTGTTTTTTTAAACACTTCCATTGCGTCTCACTGTTATCAATAACCTTCTATGTTTTTGTATCCTACGTTTAGACTAGTTTTTCACTTTGTTTCCCCAGTTGGAAGCACTTAGGTACCAAACGTAGGTAGTCTACCAAATTTACAAGGGAATTTAGTGCATGTGCAGAAGAAACATATCTTAACATTTCACCCTGCAGTTATATGAATGTTCATCTAAATGTAAAATGTTTCCCTGTCATATATAAAACAAGTTTTATGGCTAAGTTTCAGGATTCATATCCACCTGATAACTACACTAAGATGCCATTAACTGGATCTCCACAGTGTGAAAAGGGAGAGAGACAGAGATTGAAAAAACTGTAAACCCTGCACCTACCCTGTGCAAAGTTCATTGTGTGTGTGCATAACTGATTACGGTGGAATAGCAATCCCTGTAGAAAATGTATAAATATTAGCAGTTTAGTAATTCCATTCTTCCCTTGAATTGGTTTCTAAGAAATAGGGTCTATGATGATCTCATGGTCATGTAAATAGAGCATGATTCAGCTATGAAAGGTTATACAAACATAAATCAAATATGGAAATATCAAAGATCCATGTCACGTACATAAGAGCTACAAGTAGTCCTGTAGATCATTCACAGAGCTGTCATCTGAAAAAGATTCTATTTTTTATAGAAAATCCAAGCATGTAGAAGTGGAAGCTCACTCAAACCTACTTCCATGTAGTCTCTCCAGACCTGTATTTTAAATATAATAAAGGGAAAAGAAAGCAAGAATGGGCAAAATCCAAACTCTCAGGAGAGGATATTTTTGTTGCTGCTGTGAATTTTATGTCTGTGACCCTCTGTATAATTTTCCCTTTTATTTCAGGCTACCTTGAATAAATTACACAGCCTCTGCCAAAGATACTACCAAGTGACACAGGCAGCAAATGACTGGCTTGAAGATGCTCAGGAATTTCTACATTTAGCAAGAAATGGCCTTGATGTTGAGAACTCTGAGGAGAACCTAAGGAACCACATTGAATTTTTCAGCACAGAAAGTCAGCTCAGTAACCATTTGGAAGAGTTACAGGGACTTGTGCATGAGATAGAGCCCTATATCCAAGCCACAGCAAGAGAGCAGCTGATGCAGAATGTAGCTGCATTGGAGGAAAAGGCCAATGGGACAAAGCAAGAAGCCAAAACCCAGCAAGAGCAGTTGCAAAGGTATATTCATCCTTCTTTTTTTCTTTCTCTTTCATTTTAAGATCACCTTGTTGGAGATGAAAGAAAGACATCACAACATTAATTGGAGTTTTATAAAATGTTTGTGCTACTGGTGAGATAAGTGGATATTGGGACTCAGAGCTCTTGGATTCTGTTTTATCCTCTGCCACTGACTGGCTACATTTATGATCTTGAGGAAGCTATGATAACATTATATAAAACTCAGAACAGCACCAAGAAGAGTAGGAAATTACTGTCCCTTATTTCATCTGGCCAAGACCTATGCAGAAATAAATGAAATGAAGCAGACATTTTGAACTAAAAGAAAATATCATTTTAAACAGCATAACAATGTTACTTATTATTCCTGAATATTCTGGATTCCAAAAGTTTGGGTGGGTTTAAAACACAGTCTAGACGAAGTCATGAGGAAAAGTCAGAAGCTATTAAATGCCAACCTGTTTCTGTAAGGCACAGCCGAAAATCAGAGGCATATGCTTCTGTGTATGCTGTTTCCAAATAATCTTTCTTTTTCTTGGAAAATACAGTGTAAGAGCAAAACTAAGCAGTTCCATTGAAAACTAGGTGCAACAATATTCCTGATTTTCAGATGGTTTTATATTGCATTAAATTGTTCTTTCTGGAACTGCGTTTTCAAGGTGTGCTTCTGAGTGGCAGGAGTACCAGACAACAAGACAGAAGGTTATTGAAGTGATGAATGAGGCTGAGAAAAAGTTGTCCGAATTTTCAGTAGCTAAAGCTGCTTCTTCTCATGAAGCAGAAGAGAAATTGCTAACACATAAGGTAAGATACTGAAAATTATATTAAATCCTTTTCATTCAGTGAAAATAAATGTATGTTGTGTATGTCTCTACCTGTGGCAACCTGAATTTGAGTTTTTAAATCTTTTCCTGTAGCACTTCACTGTGCCATAGCACACCAAGAGGTGTTTGTGTTGGGAAGAACATGGATTTTATCACTTTTATCACTTTTCAGATTAATGTCTGTCAATATGCCGGGGACTGGGAGGAACTAGGAGGTTCCTAAAAGCATTGAGTGCATAAGTCTGAAAACTGCTTACCCTACAAGAAATTCAGATCAACAGAAACATTCATCTACTTTGGATCATGTGAAATGGTTTTACTAGGATGGTGGGGTTTGTCTAATTATTGCAGATAAAAAATAGAGACCTAACCACCTCACTCAGCACAGGGTACCTCCCCTTTGTCTGCAGTGGATGGAAGTGGCTTATCTGCCTGCAAGTGTGTTGAGTAGTTACAAGCTGTGTTGTAGAAGAGGAAAACAGTGGTTATTTTTTCTTTTTCAGACTCTTGTTTCTGTAGTGAATTCTTTCCATGAGAAGATCACAGCCCTAGAACAAAAGGCTTCACAGCTGGAAAAAGTTAGCAATGATGCCAGTAAGGCAACTATAAGTAGATCCATGACAACGGTTTGGCAGCGCTGGACACGGCTCCGGAATGTAGCCCAAGAACAAGAGAAAATTTTGGAAGATGCAGTGCAGGAATGGAAGGGCTTTAATGATAAGGTAACTTCTGGTCTTGGCAAATCCTACTTTGTTAACTGTACACAGGTTTTCACTCATTATACTGCCTTATTAATAATCTTATGGTAGAAAAAGCTGATAGCAGGAATAACAGTGATTTTTCTCAGGTCATATTAAAAACAGCTATGGAAGTCCTAGGTTAAGAATCCCTGTCTCCAAGGCTTACATTATTCTTCTATATGCATACATAGTATGGTAAATACGGAGTTGTTTTGGTTTCTGGTCATTCTTCAGAATCTTAACCTCTATGCTTGCCTTACCCAGATAGTCTATTCTAGATTAAGTCAACCTCTGTTTTTTTTCCCAGAAGAGTATGAAGTTGCCATTTCTGAATTTATGCAGTGATATTATTGCTGGTCCTGTTCACAGGGCATGTGTCCCTTTTTTCCTTTATATCCTACCTGACTCTCTTTGTCTGTCATTGTCTGTTATTTTAAGCTCAGATTACAGGTTCTCTGAGAATGAGGACAATCTTTTTGTTAAATGTGCCGAATACTGGTAGAGTTCTAGGTCCTATGGCAATAAAGATAATAAATGTTAAAAATATGAGAAGCCACACATCACTTGACAAAAAAGTCCCTTAGCAAGTCCTAGTCCAGTGTGAGGAGCTAGGGCTAGCTAGCTGGATCTAGCACATGAGAGCATAGATTTATATTTGCTATAGAAACTGCTGCACAAGCCCCATACTACAACTGTTTTACAGCATCTAAGTGTACAGCACTGGGTTTAGCACCTTTTGGTATCAGTTGTACTAACTTGTTTTTAATTTCATTATTGCCAATACTACATATCTTTCCATAGATTGAGAAAGCCACCATAGCAATAGATCAGCTACAAGGTCGTTTACCAGAAAGCTCAGTGGAAAAGGCTTCCAAGACAGAGCTTCTGGAACTCCTGGATTACCACAGCAGTTTCCTTCTGGAGGTGGAGCACCAATTGTCATCTTTGGGCCTGCTCAAACAGCATGCAGTCAGCATGCTTCAGGATGTGGAAATAAAGCCTCTGTCTCAGGAGGAATTACCAGTCATGCAAGAAATCAAAGCAATGCAAGATCGATGCCACAAGTAAGGCAATATTTTAAAAGATTCACGGGAAAAATGGTGTCTTACAATTCATTAATAAGAACTCACGTATCAGTTTTGTTGTCATTAGCAACTACCATCCTTAAAATAAATATCAGTCGTTGTATTTAAAATAGGATTAGTTTAATTTTATATTATCTTTAATTAATTGTGAAACATATTTTTGCCATTATTTTTTATTTCCATCAGCACGAGTATGCATTTTAGAATATGTACTTCTTTCCTTGCATAATGATAAAGCTGTAATTGTTTTTTTAAACACTTCCATTGCGTCTCACTGTTATCAATAACCTTCTATGTTTTTGTATCCTACGTTTAGACTAGTTTTTCACTTTGTTTCCCCAGTTGGAAGCACTTAGGTACCAAACATAGGTAGTCTACCAAATTTACAAGGGAATTTAGTGCATGTGCAGAAGAAACATATCTTAACATTTCACCCTGCAGTTATATGAATGTTCATCTAAATGTAAAATGTTTCCCTGTCATATATAAAACAAGTTTTATGGCTAAGTTTCAGGATTCATATCCACCTGATAACTACACTAAGATGCCATTAACTGGATCTCCACAGTGTGAAAAGGGAGAGACACAGAGATTGAAAAAACTGTAAACCCTGCACCTACCCTGTGCAAAGTTCATTGTGTGTGTGCATAACTGATTATGGTGGAATAGCAATCCCTGTAGAAAATGTGTAAATATTAGCAGTTTAGTAATTCCATTCTTCCCTTGAATTGGTTTCTAAGAAATAGGGTCTATGATGATCTCATGGTCATGTAAACAGAGCATGATTCAGCTATGAAAGGTTATACAAACATAAATCAAATATGGAAATATCAAAGACCCATGTCACGTACATAAGAGCTACAAGTAGTCCTGTAGATCATACACAGAGCTGTCATCTGAAAAGATTCTGTTTTTTATAGAAGATCCAAGTTCTTGAGGAAAATGTGAAAATTCTCTTAGTGGAAGCATGGGGATAGGTCTCTGGGTCAAAAATGGTGTTCATGTGTTCGATCCATGGTTTATCTTAGGTATTCTGCTGATGCAAATCCCATTGATAGGGGTGGAATTTATCTCACACTATTTTAGATTGTAGATATCCACATCTGAACTGGTTAATTCTCACTCTCTAATTAGTGGAGAGAAATGCACAGGTCTAAGATGCAGTTTTTCTGACCCATTTTAGAAGTTCCTTTTAGAATTATGATGAATCATCCTAAATCATGCCCTAGAATTGCCTGCTTCCTCCACTGACAATAAGGGCAGCCTGTGGTTATGAGCTGAATTTTAGGTGTTTCATGTGTTCGATCCATGGTTTATCTTAGGTATTCTGCTGATGCAAATCCCATTGATAGGGGTGGAATTTATCTCACACTATTTTAGATTGTAGATATCCACATCTGAACTGGTTAATTCTCACTCTCTAATTAGTGGAGAGAAATGCACAGGTCTAAGATGCAGTTTTTCTGACCCATTTTAGAAGTTTCTTTTAGAATTATGATGAATCATCCTAAATCATGCCCTAGAATTGCCTGCTTCCTCCACTGACAATAAGGGCAGCCTCTGGTTATGAGCTGAGGTTTAGGTGTCTCTACTGTAAACATTTGCATTTCTTCAAAATAATTTTGTGCTCAATGTCAAAATACCTACAACTCATAATTAAAAGAAATTAACTGAAGAATGAACATGAGAAATTTAAGTGTGTTGCTTTAGTAGTCTTTTGCAGGACTGCCCTATTTTTATTACTCTGGATAGGGGGCACATAATTATAAGTCATTTTCTGTTTTATTAAATATTTTTTTGACAAATCAATGTTTTTAGACATCACTTAATTCTTCACAAATCGTTATTGTTTCTTTGTTTCTGAAGCATGCAACAGAAAGTGAAAAAAGGTGTGAAGATGGTGAAACAGGAGCTGAAGGAGCGTGAGGAGGTTGAAGCAGATATTAATAATGTGAAGACCTGGATCCAGGAAACAAAAGAATATCTATTAAGCCCTGATGTAGAAGTGGATACTCAACTTCAGGAGTTGCAGGTATATCAAATTTGTCGATTTCTAAATTGCACTATGTATCTCTGTTGTAATCTGCTAGTGAGTGTAAAATACCATGAATTCAAATTAGACAATATTCATTAGCTTTTGAGTAAGTCACTAGATAAATTCATAAAGCATGAAGTAGCTGATGAGCTGTAATACCTTATTTTAAAGATATTTAAGATAAATTTAAGTGTTTGCATTTATGCAATTTTATGAAATAGCATATTGTTTAGTAATTTTTCTCCTCTCCTCTAAAATATGGGGGAAATATAGAATATGAATGGACATTTCTATCTTAGCAGTTTGGGATGGGGAGGGAAGCAACAAAATAAAGTTAGTTTCACTGAAGGTGCTGAAAAATTGACATTTTCTATATACTTGTGTTCACACAGGAACGGAGAACTGGACAGTCATAAATAAGAATCTAGGGAATCCCAAGATACAGTTCTTTTAATGAACCATTTAAAAATTTGAAAGTAAATAGCTTTGTTGCAAGCTTCATATAATGCCTAAGTTTACCCAGATGTGTTGTTTCCCATTGTTCTTAACAACATTTTAATGAACCATTTAAAAATTTGAAAGTAATTAGCTTTGTTGCAAGCTTCATATAATGCGCAGGTTTACCCAGGTGTGTTGTTTCCCGTTGTTCTTAACACTGTTTTTCTGTCTTTAGTCTCTCCTTGGTGAAGTAACTACTCATCGTCAGGCTGTTGAAAAAATGGCTGAACAACAACAGAATAAGTACTTGGGGCTTTACACCATTTTGCCTTCTGAACTCTCTCTTCATTTAGCAGAAGTTGGGCTGGCTCTTGTAAATGTCCAGGACCAGGTAAAGCATAGTAGATCATTGCATTAAAGCTCTATATTCCCTCTTTATAACCTGGTGAAATACAGTAATCAAGTGTGATCATACTATGACAATGTAGTGTCGTAGTTTAACTCCAGCCAGCAACTTGGATCACTCAGCTGTTTCATCACTCTCCCCAGCTGGGATGGGGGAGAGAATCAGAAGAATAAAAGTGAGAAAAACCTCTCATGGGTTGAGATAAAGACAGTTTATCAGATAGAGCAAAAACTGTGTGGACAAGCAAAGCAAAACAAGGAATTCATTCAGTGCTTCCCATCAGCAAGCAGGTGTTCAGCCATCTCCATCATGCGTAATGGTTACTTGGGAAGACAAATGTCATAAATTTGAATGTTCCCCCACCTCTTTCTTCTTCCCCCAGTTTTATGTGCTGAGCATTATGTCGTATAGTATGAAATATCCCTTTGGTCAGTTGGGGTCAGCTGTCCCAGCTGTGTCTCCTCCCAACTTCTTGTGGATTCCCAGCCTACTTGCTGGTAGGGTGGTGTGAGGAGCAGAAAAAGCCTTGACTGCTTAGCAACAACCAAAACCATCAGTGAGCTACCAGCATCACCTTCATCCCAAATCCAAAACATAGCACTATAGCAGCTCCTAGTGAGAAAGTTAACTCTATCCCAACTGAAACTGTGACAAGTAGTTTAATTACCTTCTTTCTTTAAATTAACTTAAAAGAAAGTCAATTTCCTATCAGAAGGAGAGATTTCTTGTTACTGAATTTAGTTCTTCTTGTTGACAGATTCAAACCAAAGAAAGAGAAACTCAGCAGATCAAAACACTGAATCAAGAGTTTGGTCAGAAAATCCAGGGGATAGCAAATGAACTAAATGCCATTCTTTCCAAACTGAAAAAGAAAACAACTGATATAGCACAAGCTAAACTTGAACAAAAGGTAAGACAAAGCTTCCCTTATTTGCTTAGACCATAAATTCTGAATTGGGACATTCACTTCATACCAATGTTGTATTTGGAAAGACCTGTGTGATATATTCTTTTAATGTAGTTCAACAGAAGAATGGACAGAAATCAGGGTTGACTGATGCGATTTTTTAATTATATTCTTTGCAAACTAGGTAACATAACTTGGAGGAAGTAACTGAGAGTAAAAGCGAGATAAATGGGTAGTTACGCTGTTCCCTCTAAAGAGTATTTCTGCAATCTGGGAAAACCTAAGAGGTTCCCAAACTTCTCCTTGTCCCAATCTGTACTGAAAAGACCATTCTTTACAGTACAGCTTTACTTGTGATAAATAGAATTTTACTTAGTCAGTTGTTCATTTCGTATCATTTGGTGGAATAATGAGATAAAGTATTACTGGTGTGGTATAGAGTAATGCAAAGGACTCCTGGTTCTTTTTGTGGTTTTTCTTAATCTTAGGTATGTACTACACTCAGAAAAGCTCATCTGTACTGAGGTGTAATGGCCAAATTAGAATTATCATATAAGAGTAGGGGATTTTGGCAGGGGAGAGGTTGCTTGATGGTGGGTTAGGTTTTTTTTTTGATTTAGCTTGGTTTTTTAACTAGTTGAAAATAAATTTGACCAAGTTACTGGTCATATCAAATAAGAGGGGATTTGGCATGTCTGGTATGTCAAAAATTATCTGTTTATTTTAATGATTTGCTCTCCATATGCTCCAAAGTAACATTTGCTTTGCAGGAGGTATCACTGAAATATATCCTTTTTATATTCATGTATCTCCTTGATCCCAGTAATTAAGCAGAAAACCGGTAAAATGTGCTTTCCCATGTTAAATAGTTGAAAACTCTCTCACTGGAGATTTAATAACGTTCCCTTAACTGCATTTCTGTCAGCACTGAGCTGATACTCTCTCTCCCAATACCCCTTCCCCAAGACACTGTGTTATTGGTCTATGAGAAACGTAGAAAAAGCCTTTTAGGTTTCCTTTTTAAAATTTTCAGAAACTTTGTAAGTATGGTAAGAAAAATTGATTTTAAAATCTGTTTCCATTGAAGCAGTCTAACATGATCCAGACTGCTCCTGTGTCAAGATCAAGCTGTGAAAATACAACTTTCCAATGAAAATGAACATTTTTCAAATGTATTAACAAGTAATTACATACTTCTGAGTTTGTAAGGGCATACTTTAAGACAGCAACAATACAAAACCCCTTTCTAATATATAAAAATCTTGTCATGTCAATGACTAGTAATTTCAAAAACAAACACAGAAAGATAGCCAATTAATGTCACTCTGAAGTGATTCAGTCTTTTGCTATGGGAGGGAAAATGGTTATCTGTTTCAGCCAGGAAGTCAGAGAAGAAAGAATAATGGCACACATTTCAGAGATGACCAAACATCCTGCTGTTCCGCCTTCTTGCAGAAGCATTGTTGGTTTCCAGCCAGAATAAAAATGGAACAAACTACGGAGACTTTGGACAGGATATAAAGTTGCAAGTCGGGCTAGAAATAATCAAGCAGAAAGCTAACACTTCCTGGATCACTGATTTTCTTGTTTTTCTGTCTAGATCCTCGGAGAAGAGTTGGACAGCTGCAACATAAAGCTGTTGGAATTAGATGCATCAGTCCAGGACTTTGCAGAGCAGAACGCACCGCTGGCCAAGCAGCTGGCTAACAGGATCGGGAAACTCACTGCATTGCACCAACAGACCATTCAGCAGGCTGAGTACAGAGCAGCCAAGCTCAGTCAGGTATGATCTCAAATCTCTTCTCAGAAACAGAAGGGACATGCAAGCTTCTCATTTATTTTACTTCCTTGCAAGAAGGGGCATTCCTTGGCACATCTGCCTACTATTAGTCAGAGCTTGTATCACGCCTTGTATCACACAGATGGGGCAGATCAGGAGGGTGGAGTAATTCTGCGACGCTGCTTTAACATCCTCTTCCATGAATCATTTGCTGGTTGGTTCCTCTTGTGCCCTGAAATGATTTTAGACATTTCCATGAACACTAGCATGCAAGGAAGTACTATCTCATTGTACTTTTCAGCGCCTCTGTCTTACCACTTCTACATAGATTTCCATGAATCATTTGCTGGTTGGTTCCTCTAGTGCCCTGAAAAGATTTTAGACATTTCCATGAACAGTAGCATGCAAGGAAGTACTACCTCATTGTACTTTTCAGGGCCTCTGTCTCACCACTTCTACATAGATTTGCAGCTTAAAAAAAAAAAAAGTTTTGCTCTAATGACAATCTATAGAGGGTGAATATAATTTATAGATTAAATAGAAAAGCCTGCATACAGTGGCCCTGATGATGCACAATGTTTATGCAACAAGTAGTATTTATAAATTTTCTTCCCCTGCAGTTCAAAGTCCCTGAAACTTTCTTATGTCTTTCTTTTTGCTAATTGTTGTTATCCAAAAAAAAGTCTAGCTAAAAGCAAATAAATGGATTATCTATGGTTCTTTCATCAATACCCTGATAAATTATGAGTTCTCTTTTCTGCATACGTACGGAAGCTTCTGTAAGGCTTGAAAAAAAGATAACTATGTCTTCTCTAAAATATTGTTTTGAAAAAGAGATGGAAAATTACTATCAAAGTAAGAATTCAGTCAAAGTTACTCGGTGAAGGGATTTAACTATTAGGATATTTTTGTTCAGCACCAAAAAATCCACTTCTTATCATAAAAAAAAAGATAGGTAAAGCAAAGTGCATGCAAATACAGTTGTGTCACCTAGGATTTGACCTATCCTTCATACAGGACAAATACATGAAGATCAGTGAAATTATGCCCGATAAGAGAGAAGAAAATTGGAACTAAAAAGTACTTTGCTAAACAGAAATGGGATTAATCAGAAAGCAGAGCATTTGTCCTCTATTTTGAAATCACTGCAACATTTCTTTTTTTTTTGGAAATATGATAGGCAGAGTGGACAAAGCGGTTTTTAAATAAAGGAAGGTGATTCTGGGGATGACAGGCAAAGAGACAAAATAAAATGAGAAATGACATAAAAGAGGCTTGTCGTGAGCCACAAACTGAGCAAGAAGGTATTTTGGAACTTATGTGTGAGGCTGAATACGTGAAGGAAATGTACCCTCTAGGGATATATTTGAGCATCAGTGCGCTCTCCCAGTATGACCTACATTGTTGTAGTGCCTTTTTTCCCCAGAAATAAATGCACTGGTTACTGGAAGCAGACCTATTTTAACTCCATAAATACAGAAGCAATTAATTTATATTCAACAGTAAAGTTGTTAAAATGATCCCCAAGTTTAAAAGAATAAATGAAATAAAGGTAATTTTACCATTCTCTAAGAACTGTTCAGAATTACATGTTATGCTTAAGTGGATTTTTCTTTTATATCCAGGCTGATTCACACTTGGAAGAATACAATGAGATGCTGGAGTTCATATTGAAATGGATCGAGAAAGCAAATATCCTAGTGCATGGTAGTATAACATGGAATTCTTCCTCTCAGCTTCGTATGTATCTCTGTTGTAATCTGCTAGTGAGTGTAAAATACCATGAATTCAAATTAGACAATATTCATTAGCTTTTGAGTAAGTCACTAGATAAATTCATAAAGCATGAAGTAGCTGATGAGCTGTAATACCTTATTTTAAAGATATTTAAGATAAATTTAAGTGTTTGCATTTATGCAATTTTATGAAATAGCATATTGTTTAGTAATTTTTCTCCTCTCCTCTAAAATATGGGGGAAATATAGAATATGAATGGACATTTCTATCTTAGCAGTTTGGGATGGGGAGGGAAGCAACAAAATAAAGTTAGTTTCACTGAAGGTGCTGAAAAATTGACATTTTCTATATACTTGTGCTCACACAGTAGCGGAGAACTGGACAGTCATAAATAAGAATCTAGGGAATCCCAAGATACAGTTCTTTTAATGAACCATTTAAAAATTTGAAAGTAATTAGCTTTGTTGCAAGCTTCATATAATGCGCAGGTTTACCCAGGTGTGTTGTTTCCCGTTGTTCTTAACACTGTTTTTCTGTCTTTAGTCTCTCCTTGGTGAAGTAACTACTCATCGTCAGGCTGTTGAAAAAATGGCTGAACAACAACAGAATAAGTACTTGGGGCTTTACACCATTTTGCCTTCTGAACTCTCTCTTCATTTAGCAGAAGTTGGGCTGGCTCTTGTAAATGTCCAGGACCAGGTAAAGCATAGTAGATCATTGCATTAAAGCTCTATATTCCCTCTTTATAACCTGGTGAAATACAGTAATCAAGTGTGATCATACTATGACAATGTAGTGTCGTAGTTTAACTCCAGCCAGCAACTTGGATCACTCAGCTGTTTCATCACTCTCCCCAGCTGGGATGGGGGAGAGAATCAGAAGAATAAAAGTGAGAAAAACCTCTCATGGGTTGAGATAAAGACAGTTTATCAGATAGAGCAAAAACTGTGTGGACAAGCAAAGCAAAACAAGGAATTCATTCAGTGCTTCCCATCAGCAAGCAGGTGTTCAGCCATCTCCATCATGCGTAATCGTTACTTGGGAAGACAAATGTCATAAATTTGAATGTTCCCCCACCTCTTTCTTCTTCCCCCAGTTTTATGTGCTGAGCATTATGTCGTATAGTATGAAATATCCCTTTGGTCAGTTGGGGTCAGCTGTCCCAGCTGTGTCTCCTCCCAACTTCTTGTGGATTCCCAGCCTACTTGCTGGTAGGGTGGTGTGAGGAGCAGAAAAAGCCTTGACTGCTTAGCAACAACCAAAACCATCAGTGAGCTACCAGCATCACCTTCATCCCAAATCCAAAACATAGCACTATAGCAGCTCCTAGTGAGAAAGTTAACTCTATCCCAACTGAAACTGTGACAAGTAGTTTAATTACCTTCTTTCTTTAAATTAACTTAAAAGAAAGTCAATTTCCTATCAGAAGGAGAGATTTCTTGTTACTGAATTTAGTTCTTCTTGTTGACAGATTCAAACCAAAGAAAGAGAAACTCAGCAGATCAAAACACTGAATCAAGAGTTTGGTCAGAAAATCCAGGGGATAGCAAATGAACTAAATGCCATTCTTTCCAAACTGAAAAAGAAAACAACTGATATAGCACAAGCTAAACTTGAACAAAAGGTAAGACAAAGCTTCCCTTATTTGCTTAGACCATAAATTCTGAATTGGGACATTCACTTCATACCAATGTTGTATTTGGAAAGACCTGTGTGATATATTCTTTTAATGTAGTTCAACAGAAGAATGGACAGAAATCAGGGTTGACTGATGCGATTTTTTAATTATATTCTTTGCAAACTAGGTAACATAACTTGGAGGAAGTAACTGAGAGTAAAAGCGAGATAAATGGGTAGTTACGCTGTTCCCTCTAAAGAGTATTTCTGCAATCTGGGAAAACCTAAGAGGTTCCCAAACTTCTCCTTGTCCCAATCTGTACTGAAAAGACCATTCTTTACAGTACAGCTTTACTTGTGATAAATAGAATTTTACTTAGTCAGTTGTTCATTTCGTATCATTTGGTGGAATAATGAGATAAAGTATTACTGGTGTGGTATAGAGTAATGCAAAGGACTCCTGGTTCTTTTTGTGGTTTTTCTTAATCTTAGGTATGTACTACACTCAGAAAAGCTCATCTGTACTGAGGTGTAATGGCCAAATTAGAATTATCATATAAGAGTAGGGGATTTTGGCAGGGGAGAGGTTGCTTGATGGTGGGTTAGGTTTTTTTTTTGATTTAGCTTGGTTTTTTAACTAGTTGAAAATAAATTTGACCAAGTTACTGGTCATATCAAATAAGAGGGGATTTGGCATGTCTGGTATGTCAAAAATTATCTGTTTATTTTAATGATTTGCTCTCCATATGCTCCAAAGTAACATTTGCTTTGCAGGAGGTATCACTGAAATATATCCTTTTTATATTCATGTATCTCCTTGATCCCAGTAATTAAGCAGAAAACCGGTAAAATGTGCTTTCCCATGTTAAATAGTTGAAAACTCTCTCACTGGAGATTTAATAACGTTCCCTTAACTGCATTTATGTCAGCACTGAGCTGATACTCTCTCTCCCAATACCCCTTCCCCAAGACACTGTGTTATTGGTCTATGAGAAACGTAGAAAAAGCCTTTTAGGTTTCCTTTTTAAAATTTTCAGAAACTTTGTAAGTATGGTAAGAAAAATTGATTTTAAAATCTGTTTCCATTGAAGCAGTCTAACATGATCCAGACTGCTCCTGTGTCAAGATCAAGCTGTGAAAATACAACTTTCCAATGAAAATGAACATTTTTCAAATGTATTAACAAGTAATTACATACTTCTGAGTTTGTAAGGGCATACTTTAAGACAGCAACAATACAAAACCCCTTTCTAATATATAAAAATCTTGTCGTGGCAATGACGGGTAATTTCAAAAACAAACACAGAAAGATAGCCAATTAATGTCACTCTGAAGTGATTCAGTCTTTTGCTATGGGAGGGAAAATGGTTATCTATTTCAGCCAGGAAGTCAGAGAGGAAAGAATAATGGCACACATTTCAGAGATGACCAAACATCCTGCTGTTCCGCCTTCTTGCAGAAGCATTGTTGGTTTCCAGCCAGAATAAAAATGGAACAAACTACGGAGACTTTGGACAGGATATAAAAGTTGCAAGTCAGGCTAGAAATAATCAAGCAGAAAGCTAACACTTCCTGGATCACTGATTTTCTTGTTTTTCTGTCTAGATCCTCGGAGAAGAGTTGGACAGCTGCAACATAAAGCTGTTGGAATTAGATGCATCAGTCCAGGACTTTGCAGAGCAGAACGCACCGCTGGCCAAGCAGCTGGCTAACAGGATTGGGAAACTCACTGCATTGCACCAACAGACCATTCAGCAGGCTGAGTACAGAGCAGCCAAGCTCAGTCAGGTATGGTCTCAAATCTCTTCTCAGAAGCAGAAGGAACATGCAAGCTTCTCATTTATTTTACTTCCTTGCAAGAAGGGGCATTCCTTGGCACATCTGCCTACTATTAGTCAGAGCTTGTATCACGCCTTGTATCACACAGATGGGGCAGATCAGGAGGGTGGAGTAATTCTGCGACGCTGCTTTAACATCCTCTTCCATGAATCATTTGCTGGTTGGTTCCTCTAGTGCCCTGAAAAGATTTTAGACATTTCCATGAACAGTAGCATGCAAGGAAGTACTACCTCATTGTACTTTTCAGGGCCTCTGTCTCACCACTTCTACATAGATTTGCAGCTTAAAAAAAAAAAAAGTTTTGCTCTAATGACAATCTATAGAGGGTGAATATAATTTATAGATTAAATAGAAAAGCCTGCATACAGTGGCCCTGATGATGCACAATGTTTATGCAACAAGTAGTATTTATAAATTTTCTTCCCCTGCAGTTCAAAGTCCCTGAAACTTTCTTATGTCTTTCTTTTTGCTAATTGTTGTTATCCAAAAAAAAGTCTAGCTAAAAGCAAATAAATGGATTGTCTGTGGTTCTTCCATCAATACCCTGATAAATTATGAGTTCTCTTTTCTGCATGCATAAGGAAGCTTCTGTAAGGCTTGAAAAAAAGATAACTATGTCATGATATTCTTTTTAGTTTTCTCTAAAATATTGTTTTGAAAAAGAGATAGAAAATTACTATCAAAGTAAGAATTCAGTCAAAGTTACTTGGTGAAGGGATTTAACTATTAGGATATTTTTGTTCAGAACCAAGAAATCCACTTCCTATCATAAAAAAAATGATAGGTAAAACAAAGTGCATGCAAATACAGTTGTGTCACCTAGGATTTGACCTATCCTTCATACAGGACAAATACATGAAGATCAGTGAAATTATGCCCGCTAAGCAAGAAGAAAATTGGAACTAAAAAGTACTTTGCTAAACAGAAATGGGATTAATCAGAAAGCAGAGCATTTGTCCTCTATTTTGAAATCACTGCAACATTTCTTTTTTTTTTGGAAATATGATAGGCAGAGTGGACAAAGCGGTTTTTAAATAAAGGAAGGTGATTCTGGGGATGACAGGCAAAGAGACAAAATAAAATGAGAAATGACATAAAAGAGGCTTGTCGTGAGCCACAAACTGAGCAAGAAGGTATTTTGGAACTTATGTGTGAGGCTGAATACGTGAAGGAAATGTACCCTCTAGGGATATATTTGAGCATCAGTGCGCTCTCCTAGTATGACCTACATTGTTGTAGTGCCTTTTTTCCCCAGAAATAAATACGCTGGTTACTGGAAGCAGACCTATTTTAACTCCATAAATACAGAAGCAATTAATTTATATTCAACAGTAAGGTAAAGTTGTTAAAACGATCCCCAAGTTTAAAAGAGTAAATGAAATAAAGGTAATTTTATCATTCTCTAAGAACTGTTCAGAATTAAATGTTACACTTAAGTGGATTTTTCTTTTATATCCAGGCTGATTCACACTTGGAAGAATACAATGAGATGCTGGAGTTCATATTGAAATGGATCGAGAAAGCAAATATCCTAGTGCATGGTAGTATAACATGGAATTCTTCCTCTCAGCTTCGTGATCAGTTTAAAGCATACCAGGTGATTATATGAGCTATGAAATTTAAAGGGGAGTGTATAAAAGAAGCTATTTTTTGAGCAGTGAGGTTTTAATTTCCTACAACTTTTTGCTTCCTCTTCTTGAGGAAAAGAAGTCTTAAAATGCTAGGTTTCTTTGATTGTTCCCCTAAGTCTTAAAGATTATTAATTTGTTTTGGACAATTATTTTGAAGACTGAAATCAATATATATTGTTGAACAGAACTATATGATTCAAAGTTGATCTTTATGTTTACTCAAGTACATTGGCCTCATAGCAGCTTTTGATTGAACAGCATGTCTATACACCGTGATTCTGCTGCACTGAGTACCTCAATGCAGTTGATATTCCTCTAGAACTTTAGTTAACCAAACACAATTTTCAGGCTTGGGGTATTTTGTTTGTTTTCTACTTTCTCCTTTATGCTAAATTGGAATAGCCTTTGTTCTCATCTGATGAGTTTCACCCCAAATGTTTTCAGACTGATACCCAGTGGATGAGTTTCTTCCGGTTGCTTCCTCATCATCTCACATGAGTGTGTTTTGTTCTCCCTGTGACAATGCAGTTTGTTCTGTCTGTGTCTGGTCTGTGTGGAATGTGTAAGTGTGGAATCAGTGGAGCACTTTGATGAGGTTGGAGTTTGTCCACTGTTACAGAACCACGTGAAACAAATCAAAGCATCGTAAGATTATCATGTTTCGCTAATGCCAAAATAAGACTGTGTTAATTATGGTTTTTATGCATACATTAGTTAATTGTCAGCTGCATTCACTTACACTGGGGAAACGTACTAAGTCACACTTTCTTATTCTGAAGAGGAACCTCGAGGCAACTTAACCTGAGGATATCTGGGAGTTAGCATTTCTGGTCTGGTTTTTCTATGGCCTTTTCCCTGCTGCAAAAGTTGATAAGGATATAGGCTTAACCAATGCCATCCCGTGGAACACTTTGGTAGCCATTTTTGAGGCAGCTTTAATGACTAGTGCCCTGCTATAACACTGTACCCAAGCACTTTCTGCTGCTTCCTATTGGGCACATCAGGCTTCCAGAACAAATCTTATCCATAGGTGGTGTGTGTTGTATTTTTACAGGTAAGTGTGTATAGCAAAACACTAAAACAAATGTGTTGGTTACTACAGCTGCTGAAGTTTCATACACTTTTGACTTACTCTTTGACTTTTGACTTACTCTTTTGTTTCCCAGACTCCATAAGCTGAAGCACTTCAGCATACACCCAGAATTAAGCATATTGCTGAAACCTTACAGGAAATTAACCTTACAGTAGAACTTAATCATAGGCTTACAGATGTGTGCAAATTGAGGAGTTTGCAAAACAGGAATATACTTAAAGATGTATGTAATCTGAAGCTCAACTCTGGCATTCAATTTGTTCGTATCTCCATCTAGACTATGCTTGATGAATCCGGAGAGATTCACAGTGATCTTGAGGCCATGACTGAGAGGATTGATTATCTGGCAAGTGTATACTGTACTGAAGGAATGTCACAGCAAGTGCTGGAACTGGGGCGGCGGACAGAGGAATTACAGCAAGTTATCAAAGTGCGGCTACCAAACCTCCAAGATGCTGCCAAGGTATATGAAAGCAGTTTTTTTTAAATGACAGCTGACAGCTAGGCTGGTGTGTGCATCTTTCTGAGACTGTTAGCAGTACAGATTAACTGTGGTCTATAAAGGGCATGGCTGTGCAATGTTCCTCTGCAGCCTATGAATGTTCCTGTGCAACCTGCTCTAGGTGGACTTGCTTTGGCAGGGGGGTTGGACTAGATGATCTCCAGAGGTCCTTTCCAACCCCATGTGATTCTGTGATTGTGCTGTCTAAAGCAAGATGTCTTGCGCTGTTTGAGATGCTGCCTTCAGGTGCCGATCCAGATGGCACAAGATTCCTGAAGGTCCTGTCACATCTGCCCGTTAAGGGTGGATATATTGGAGATCACAGTGCGTCTCAAACGGCACTGAGAACTTATGTTTAGATACTTGGAAAGTGTCTGTGTTGGCACTTACACTGCCATTTTCTTAATTTTTCTCTTAAAAGATATCTAAAGCCCACTATGTATTAATTCAGATTATACAGGGCCAGATCAGGATTCCATAATGTAAGACATACTTCTACAAGGGAGTACAATGAAAAGTATGAACACACTTTTTCACGTCCTTGACATTTGTGTGCAGCTGTTCCATGTGGATTTATTGTTAACGTAAATATGTGTTATACCTATGCAATACATGGTAAACTGCTGCAAGACACAGGGAAAAGCACAGAAGTCTTTTCTACTTGCCTTCAGGGCAAGAAATTTTAACCAAACGTACAGGGACTACCTGAAAAAAGCTTAGGCTGCTACTCAACAGGGACAGGGCCAAATTGTTACATTTAGACAGGAAGAACCAGGCATGTGCGTTTCTGAATTAGGAATTACTGGTTTGACATATTGTGTTGAAAGGTCTTAAGTTTAATAATGTTGATCATGTAAAAGTGAGTGAACAATGGCTGTAAAACACCCAAACACCATGCAGAAAATAAAATATATAGTTGTATGGTGTGTGAAGTAGTCCTTTTGTTCTATCTATTGGTCGCTAGTGAGGTTTCAGCTATGTCCAGTTTTGCACTTGAAGAAAGAAATGGGCCAACTGGAGAAAGAACAGAGGATGGTGACGATTGTGATACGTGTATAAATCTGTAGAAAAGATGCATGGAAAAGGATTATCCTAACATGATGTATTCAGAGAGAATAAAAATAATTTGTTCTTCATGTCTTGTTAGTGGAATAGTAAATAGAGGATTGAAATTGCAACAAAAGGCAACTTGACATCAGACCATCAAAGAAAACTTTCTACAAAAAAAGAGTACTGAAACACTAGGATATGCTGTCTGTAGAGATAAGTGGGACTCCACTGCTAATGGTCTTTAACAACAGTCTGCAAAGATAAGACAGTTATGTCCTGTCTTATTAGAGGAAAATGACTAAAGAACATCTTCAGTTTCTTTCTAGGCCTTGAGCTTCATGAAATGAGCTCTATAAAGTACATGCTGTGTTTGAGGAAGTACTTAAAATAATAACTCTGACTTTGAGACCTCTTTTTCTAGACTGTCATATGACTGGTATTTTTATCCAATATTTTTAAAATTTAATTTCATTGTTAAAATCATGAATTAGTTTTGACACTATGAAGAGATGTAGCTACAAATCCAGACAGATATACTTAGAGGGTTTTTTTGGGGTTTTTTTGTTGTTTTTGTTTGTTTGTTTGTTTTTTGTTTTTAATTTATCCATGAATCAAATGTGTTGTGTTACAGGACATGAAGAAGTTTGAAGTTGAGCTGAGAGCCCTGCAGGCTGCTCTGGAGCAAGCCCAAGCCACGTTGACCTCTCCAGAGCTTGGGCATTTGAGTCTGAAAGAGCAACTTTCTCACAGACAGGTAAAAGGCCAGGATCTCAAAGTTAACACTTGAGTAGTGTGAGCTTACACAAAGAGTAATGAATGCTGGTGAGACAGATTGTGCTGTTACTTAGGTGAGTCATTGTTTCAGAGCGTAGCCCCAAATTACTGCCAAGGGAATAAGGGATGAAATAGGAAAAATCATTCCCTCAAAGGGAATGGTTGAAGTATAATCCTTGATGAGTCTGTTCTTAGGTTGATGTAATTCTGAGAAACGAGTATCCAGTTCAAGTTTAATCCATACTCCTACTAAAGCTCAGTTCTTATCCAGTGCTTTTCATCAATAGGTTCTTAAAGTACTTTAAAAGGAAGTCCAAATTTTTATCATGGTGTTACAGATAGAGATGCAATGAGATAGTGTGTTGTTTGCTCCCCCAGTAATCAACCGGAAAACTAAGAGAAAATTCAGTTTTCCTTAAGCCCAGTTACATTTTTGTATGTTTAGTTGAATTACCTCCATAAGATATTGCTGCCTTCTGAATTTCACTTGGCCTACTACGGAGTTCTTCAATTTGTTATTTTTAGTCTCAGTCTTATGACATAACCCAAGTTATAACTCACTGAATTGCTTAAGAAACATTTCTTGCTACAAGCTAATACAGTGCTTTAACTGTCCTGGTTTGCCAGTGAAAACTAAATGTCAACAGATCGACTTTATGATTAAAATCTGCAGAAAAATGTACAGATGAAAGGTAAATTTGCAGAGCTTTCCCTTTTGGTTAACAAATGCAGTCTTTATTCTAGGGACTTGCAGCCAAATTTCAGAATTTGGCATTGAAGAGTGTAAGTGAAACACATCACCCAATGTAAGAGAAAAGGAATATGGACTGTACACTGTTGTTTATGTGTATTTTTCATCCTGGTTCTAGCAGGTCTCACAGTATGACTTCCTTTTGCATAGAGGGGAGCTATAGCCCCTGCCCAGCTGTTTTGTCAGACCAAAGAGGGGGTCTTAGAGAGTGCCTGGCTGGGGTGCAGCCCCCAGGGTGCCTCTGGGTGCCCATTGCACAATAAGGACACTCTTTGCCAGCAGTATGGGGCCTGCCAGAGGAGAGGCCTCCCCAGTGATGTCCAAGGAATAGGTCATTATACCAAATCTCTGGTTAGGTTGTCCACCATACGTCATGAAGGCACAGACGTAAAAAGCAAACCGATAGGTCATTATACCAAATCTCTGGTTAGGTACGTCATGAAGGCACAGATGTAAAGAGCAAACCAAATCCTCTCATCAGTATGAGCTCCAGACCCACTTATCTGTCTTTCTCCATATGGCATAGGAGAAGGGAGCTGACTGCCACGTACGTTGCCCAGCTTATTTATATCTATTGAATTTAAAATCTTTTGCTAATGTGTTAAAACCCTTTTCATCAACTTTGCCTTTTCCTTTTTTTTTTTCCAATTGTTTTTCTTTTCTATCTGTGAATACATTAAGCTCCCCAATGTAGATAAAAAGAATGGAGATCAAATCTATTCTCCAGTCATTGCAGTTAGACTCTTCTCATGCAGATGAACAGGCAGCTTGAATGGACATTGTGAACAGAATAGAGACTATTAACAAAGGCATCCAGTGTGTGATTACTCAAAGGAGAAGATCTCTGTGTAGCTGTGTTTCTTTCTGTTTGATTGCCTTTTGAATTTTAAGCAACATTTTCGGACATGGTTTGTATTTTCAAAGGAAGGCTGTGAACACAACAGGATTAGTTTGCCACTTTGAAAATATGCTTCTGTGTCTTAGCAGGGAGTTCCACTCAGATTTTAACATTAAAATATGTATACATAAATGATTGCTGCTTTAACAGATATACTGCTTTGATTTGTGGACTTTGTAAAGATGCTTATTTTCAAACATTTTAACAGAAATATTTATGGGTTTAGACAGTTACTCCTATGATTTTTCATTAATTATTTTTATTTCTCTTATACGGGCAATTTGCTTAGCAAATACTTAAAAGAATGCTTATTTCAGAATGAGCAATTCCAGACCAAGTGTGTCCTGATTATATTCCATATAGAAAACGGAAAATCAAATTCGTTTGGTTTAGTGCTTGAACTCATGGTTATTTTTCTTTTGCCGAGTGAAATGCTCCGGGAGTTCTGCAGAACTGGCTTATTGTGGCACTGACTTTGTTTCTAGCACCTGTTGTCTGAAATGGAGTCGCTGAAGCCAAAAGTTCAGGCGGTACAAGTGTGTCAGAGCGCCCTGAGGATCCCTGAAGAGGTGGTGACCAGCCTGCCCATGTGCCACAGTGCCCTGCGGCTGCAGGAGGAGGCCAGCCGCCTGCAGCACACCGCCATTCAGCAGTGCAACATCATGCAGGCAAGTGCCACTCCGACCCAGAAGTTGCTCTGAGTAACTTGAACAGAGCCAGAGAGATGAAAACAGAGAATTTCATATCTCCCTGCAGTCCTTTTTTTTCTGTGTAGTACCATTAAAAAGTTCTCCGCTAAGTTTTGGTCGTTTCTGACACACTGTTTTTGGGGGTTTTAATATTCATATCAGGAAGAAATTTTTTACTATGAGGGTGGTGAGACACTGGAACAGGTTGCCCAGCGAAGTTGTGGATGCCCCATCCCTGGAAGTGTTCAAGGCCAGGCTGGATGGGGCTTTGAGCAACCTGCTCTAGTGGGAGGTGTCCCTGCCCATGGCAAGGGGGTTGGAACTCGATGATCTTTAAGGTCCCTTCCAACTCTAACCATTCTGTGATTCTATGTTAATTGTTGATTTATTCATCAGACTCTCATCTCTGTTCTCTCCTTGGTCTTGCTTTGTTTTTTTGTAATGCTGCTGGGATTATCTAGACAAATAGCTAATATGCAATTGTATGCAAGTTAATTTTATAACACCTATAGTCAGTTAATGGAATTAATATCTCATTATAACATCAACAGCTTATAATGATTGCATAGAAACTATCAAGTTAATTAAATAGCTTTCAAGGATAAGAATAATGAATGTTTTTTCTCTTTATTTAAAATTTATATGTATTTGCTTTCTGATTTGGAATCATTAAGCATCTATTAAATTTGCGTTTTCAAGCTTTGCCAAATACAAGGAAACTAGGTTTTATTTGATTGTTTGGATTCATACCTAAACATGTTAAAGACATTTCCAGTGAAGAATCACAGAATCACGTAATTGTCAGAGTTGGAAGGGACCTCTAGAGATCATCTAGTCCAACTCCCCTGCTACAGCAGGATTGCCCAGAGCACATCACTCAGGACGGCATCCAGGCGAGAAGACAGGAATAAGCTTTTCTTTCCTGCTACTTAGTGATAGAAAAATACATAGTGAGCTATGGTACAACTACAGAGCTGCAACTTATATACCAGAAGAGATTTTCAGTCACTAAGGTTACTTAATGATACTTAAATACAAGGACGGATACAATTTCACACTGAAAAGTTTTAAAAGCAGGTTAAACAAACTGCTGGTGAAGCTGTGATAGAAAGAACTGATACCACACTGGTAGGATAATAGTCTGAATCAATCTTCATAATCCTCTCCCAGTTGTATTTTTTGTAAAATCTAACTCTTTCATATAGTCTTTCCACTTCATAAACGGAGGCTTGAAGTTAAAAAGCAGATCAAAATGTTTTCTAGTAAAACCATGAGACTAGGCAATACTGTCTTTTGGTGGATATGTTTGGTGCAGATACTTGTTGGAAGAAGAAGTTCTGCCTTCTTATATTGGATATCATCATGTTGTGTGAATGTGGTTTTTTGGAAATAGTTAAACAAAAGAAAACATTGAGTTCATTGCAGTTCACAGTATTTGTGAATGGACTTCTTCCTGACTCTATTCCTGCTTTGCTTATCCAGATGCAAGTGCCAGATAGATTAAGTTTGCTCCACTTCAGAAGGGAGATCAGTCATGCCTGGATTAAGTAAATACTTATTTTCATGTAGAGGCTCAATATTTTTTTTCTCTCTCCAGGAAGCAGTGGTTCAATATGAACAATATGAGCAAGAAATGAAACATTTGCAGCAAATGATAGAGAGCGCCCATCGTGAGATCCAAGACAAGCCAATAGCAACCGGCAACATTCAGGAGCTCCAGGCCCAGATTTCGCGTCATGAGGTAGGAGAGCCAAAGTGCAAAAAAATGGGCTAAGGGGCACCTTACTGACCCAAAAAACTTTTCATAAGCAATAGTCATAGATTAACTGAGTAGCTTTTCAGACTTGCTTAAGGCTAGTTGAGCAGATAGACTTAATACCAGGTAGGAAACTCATGATGTTGGTACAGTGTGGAGTGTTCACTTGTTTATTCTGTTAGATGTGTCCTAATCTCCAGGAAACATTGTGACACGCAAAAGCATTGCATAATTAAGGGACACTTAGCATAGGTACTTAACTGAGGACTGTCCCAGAAGTCAATGCCGAGCAGTTAGTCAGGTGATCACTGTTAGTTCATATATATATATATCCTAAAGTACTTACTGATTTCCATGACAGTAACATTCTGTAAAAGAACACCAAGGAAATTGAATTACGTGAAAACCACAGTAGATTTGGAGGAAAACTCTGACACGTTGACTCCAAAGGCTCCTTTTAAAGTCATCGATGGGCAGAGTTTTGTCCTGTGGATTTATAAGTCCTGCCCTCAAACTCATTGATCTTCAGCCCTCAAATGAGTCAGAATAGTCTCTGTACAGCCTTCTTGCTTTGCTGGTGTTGGACCTCCTGAGCCCCTTTCACCTTCCCCTGTCTGTTGTGTATTTCTTGGGATAGAAAATGCACCACTGAACTCTGTGTGTCACTTTTGGCACCAGATGGCACCATTTCTTTACCTTTGAATTAGAAGCTGTCAGTGCTGTTATGTAATATAACCTAATGTTATACGCACCAGATGGCACCATTTCTTTACCTTTGATAGAAGCTGTCTGTGCTGTTACGTAATATAACCTAATGTTATATGTCTTCCTCATTTTCTATCCAGTTGTTACAAAAGTTGCTTATTATAAATGCAGAGCAGTTTGCTTAAACAATTCTAGCTTTTCAGTACTGAATTTGAAATGCTGCTATTCCTTATTCAAATGTTCTGTAACAGCAAATGCAGGAAAGTGACTTCACCGATACAGGATAATATCGCTAGAGGAAGGAACTAAAAATGGGGCAGCTTGAAGTTTCATTTGCATTTGAACAAGTTTGGTAGCCAGGAGTTCTTCTAAATGACTGCAGGAAGGCAACAGCTTTACTCTATTGCACATGTTGGGGTCAACCAGAGTAGACAGGTTTCATACTTGCAAACTTTCCAGGTTTAGGGGTATGGAGTTTTGAAAGATGCGTGGTTTTGGCTCATATTTTGTCTGCTAAATACCTGTGGAAAAGCGTAGCAAAAAAGGGATATATTGAACACTATATTATTTACTGCATCAAGAGGCAAGTCTGTCAAGATATTTGTTACGTGTGTTATGAAATTAAGAAAATACCAGTTACCAGATTCCCTGCTGAAGTCTGCATGAACAAGAACTTAAAGGGACATTTGTAGTAGCTATATGTAGAATTAAAATAAGAGGAAGAAAATAGAAACTCTCTACAACTACTTGAAAGGACACTGTAGAGAGGTTGGTGCTGGTCTCTTCTCGCAGGTAATTAGTGACAGAAAGAGAGGGAATGGCTTCAAGCTCCAACAGGGTAGGTTTAGACTGGACATTAGGAAAGAATTTTTCACAGAAAGAGTGGTAGGGCATTGGAACAGGCTGCCCAGGGAGGTGGTGGAGTCACCATCCCTGGATGTGTTTAAGAGTCGTTTAGATGTGGTGTTGGGGGACATGGTGTAGGGGAGAACTTTGTAGAGTAGGGTTGATGGTTGGACTCAATGATCCCAAGGGTCTTTTCCAACCTAAATGATTCTATGATTCTATGAAGGGAAATACTGCCTGATTTGTAGGAAGCTCGTATTACTATGCATGTATGTAACTACTTACGCTTTAGAACTATGTTGACTGAACTGTGTCTCTTAAGACTTTCAGATAAGAATGTGAGCAAGTATCACCATACTTGTGAATTATTTTAATGGGTAGTAGTATCTCATAGGACATTGCTATTATAAGTTGCTTTAATTTTTTCGTGATCACATTTTTGCCTCCTTTTCCCTTTCTTTGTTTTCGGTTGAGAGGGGGATGTTAGATACTCAATGCATTGGATATTAATATCACAAATGCTATTGCATCTCAGTCATATTGATGGAGGATAGTGAGTATATTGAATGACAATAATTTCCCATCAAGCCCCAGAGATGTCATTCAGTGAACATTAGTGAATGGCTGGTACTTGCCAAACAGAGCAGACAACTATTCCAGCTGCTAGACGTTAAAGTTATGCCTTGATTTGATTGCAGTTTGTTTTTTGATTGATCTAGTTTATGTTTGATACTTGAGACTTTGCCTGGTCTCCAAAGTAAGCCTTGAAGCTCCAAGAGAGCTCCTTTTGTTGCTAATGTGACAGGCAGTGAGCAGGTACAATTGAAACTCTGGCAGTAAAGTGTCATCCTCAGTCTTTGCACTGTTTCCATTTCTAACTCTGTGTTCCTCACTATGACTGTTCTGATTTGATTTTGAGAAAATGGTTCCCTGAAAATTTTATATAACAGAAAAATATTATAATTTTACTGGTCTGAAGCAGCAATCTTATTTACTTTTTAAAAGTTATGATAATTATTTAACTATTATACCTACTAGATCTTGCAACTTCTGTTGCTATTTTTCCATGAAAATTTCTGTTGGTTGAAGAAATAAAAGTAGATGTAAAAATAAAGCAGAAATATGTATTTGAATTAATAATCACTGATTTAGCAGGCAATCTTATACAAATTATTTCACTTTACAGATCAAAATTCTGTCATGTTACTACGCCTCTAGGGAGACAGAAATAATAGCTTTGGCAGAAATGTGAAAATTTTCCACCATTTTTTAAGTATATGAATTGAAATTTTTGAAACTGGACCCTGAACTGGACAGCAGTACAGGGTAGGAGAGAAGATAGGTTAGTTTCTAAGGTGATTCATTTCCATCTTTCCTCTCTTATCTCACTATGAGCTTAAATTTATGATGGTATTTGGACAAGCATATAGACCGTTTCATAGCCATAAAAAACTATATTTTAAAATATACTCTGCTTTAGTACTGTGTGCAGCTCAGCTTTTCATTCCGAAGACTGACACAAAACCCGAAACAGGATTAAATAGAGTTTATCCAAACACTGGCAAAAAGTGATCCAGTCTGCATTTAATCTTATTATGGGACCGATTGTTCCTATCACATTTGATCTTGTTAGACCCTGCGAATTATTGTCTTGAACTATTCATTCTTTCTGGTGAGAGCTGAATGGGGCATTTTTTTTACAGTTGTGACCTCATTTCCATGGCATGCACTCTGCGGAGAAGCTTCATCTTCCTTGGATAAAGGGAGATAGGAGAGGGAGGGAAAAAAAAATATAGGGCAGGAAGAAGGAGAGACGTTCCCCTTTGCTGCAGTCTGAAGCTTAGAGACTTCACGGCAGGTTCGGGCTGGATGGAAGGGCGAGGGGGGTTCCTCCCTCCCTCCCTTCTGCGGTTATCACGCGGGGCGAGAGCCTTTGGCAGCACTTTTCTGCTTTCTCTCCAAAGCCCCCTCCGCTCTGCGGTGTAAGCTGTGCAGCCAGACGCAGCCCGGCTTGTTCCTTCCACTGTCAACATCCTGCTCGTCAGGCAGCGCGGCGGCTGGTGCGGGGTGTCGGGGAGGCAGCGGGAGGATGTTATTGGCTGGGCTCGGAGGGGAGAGCTCGCCTTCGCCACGGAAGCTGAAAAGCCGCAGGTCCTGTGGCCTGTATTGGCTGCCTCTGCATTACTGGGGGGGAAAAAAATAAATTATAAATAATAATAATAATAAAAAAATGTTTCCTCAGGAGCTGGCTCAGAAGATCAAGGGATACCAGGAGCAAATTGCTTCTTTGAATTCGAAGTGCAAGATGCTGACGATGAAGGCAAAACATGCCACCATGCTGCTGACAGTGACAGAAGTGGAGGGGCTTTCGGACGGAATGGAGGAGCTGGATTCAGACCTGCTTCCAGCACACCCCGCTCATCCCTCGGTGGTTATGGTAAGGAATGCATTGGTCTGGGTACCGTCTGCCTGAGCTGCTTGCTTTTGCATCGTTGCAATACTCCGGTGTGGCAAATTGCTGCAGCTCACATCTACGTTCTGCTTTTGAAATGGCTGGAGTGAGGCAAACCAAACAAGCTGCAGCTTCCCCTTACTGTATTTTGCTTTATATGGGTTTTCAAGACTTGTTGATAAAGGATGAAGCTATTTAACAGACAAATACCGGTGGAAGTTGTCTGTAATAAGATGCAAATACAGTGCTTTTTCGTACCTATGGGCACGCAAGAGCAAACGCTGAGAAACTACTGAATTGCAGGATTAAACCAGAATAAATATTATTTCATAACATGTTGCAGTGGATAGGTTTTACAGACTGTATTTTTAAATATGCCTTAAATGTTGATGTGATAATTGACAGGATGCTCCTGTATTCTCAGGCGAGTGTGTTGGAAATGCAAGCTGACAAAGTACTGCCAGAGGCCTCATGTTTGAGTTACTCTGCTTTTGTTTGTTTCTAATTGGGTCTCATTACAAACATACTGCTGATGCTGTTGGGATTTTTGTCTGAGTGAAAATAGAGTGCGGATTTCAGGATTTATCACTCTATAACAGCACTGGGAAAGTAAGAAAAATATGTTGCTACTGGATTGTGTGCATTTTAGCCTGCAAGTCAATTCCTTGTTGTTCTAACCAGGCCTGGATACTGAGGCCAATACTGCATTTTTCTGCAGCTCTCCATAGTATTTCCATATGCAGCACTGATTCTATTAGAAGGCATTTAGGCAAACCCTAATTTGTTATTATTGAGTTGCTTGCTATAGGTTTTCTTTTAAATTCATTAGGGGACAGTAGAGCATGTTCACACTGAAGTATGAAAAGTAAATGAGACTATTAATTGAACCATATTTTTAAGCTGGTAAATGTAATAGTGTTAAGTACGTCTAGATAGTGTCACGGTAGTTCTGGGCATGTGTTGTTTTTCTTGTTTTGATCTAAATCCAAGTCAAACCAAAGTTGAGGTAACTTATTTTCTTCCTGTGCTCTGGGGTTGCTTTTCCTGTGGCAGATGACTGCTGGTCGCTGTCACACGCTGCTCTCCCCTGTCACTGAGGAGTCTGGGGAGGAGGGAACCAACAGTGAGATTTCTTCTCCACCTGCCTGTCGCTCTCCCTCACCTGTGGCTAATACAGATGCTTCTGTTAACCAGGTACCTCCCTCTTGGCATTCATTCAGCTTTTATCTCAGAGACATGCATGGTTCCATTCCACAGGTGGTTTATTTAATCCTCTGAGATAACATTTATCGAGGATCTGAGGCTTAACCTCTGACCAAACTGAACCTTCAGGTTCTAGTCCAAAATGAATACAAATGTTGACTTCTGAGTTTAAAACGTATAAATTCAGTGTTACAGCTACTCACTATTTTTAAAAATACATTTTAAAATGTATAAATTCGGTGTTACAGCTATTCACTATTTTTAAAAATACATAACCTTCAGGTTCTAGTCCAAAATGAATACAAATGTTGACTTCTGAGTTTAAAACGTATAAATTCAGTGTTACAGCTACTCACTATTTTTAAAAATAAATTTTAAATTACAATTACAAAGCTCTTCCATGCCACTACAATTTTCTATCTATAACCTAATGTTATTTTCACAGAGGTACTCAATGGAATCTTGCATTCTGAGAAAAAATGCAATTTTGTACTGCCATAATAAAACACTGCATCATGTCCATATATGTCTACCTTATGGTGCCATTGGCATTGTAACATTGAAGCCAGAGTCTGATAACTTCCACTGCAAACCATTTCAAGTATTAACTTCCATGTATTTTTTTCATGTATTGTTCATTCCATACTTTCAGTGACAGTCTATTTTAAGTGCTAGTGAGGCAGAGCAGTGAAATCGCTAAAGTTAGATCTTTAAAAGAAAACTGAGGACTCTGACACTTCTAATACATCATCACTGACTAAAATGTGAGCAAGGAACTAGATCATTGAGCATAATGCCCAGGAAGACACCCATAAAATGTTACACTTTGGAAGCTCAGAAATGCGCCTTAAAAGCAGTCACTAACACATTTCATTCCTCGTGTAGCGGGTTTTGTGGTGTGATGCCCAGGAAGACACCCATAAAATGTTACGCTTTGGAAGTTCAGAAATGAGCCTTAAAAGCAGTCACTACACTGTTCATCGTGTAGTGGGTTTTGTGGTGGTTTGTTTGATTTTTAATTTGTGGCTGCTTCCAAAGTTGACCACTGCAGACATAAAGGGTAGAATGGTGTTTCATTGCATTGCTGAGTAGAAATAGAGAAGTTCGAGCAAGTTGCCTACTAATTTCTTCCACTCATTTCAAAGATGAAGTTGCTAAATATAAATGGTTCATTTTCATGAACTGACATAAGAAAGAATACTAAACTAAGATAGTAAGAATGGTGACAAAATCTTCATGATAATAAAGTTATAAAGTTACCTTTGTAATTAAAAAGCTACATAATGAGTGAGAATGATTTTTCTAGTGTTCTGTCATTTCAGATAATCAGAAATTTCCCAGTAAAATTCACTTACATGTGGAAGGTATCTATATATTTCAGCACAAAAATCTTATGACAGGGTTAATCAGCGAAAGAGTTAAAGGAGCAAGAGCAGCTTGTTTTCTAATAAATTCAGTGTCAGTTTATTACATTTCTCTGAAAATGAAAAAAAAAAAAAATATTGAGTTCCAATAAATAATAGGGAAAATCCAGTTTATTACATTTCTCTGGAAAAAAAAAAGATTGATATCTCCAGTAACTCAAAAAATAAGGAAAATCCAGTGAAATACTGTTGCCCCATGAGCTGACACCAAAATGTAAGTTTTAGAACCTGTGTTTTACAGAGCAAAATTGAACAACAATACTGTCTTTCATTTAGCTGAAGATCTTTGAGATAAAATTGCTGGTGTTACAATAATCTAAAGCACTGACAGCTTAAGGTTTCATGAGTGTGGTTAATGTTGAAATGAACTGCACGTACTAAACAGTAAGCGGAAGAACATTCAAAATGCAGTGGTTTACTTACAAAATGCTTAGGTTCACACTCACATGAGATTAAACCTAAAGAAGCTATGAAACTGCCAGTGCTGGTCATGATGAATACCCGGGGAGACTTCATGAAAGAAGGTTGGTTAAAAAAACAATATCTAGACAATAGCAAATTAGGAGTTTAAATGTAAGTTGAACATATTTTGTATTCGGTAAAAGACTGGGCAAAATTAATTTGGAAATATTCTGTTTTAAAATTAGCCAGTGTTAAGACAAATAATTTCTCACAGGAAGATCACCTGCAAAGTACCAGAAAAATGTGTGAACAGGAACTCTAGAAATCAAAGAATTGCATTAATCTAGTTTTTTGGAAAAAAATTTAAAAGCTCATATAAAGGGGGGTGGTTTTGGGAGGGCAGGTTGAGTGTTAAAACTGTTTTAAATTCATCCCTAATACTCTATGTACAATCTTTCGTCAGGGTTTCCTAGCATCTCTTAATGGTGAAATGTGGCTAGTCTGATCTGAGATATCTATGTGCATTTTTTACATTGCTAGCAAGTAATGAAAATATAAAACAAATGCTAAGTGCTTATTAGTGAAAATATTGATTCTATGTATTGAAATAGAAACAGAGACTATAAATACAAGAAAGTGACAGATCTAGCACTGTTATAAGCTCACAGTTTCCCAGGTCATTTGTTTTGTACTGAAACTCCTCTAAAAACAACTCGGAAGCATGGGGAACAATTATAAAAATGTTAACTTTTAAAAGGCTGAGGGATTTCATGGTGTATAATATTTCAGCAATAGATAACAGTCCTTTAATGCAGTTCATTTTGATGTCTAGCAAAATCAGGCACTTCACCTGTGCTGCAGTACTGAATGAGAACCCTCTGGGACTAAAACATCTCACCCTTACCCCAAAAAATACTTGATTAAAATTTAGCACATTCTTTTAAAGCTTCTTTCGAGCCACATACTGCAGAGCAATGGAATTGAAAAAATGGAAAAGCTCAAGTGCTGATACAAAGCCTTGGAGGTCACAGCTGATCCTGTGATCCAAGTCTTCAGCACTGGGTCACTGTTAAATGTCTTTCCATCTCCTTGTTCACAGCCTACTTAATCATTCTTTCTCCTTCCTTGTGAAGACTCACTGAAGATGCAACAGCCCTTGTTAATTATCTTCTGAAATCTTAACACACCCTTTTCCCCTACATCCTAACAGCAAAGCTTGAGTACTTTTCATTGGCTAATTTTCGTAAAAGAAGGTATGAGGTATTAGGTCCTTTATAGCTGGAACAAAATCTGTTATGTGTAAGAACATCTGGATTCATGCTATCAGCACTAAAGCCTTACTAAAAAGAAACTGCCATGTTAGTTACTCCAAAAATTAGTTTGAAAAATGAGGAAAGAGATTGCTTTGCCCTCTTTTAAAACCAAGGCCTTTATTCTGGAAATAATGATTTAGAAGTCTCAGAAGCCTAAGTTATCTCTTGACCTTGAGAGAAGACTAGCTTGAAGGCTGGAGAGTAGCTGCAGACAAGGCAAAATGAGAAGTTGTTTGCCCTGGTGCAATTTTTCTCTGTGACTTGGAAAGATCACTTGTGGTCAGAGTAAAAAATTCTGAAATCGCAGTACTGAATGCTGTGCTGACCTGTTACCTATTCCCTGTTGGGGAAAGTGTGAAGAAAGAAGGTTACAACATTTTTCACCTTCCAAACAGATATGGTGGTAATTGTCATACATGGTTTCAGTTTTAAATAGTCCTTGTCATCAAGTCTGCTTTCCTGACTTTAAAGGAAACACAGTATCTATATTTTTTTACATTTTCCGTAGATTTTTTTAATTGCCATCTGCAATAGTTGAAGAAATCCCCATACACTAAGTATAGAACTTCTAGTGAGAAACAGTTCCACCCTGAATTTTCAATGGTAATTTGAACATTACCCTCTTTCCTTAGCACTTTTGGTCCCTTTTCCCACTATCTTTTACACGTTAGTTGAGAGGGCCTGTTTGTTTGAAGGCTTACTATAACATAGAGCTTCATACTCTTTCTTACATCACTGAGTAGTTCTTCAGCATATTCCTTTTTGGTTCTTCTGTTGCCTTCTCTGTGTTAGTGTTCATTAGAGTTGTATTCTTTGCCACCTACAGTACCATAAACCGCTGCCTGTTGTGATGTTCCCCCTGTGTAGGTGTGATGATGTTGAAACAACATTCCCAATTGTAGCACTGCCCTCCTGGTCTTTCCATGTCTGTCCACAGTTTCCTCCTAGATAATATGAACGTGAAAAAAATGCTTCCACAGTCTTCACCATAGAGAAGCTCCAAACCATATTTAGTGTACTACTCTTAAGTATTTAGTAACTGTGTTGCTCAGAGGTTTCCTGGTGGTTTTGACTTTGTGGATTTCATTTTAATGGACATATGCAATGGGACGGTATGTGGGATGATATTCTTATGTAGTATCTTCTATTTTGAGAGTGCAATAACATGCTTCGTGCTTGTAGGACATTGCTTATTACCAAGCCTTATCTGCTGAACAGTTGGCCTTATCTGCTGAACAGTTGCAGACAGAAGCTGCTAAAATTCAACCCAGCACTTCAGCCACCCAGGAGTTTTATGAAGCAGGCTTAGAATCAGCTGCTAGCGCCAAATTGGATGACTTGCAGCGTTCTTGGGAAACACTGAAAAATGTGGTAAGTCTTCATCAGCAGGGTTCAAAATAATCAACAAGCTTGTAAGGAATAAAATGCAAAGAACTAGCTCAGTGATACTCTTCTCTGCAATTCTTAGTTTTCAGATGGTAAAAATTGTTGGTTGTGATATTATTTTACGCTGGCTCTGTTCTTTGTTTGAAAGCCCATGCAGGATGGACTTCCATTAAGAAAAAAAAAAGTCATAAAGGCCGATAGTTGCCTTCAGAAATACTGACTATTGTCAGACTATATTCTGTAACATAACAGAGCAATCTACTCATGCTGGGTGAGTGGGCAAAAAAGGCCCAAGAATCCAGTTTCTCCGAATACTAAGTTAACTTAATACATTTCTACGTAGTTGGGCAGCATAATCATTCAGTGATGTATGAAAATGGTCGAAGTTTTGAACACATGCTATAAATCTTAATTCTTTGCAGAGGCACAGTAGCTATTATGGGACATTAAGAAGTGTGCATCTAGCAAATTGTGCACATACATGTTTGAGTGCATGAGATCTAAAATAAGGCATGAGCATGTGCCTAGGTTTCCCCTGCTTATTAAAGTCCATTTTTTTCAAAGAACTTAAGATTTGACTTACGATATTTAAACTGATAAATATTTTTATGTGAATATTTTGCTTTAAAATTTATACTTCTGAAAACTTGTTGCAAGTTTTTGGTTTTATTCTTACAAGCCTAAGGATGTAAGAAGCAAAGAAAGAGCAAATCCCATATCAGAGGTCAGAATTTATACTTTCCATTCCTCTTCAGATCAGTGAAAAGCAGCGCACCCTCTATGAAGCTCTTGAGCGTCAACAGAGATATCAGGACACACTCCAGTCTATATCCACAAAAATGGAGACCATTGAGGTCAAACTAAATGAGAGCTTGGAACCAGCCAAAAGCCCAGAGAGCCAGATGGCTGAACATCAGGTAAAACTCAGATGTGAGAAACAGAGGGAGAGCGTGCATTTCCTGTGTATATTTAGTTCACTTTTTTTAGATAGTGGTGTTCTTCATGGTTGGATGCCTCAAAAACATTCATTAGTTCTATGAACCTTCACTGTTAATTGAGTATCTTGCCTTTCTGGACTTCCTGCTGTTCTAAAGATCATGTAATGGGTTTTCTTTTAATAAGGGGCCTTTTAAAAAAGTAGAATAGCTTTTTTTAGATAGTGGCGTTCTTCATGGTTGGATGCCTCAAAAACATGCATTAGTTGTATGAACCTTCACTGTTAGCTGAGTTTCTTGCCTTTCTGGACTTCCTGCTGTTCTAAAGATTGTGTAATGGGTTTTCTTTTAATAAGGAGCCTTTTTAAAATGCAGAATAATGTTCTTCATGGTTGGATGCCTCAAAAACATTCATTAGTTCTATGAACCTTCACTGTTAATTGAGTATCTTGCCTTTCTGGACTTCCTGCTGTTCTAAAGATTGTGTAATGGGTTTTCTTTTAATAAGGAGCCTTTTTAAAATGCAGAATAAATCATAATAGTTTGTCCAATCAAAATTTTCAGCAAAATCTTTTGTCAAAGATTGTGTTCAGTGACACCAACACATATTGTTCTTGAGCATCAGTGCTAATAGCATATATCAGACTATTTATAATGTTCCCAAATTTGCTAAGATCATAACCAGTATTGATGCATTGTAAATTGATCTAAATGCAGTCTTTGCTTTGTTAAACAAAGCAAAGAAACCAAAGCACACAAAAAATTCTCTTCCAAAGGAATTTGTCATCTAAGCCTTTTATCTGATAGCTTGAAACTATATGATGGGCCCAGTTCTCATTTCAGTAGGAACTCCATGACCTGAAAAGGATAACATTTGGCTTTTGTAGCACTGCGTGCTGTCCTCTGCATCCAGTGTGTATATTCTGTCAGACCTGAAAGTAAAGTATCTGCTCTAAGGTACTGGTAATGCAGTATCCTTTTGAAGGTGTTTTAGAAATGGATTTCTAGGATAAGAGTGATAATAGGAACTTCTTTTACATTATGGAGTTAATCTCTGGGTATTTACATATATTGCTGGATGTTTTTTGTTCAACTAGTAAGTTTCAGGCTGGAAGCTTCCTCATGCGTCTATTTCTCTCTCCCAAGCACACATCTAGTTACTTGTTCATTATGTTCACTGTATTTACTAGAATATCCCCCAGAAATATTGTTGGAAGAATAAATCTGTATGTATAATATTTCCAAAAGAATTCTTTCTGATGATATGTTTGAAATTCAAGATAATGAATTAAATCCATATTTCAGTTATTAGTTGCCTGATTCTAGCTTAAGCATCTAAAAGCAGGAATCAGTCCTGAATTCTGACTTCTTTCTGGTGATATGTTTGAAATTCAAGATAATGAATTATATCCATATTTCAGTAAAGCAGGAATCAGTCCTGAATTCTGGCTCTACCAAACCTACAATGATATATTGAACTACTCTGTGTTACTCATGCTCCCTTGGGACAGTCATCTTGAATTTTATATTAAGCCTATACCTCCCGAGATAATTTCTTTTCACTGATATATGAAGCAAATACTTCCTCTGCTTTCATTTCTGAATAGGCTTTGATGGATGAGATTTTAATGCTACAAGAAGAAATCACTGAGCTTCAGACATCGTTAGCCCAAGAGCTGGTTTCAGAACCACTGGATGCAGAAGCTGCTGATCAGCTGGCATTGCAGTCCACTCTCATGGTCTTGGCAGAACGAATGGCCACAATTCGAATGAAGGCATCAGGAAAAAGACAACTATTAGAGGTACAAGAAAAACCCCTAGGAGTGGGGCTTTTGGATCACATTCCAGATTTTTAGAGCCACTTTTGGCAGACCGGCCCTTTTACTAAAGTTCTTAGTCACTATTGAATTTAAAAAGCCATTTTCAGTTCTGCTCATTTCTCACAATTCCTTTCACTAATAAATTATTGATCTTCTTTTAGTGAGCCCCCCATCTTAATCCTAAGTCGTAAGTAACCAGAAGGTTACACTGCAGGAGTCATATTTTATATAGTTGTTTGGGTTGTTGTTTTTTTTTAATACCCACATTGACATTTTCTCAAAAGGTTCTCTTAGTATTCCTTGTCCTCCCCAGGAGAAGTAATGAAGTGCAGGTATTAAAATTGATGTTATCTACAGTAAATTTTTGAGCAATCACTTGTCCAAACTGGGAGACAAAAGAAGGGGGAAAGAAATGATAACTCTTTCAAACTGTTGCATTATTGTCTCCATTCATATTTCCAGTGATTTGCATGCAAACTTTTATCATGGAAGATGCATCCCTTTATTTCTTTGTTTATCAGTGTTACCAAAAATCTTCTAATACTAAGGTGATGTTAAAAAAGTCCTTTACATGTAGGAATGTAATGAGAAAATGCAGTCATGTTAAAGGAGGCTACTCTGAACATTGCAGGGCAGCTTTACTTCTGTACTACTAAGAACTGCAGGAGTGATTTCATAAACGCAGCAACTGCTGCCTTCATAATTTCCAGTATAAATCCATTCTGAGAGACTAAGTGAGAACTGGCTCTGTGGATCTACCTGGGTTACAGGGGAGTCCAGGGTGCACCAGCTACATTAGTTGTGTGCAGTCACCTGAGACAGTGAACGGGTCCTGAGAAAATATCTTTGTTATTCTTTAAAAAATTGCACCACATTTTACTACTCTGAAGAAAGATGGCTTTTATGTAAAAATAAGGAGTTGGAGGTAGAATAGCGATCTTACCATTTATAGCTTGCACTTGATACAGGATCTTACGAACTTCTTGATAGTACTTAGAAGGAAGTTCTAACTAATAATTTTAAAGGTAAAGCATGAGTAAAATATACTAATATTCACTATGGTTAAGATTCTGGCAGTTATTTTGATACAATAGAACAAGTATCTCATAATAATCCTGGCTAAGAAATATGTATGGTATGCAGACAATATTCAGTAATTTAACCTGTGCGCTTTATAGCTCTGATTTCACAGATAAAATCTTCCAGAACACTGCAGGGATGTAAGTGTAGAAATACAGATAGAACAAGTAATGAAAATACTTTGCTGTTGAGGGTGTGGATTGGTAATGTCGTTCTTTCTGTGGACCTAATTTAAACAAGTGGAACCTGAGAACTGTTTGGCTCTAGATTGAGACACTTAAAAAATATTAGTCTTTATTCTAACATGCAAGTATTAATTTTCCCATTAAAATTAAGCATTTAGAAAAGTTGAACAAACACCACTCTTGTGAGGGTTTTGTCCTGCACATACAGGTCTGAATTTCCTTACAGAAGTGTGGTAGGTCGACCCTGACCAGCAGCCAAACACCCACCCTCACTCCCCTCTCCTATGGGATGGGGAAAAATTAGAAGGCAGGCAAACAGACTCATGGATCAAGATAATGACAGCTGAATAGGGTGTGAGAAACTGGGACCTAACATAGGGTAAGGAAAAGCTGTGCATGCAAGCGAAGGAAAACAAGAAGTCATTCACTACTTCCCCATCAGCAGGCAGATGTTTCGCTGCTTTCCTGGAAACCAGAGTCTCAGCACATATAACAGCTGCTTGGGAGAGCAAACGCCATAGCCACAAATTCCTGCCCCCCCCCCTCCTTTCCCTAAGCTTTTACAGCTGAGCATGATCTCATATGGCATGGAATATCCTTTGGTTAGTTCAGGTCAGCTGTCCTGGCTATGTCCTCTGCCAACATTTTGTCAGCTGTCCTGGCTGTGTCCTCTCCCAACATTTGGCCCACCCCCAGCCTACTGGCCTTTGTGAGGGGCAGTTGGAAAGAAAGCCTTAGTGCTGTGCAGGCACTGTTCAGTAGTAGCCAAAACTTGGCTGTTATCAGCACAGTTTTAGCCACAGTTGCAAAGCATAGCACTGCACAGGCTGTGATGAAGTTAACTCCATCCCACCCAGATCCAGTACAGTCTTTTCCCCTTGTTCCATGCCACTTGCAGCGTGCTTAGGTTCCACAGTATCTCATATATCTAAGTAACTTCTGACCATTCCATTCTATCTGTTTCTTATTCCTGAAATCCCCTCTACTCTCTCCAGAGCTCTGTATTTCTCTTGGACTGGAGAGCCCAGAACTGGACACAGTACTCCAGGTGTGGACTCACCATTGTTAAGTAGAGGGGAAGGATCACCTCCCTCAACCTACAGCCAACACTCCTAATGCAGCCCAGGATACTATTAGTCTTTTCTGCCACAACAGCCCATTGCTGACTCATGTTCAACTTAGACAAACAGGATCTCCAGGTCCTATTGTGCCAAGCTGCTTTCCAGCTAGTCAGTCTTCAGCATATACTGGTGTCTGGGGTTGTTCCTCCCCGGGTGCAGGACTTTGCAGTTCCCTTTGCTCAACTTCATGAGGTTTGTGTCAGCCCATTTCTTCAGCCTGTCAGGGTCCATCTGGATGGCAGCACAGCCCTCTATCAGCTACTCCTCCCATTTTGTGTCATCAGTAAATTACCTGAGGTTTGTTACTGGCCTCTCACTTTGTGCCACTGATCACTACCCTCTATTCAGCCAGTTTTCAAACTCATATGGGACTATTAAAGGGTGAGTGAGTCTTGCTGATCACTCCCTTTCTCTCCAATGGATGGACCAGCTGACGGATGGAGCCAGGGAGCCTGTGCTGCTGCTATGCTGTTGCTGCAGCAGCCATTGGAGCTTAATGTCCTTCCACACCCCATGGCACAGGCACAGGGATCCTCCAAGAGGTCAGACAAGGTAGACAGCTCTTCAGCCTTCTCTTTACCAACTGTGGCTACCTCAAAGGCCAGCCCTTACTCTGGTGGGTCCTTGAAGTATCCCTGTCATGCCAGCAATCTGAATCTGTGTGAGGGAAACCCAAAGGAGAGCAGCAAGAGGAGGCAGAAAAGACCTCACCTTCAGAAGGCTGAAATAGCGGAGATCTACTGAAGAAAGCAGAAATACAGTGACTGAACTGAAAAAGAATTTCAGTCACCAGAATAACATGGTCATAGATTGATAGCCATAATATTTTGTAAAGGTTTCCAACTTATGAAAGAAAGGGCTTATTATGGCTTAGAAATACTATATAGAAGTTGTGAGAGACAGAACGAGAAATTTTTTAAAAAGTGACTGTTGTGGCAAAATATTTCTTTTAAAAAGTAAAATATAATTTGTACCTCCAGGAAAAACTGAACGAGCAGCTGGAAGAACAGAGGCAGGAGCAGGCTCTTCAAAGATACCGTTGTGAAGCTGATGAACTTGACCACTGGTTACTCAATACCCGAGCAACGCTGGACACCACTCTGGTTACAGCTGAGGAACCTATGGACATGGAAGCACAGCTGGTAGACTGTCAGGTAAAACTATCAGTTCTGTAATGTTTAGAGGAACAGGATGGTCGCAGCTTTATCTGAATGAAGAGGCAAATATGGAGCGTTAATGTTAAGACCATTATTGAGTGGGATGAACCAGCATATTAGTAGGGAAGACGTTTCTGAGCGCCTTGAATTATCACATATGGTCAGTTAGCTTCATCAAGGATATGTGAAATAAAATATAGTCTGTTCTTCATTTCTTGTTTAAGATTGCAAACAGTGCTTTGGGAAGCTCATGTAAACATAGCAGGTGGAAAACAAGATACCCTGACTGCAAAAGCATTTGAAGCTCTGCAACTTTCAGAGGGCATTTTGTTTTACTTTAAAGGCCTTGTATTTGCTTCACTTGCTGTTTTTGCTACACTCAAGCTAGAGTTGTTGAACAGCTCACTTGATAGGTATGAAAACACCTGCAGTGTACTTTTCCAGCTGAAGAACAACTGAGGAGAAACATTTTTCTGCAATAGGATTAATTGTGTATAACTTTTATTAACAAGACTTGGATCAGTCATAATATCCAGGTTCTCAAATCAGTGCTTTTATTAACAAGACTTGGATCAGTCATAACGTCCAGGTTCTCAAATCAGTGGGATTTTTCCACTTATAGAGTGGAGAGTTTAGAAACCTATGATCATTATAATTAAAATTACAAGATAGACAAGAGACAGATCCCTTTTCATATTAAAGAATGAGGATCTCAACTATTTTAGGATAAATGGGAGTTAAGTTTCATATAAATACAATGTATTAGAAATCTAGTTAAATTTCCACTGATGCTGCTCCATTATTGGAATATTCAGTCTTCTCAGTCGCAAGTGTTCTTTCATCACCTGTCCTTGGGAGCTGTTTGTTGTATATAGATAAACCGTGTGAACTTAAACAGAGGAGTACTTTTTATTTTTTTTTAATATAATCTGTAGGAATCTCACCACTAAAAAGAGCATTTAACTGTTGAAAAGCTGTTCTTTTGCTGGTTCTTAAAATCTTAATACAGTTTATTTTATATAAAAGTCCTTTATTTTTTTTTCCACTTTCTAAAGGCTCTGTCCATCTTACCCTGCACACATTCTTTTGGGAGCAATACTTGTAACTTTATGCTTGACAGTTGCAATGGAAACAAAAACATTTGATGTCAGGCTGGATTTTTGAGCAATAATTGTATGAGCTTTGAGTTTGGAAGATCAAAATATGCGCCATGTCTGTAATACGTGAATGGTTAATGGAATGTCAGGGAAGTAGCTTTTGAGAATAAACATGCCAGAGATTTGTCACTTTAATTCTGTCTTAAGAGGATTATACAGAAATCCCTAAGTCCATCATGCACCAATCAGAAAGAGCAAATAGCGAGAAGAGCAGCTTATCAACCCAGCCAGAGCAACACATAGGAGGAGGTAGGAAGCATTTCACTCAATGTACATGAAAGAAGTAACTCTAGCTGCGTGCTCTGTTTCTTGTCATTATGGATGTCAGTCTAGCATCTTAGCCACCCTTACCTTCAGTGTCTAAATAAAGAGCGTCTTCTCTACAACAAATCCTTTTTTTTTTCAAACAACTTTTTAATTTCCTGTTTTGGAAAAGGTTGCAAACAGAAATGGCAAATGCAAATATTTGCAAGCATATTCCTAAGGACTCTAAAAGGGACTGGAAGGCAAAGCAATGACCAACTGGCTTGCCCTTAGCTTGGTGACGGGTGAGGTTGGCCACAGGTCGTCTTGCCCAAAGCGTGACGGATGCTGGAAAATGTATGAATTCGGTTCTTTGTTTTTGCTGCTGCAGAACATGCTGGTTGAAATAGAGCAGAAGGTGGTAGCCCTGTCAGAGTTATCTGTGCACAACGAGAACTTGCTTATGGAAGGGAAGGCTCACACCAAGGACGAGGCAGAGCAGCTGGCTGTGAAGCTCAGGACGCTGAAGGGCAGCCTTCTGGAGCTGCAGAGAGTGCTCCACGACAAACAGATCAACATTCGGGTAAGTGGCTCTTTCCACCCAGCTTCACAGTGGGCAGAAGGTTGGGGGATTTCACAGGAGTTATATGCAACTGGGGAAAGGAGTAAAAATATTTTACTGATTTAGTTTGATCTGTTCATCTGTAGTTAGTAAATGGAATTACACTCCAAAATGAAGAACTGCCTAGCAAGCTTTAGCTTATAATTTTCAAGTTAACAGCACCATTTCATGGTGAAACTCTCCTAACCTGTCTTCACTGAAAAGAGCAAGTTAACAGCACCATTTCATGGTGAAACTATCCTAACGTCTTCACTGAAAAGACAGTAATAAAGTAAATAGATCATTAGCTTGGTCTGGATGAACTCTATTCTTGTTCCCAGTCACTGTAGATTGCACATGCTCTGGGGCAGGCTCCCTCCCCCTCAAAAAAGAATAACCCTAAATAAATGCTTCTCTCCATGCTGTGTGCAAAACACAATGAACAGGTAACATAAAGATAAAGAAATATTTTTAAATATAGCTAATACTTAGTGGAATCGTTACACCAAACAAAATATTATATAAACAGATAAACATCTAACCTGTCTTGTCCTAGGATTCTGTTCCTAGCAGCATTGGTCTACTTATTGCCACTGGTTAATTTTATTTAACAGTTGTTTTTGATCATTCTTTAGGTTAAACTAGAATGTGGAGAACCAAATACATACAAGAAACCCAGCCATGTAATGTGACTGACTGGTTTTGAATTTGCTTGCCATTTTGTGACTCCTTCCCCCACCTTTTCTTTTACTTCTTTTCTGGGCTTTGCTGTGCAAATTAAACATGATAAGCTTCAAAGATTTCTAGCTTGTAATGCAGATTAAAGTCTACTGAGAGGTTGGCTTGAAAAGTCACTTGACCTGCTAAGAACTATTTTTAGTCCAAGGCAACTGGATAACTATAAAACTTAACATAGCTTCCCCAAAAAACCCCAACAAACAAATACAAAAAAAGAAAAAAGGAAAAAAGAAAAGAAGGAAAACCCCCAGGTATTCATTTCTATTCCCTTTAAAATGAAGTCAATTTAATGTTTTTCTTGTGTATTAAACCTCATGATTAGGCAAATGAAAAGCGTTATCAACAACCTGTAGGCATATAATACTATATCCTGATGTATCACTTGTGAAGTGAAAAGGCATTACAGGCTTTATTGCTTCATTTTCAAATACGTATTCTGCATTTTAAAATGTGCTCCATTTTAAAATGCAATAGCGTGATTTAGTTTAAATAGACTTTATAAACAGATTTTTGGATGCTTTTCTATTATTGAAAATAATGACAAAATAATCTCCAGATGTAGAATATGAATAATTTAAGATGCTACGTGCATGCAAGACTTAAGTTTCTTTAAAAATTGTAGTCCAAAAAAAATTAGCCCTTATGCATTGTGGAAGAAAATAGGCATAGGCAGTACGATATAGTCAGATTTTCATTGAGCAATTTTTTTCAAATGAGAAATTCTGTAATATCTTTTTCCAAATAATGAGGCATAAAGTATTTCTTTTGAACTGAGTCTCATCAGGTGCCCAAAAATGCACTAACTCTGCCTTCTACTGTTTTTAACCCTAAGAAACATTACATACTGATAGCCCCGTTGCTTGTGCATGTAAGAAACTCAGACTTACGCACATCTCTAGATGTGCTGACAACCCTGTAATTGCCCAGAGGTATATACAGACCAGCCTGCCTTCAGAAAAGGAAGGATCCTCCCAAATTGCAATGCAAGACCAAGAGCACCGTAAAACTGAGCTATATTTTCCTTAAAGCAGTATTTCAGCATATCTCTTATTCCTGTGACACAACACTTCATAGGAGCCAGCATGAGATTCTGCAATTTCCTTGCAACAGTTTCAGTTTTCCTTCTAAATTTAATTAATTAATGTCAGTGATGATATGGAAAATGTGATTTGGAGACTAACTCTTTTATTCATAAAATGAAGCAATGAAACTCATCAGAAACATGCTGGATTAGGAAAGTTCCAGACTACATTGATTCCAAATGCAGCATTTTTCGTGCACTTTGAAAGATATACAAAATGTTGCCTTATTACTGTTTACTGTTACCTACTAAATTATGTAACATAGGAGCAATAAAAATAAATAGAGTCCTTATAATACAAAGCAGCAGAATGGATTCTGCAGTTTAAAAAAAAAACTAAATATTTGTTGCAAAGTGTATGTATGGGAGGAATGACTTGGGTTTCACAAGAAAAATATGCCTGATATAAGTTTGTGTAATTCTAAACTCCTTTGAGAGATTAATTTTATCACCATTCTCTTCAGGGATTTTCCAGTTATTTCTGTGCTGGACTGGATAGTCCCCATGAATGACAGCATTCAAGCTGGATACTTAAAGGAAATGTAATACAATTCCTTCAGTCAGAATTCAAATGGAAATGCAAGTGTGTTTTTCAAACATATTCCATGATTTGAGAATTATGAAATCTGGTTCACAAATAATTTTGATCTAAAAAGTGTGCACAATATTGCATTTGCATCCAGAAATGCCACAGCCCCTTTTATACTCTGCTGTTGTGGGAACTGTAAGACTAGTATTTATTTGTCTTAGTATAAGTCCAAAATTGTAGCTTCTCAACCTTCTTCTCAGAGAGGGAGAGACAAAATCTAACTGAAATCAGCCTGCCCAAACACAATGAACTAGATACTATTCTCTACAGGAATTTACAAGTTGAACAGCTATTATAGAGCATATAAAATGAAGCAGAATTTTTAAATATAATGTATAGAGATATTGTCTTTTTTTCTCATTTTTAATTAAAAAAAATAAAATTCTAGACTCTCTGTATCCCTCACATAATATTTTATTTGCCTAGTCTGATGTCCTATAAATGACATTTTTCACACAACAACCATGTCAGCTTTTCTAGGAACTAGTTCCTACAAACTATCACAGTTTACCTCCAAACTGAATCCTTAGCGAAACAAAGCTCTTTCATAGAGCAAGGGCTAATGGTTCTCTCCAGCTCCAGATACCTGCTTGCTTGTTTTGCTCCTGTGACAGTTTATATCCTTGAACACTGGTCCATCCTTTCAACTCCAGTATGCTCATCATCCCCCAAAACTGAAACCTTATGCCTAACTTCTGCTATTTAGCAAAACTCTCCCATTTCAGTGCCCGATGCCAGGGACACTGGTGGAAGAGGTCTGTCCCAGTTTTAAGTACAAGAAGCACCAGGCAAGGCAAGAGAGGCTTCCTCAGCCACCTTCGGCCCTGCTGGTCCTTGCCTGATTTGAGACAAAGGCTCTCTGGAAGGTGGAATGTGTTTTTATTTTGTAGAGCCTGCTGTAAAGTCTGAAGCATTTGATGCGCTTACTCTATTTAGAATAAGTGCTGAATCATGGGGAAAATGCGAATCCTACAAAAATGAGGTATATAAACAAAATGGGAGAGGCTTTAAGCCCCATTAGCTCTTTAGCTCTTGAAGCTTAAGAAAAAGAAAGTGCAAACTCTACAGTCATTGTGTGCATGCAAGTAACATTAAATAAATCCAGAGAGTTGTGTAGGTCTAAGTAGCCAGACCTACAACATCTCTGTCTTTAACATTAGGCCTGCTGTGTTGAAATCCCTGCATTTGAATATGTAGGCTGTTAAAATAATTTAAATTTACAGCCAACATGGATTTCAGAAGTCAATAAGTTGATAAAGCAGTTTGGGGAACTATTAAGGCATTTGCTATTTTTTACTTTGCTTGCATAGAATGCCTGTTTCCAACTCATGTTGGAAAATCATACAGATAGAAATATGAAGTGAAGGGACTATTGCTTTTGCTGTTCTATTATAATATTCTGTGGTTTGGTCTCTCTTACTGTCTTTGCTGTTCATTATCATATAATCTGCTGTTAACTGATTGTGTTTCTGCCAACCATGAGTAGAGTTATCTACTTATAAAGCTTTTCCAGAATGACAACTAGCATTCTCTCATTTTTAGTTAGACAAAAAAATTGACCTTAATTATACTAAAAACCTGGCAGGAACAATCCATTGATACCTTGCATTGCCAGTTAGAGCTGCACCCTCCATCACAGACTAGTGCTGTTTTTCAAAGCAGAATAATCTTCAGAAACACATCAGTCCATGGTCTATGATCTCTAATGTCTCATTCTGCTAAGTGCAGTGGTGCATGTTTATTTTTACATTTTTATGGATGCTTTCTTGCAAGTAACCAATGACCAGCACAAGTCAGAAATCTAAAATCATTGCTCACTTCAGAATACATGTGAGCCAGCAGCTTGAGAAGTGGAAGGTGGCACTACTTGTGGTTTGGAGTTGACGAGCTGGATCTGCCAGCTGTCTAGCAATATGAGAGTTTGTAAAATCTTTCTTTCTTTCTCTTAAAGCAGGGATCATTGCAAGAAAAGGAGGAGAGTGATCTGGACTTTGTTTCCTCACAAAGCCCCAGTGTCCAAGAATGGCTGGTGCAAGCAAGAACCACTCGCTCACAGCAGCAGCAGAGCACCCTGCAGCAACAGAAAGTTGGTGTTTTGCATGTCTTTTACTCCCATGTTTAGATTGTGCTTAACACTGTATCTGAGCCATTCTGTAAATATTTCCACTGACATCTTCATTTTTACACTGTTTCTTACTCAGAGCTCATGTAATCATGTATCTGAGCTCACTATTTTGTATCTGTAACAGACAGGCAGACTAGACTTCCTGTGTGACCACAGTCAACTCGCTTAATCACTCTATACTTCCATTTTCCATGAGGAAAATTAAATTGAATCAACCCTTAATGTTACTGTAAAGAGATGATGGTATTTGGTCAAAATAGTTATCAACATTGTCTTTATACAAGCAAAGATACACACATTACAAGGTATATTGTGTGGCATGATCATAGATGTGATATACCTGTCTATGGGTGATGGATGATATACAGACATCCTTACTAGCTTGGGTTCCAGAAGCTGCATTTCATGAGTCAATTAGTTCAAAGATCCGGCTTATGTACTAAATATTTCTGTGTCCCTGGGTGGAGATTTTGCACTGCTTTTGGCGCTCAAGCAAGCTGGGTCAGAAATAGCTTAGCTATCTTTGCATGACAGTTATGCAATGTAGACATATCCTTCCAAGGCAAAAGCAATCTGTTTGAGGTTTGTTTTGGTTTTTGTAACTTGCTACGCTAGGAGCTGGAACAAGAACTAGAAGAGCAGAAGAAACTGCTTCGGTCAGTAGCATCCCTTGGAGAAGAAATCCTAACACAGCACGGTGCTCCAGAAGGCGTAGGCCTAAGGTGTGCTTTCATGTGTTCTTCTGCAAAGCAAGTTTCTGTGACCCTGTGCTTTTTCATCCTTATGTTTACATCCCTCTTCTGCATGTAATCCACTGATTTTTGAAAATCATTTTTATACAGCACCTACGATACTGGAGTCCTGGTTTAAAATTCAGGAGTATGATAATATAGTTACACAAACTGTTCTGTGCTAATTTTAGCACTTAAAAATTCTTTTTATTCGTATTATCAAGCATCACACTAAAATTACAAACTAGTAGGATTCATTAGACAAGCAGTGGATGGTCCAGCATTGGTGCGTGAATCATAGCTGATCTCTAAAACTTTGTAGTCTGTCATTGTAACCAGAACTTACCAGATGAAATACCCATTGCCTAATTTTATTTTTCCTGCAGTTAGTGAATATTTTTCCTTTTGAAGCCTTTTACATTTTTAATTTCATCTACAGTCTATATTTTCTTGTACATTTGCCCATTTGGGGGAAGTAGATGTCTATAAAAGCACTGGCTCTGGCTGGGAGAGACTTCTGACCTAGCAAAGGCAGAAGAAAATAACTGCCTGCTGCCAACACAGAACATGAGGGAGCAGGAAGGGCTAGGTCTTGGGCAGAGGAAACCAGGGCGAACATTACCAGCTTGAGGATCAAGAAGCAACCAGTCCTTTGGTTAAAATACTGTGTTGATGTATCTCAGTAGTCATGAGCACCTTTGTGGCTCCTCCAGCATGGCAGTGACAAGAACATGAAGGTGGTTCATGAGGCCAGAACCAAGACTTGTGCATAGGGAATGTAAGCTGTACTCAGTAAGTTCTTTTCCTCAGCATTTCTTTCAATTCAATGTGGGTTTTTTGTTATAATGCCAGAAAGATCTTCTCTTCTTTTTGAGGCTTCCTACTATCGCAACATGTTACGCTATAGAAACAAAAAAATCAAACAGGAAATGGTGAACTTCATTCACTGTTTACCAAAGCTAAACCCATGTGCTTGTCCTGCATTTAAATATCAGGGTTATGTCCGGCATTTTGAGAGGGGAGGTGAGTAAAGGGTCAAAGAAAATACTCTTTTTTTATTTAATGCTTTGAAGAAAAGCTTGTTTAAAGGTTACATTTTGGTGTAGTACATATTTGGTCTGTTTGGGGAGTTCTTACTTAGTAAGGGTACTTGCAAGTCTAAACGGTGTCTTAGAAAGTATCTCATCAGTAAAGAACTTCTTGCAATTACAAACCAACCTTTGTCTTGCTATCTGAAAAAACAAGCAGAGTAAAATCTTTTAAAAGTAGCAATTTAAGCATAGAATTTTCAAATTGAAAGAGGAAATAAACACCTTAAGTGTTACAACTTTTGCATTTGTTAACCTTTGTGCATCTTGCCATTCAGTGAGAAGCCCGATACGCTCTCAGAGGAATTAAGCTTGGAAGGTGAGAAGCCATCATCTGAAGAACAGATGAAGATGAAATGGGAAAGTCTGAACCAGGAATTCAATACCAAGCAGAGACTGCTCCAGAAAGCTTTGGAACAAGAACAGCTGGTAGCTATTTTTAATTTCTCTTTGCGTTTTCTCTATGAAAGCACTTGTCACAACATAAGGTACAGTATGTTCATAGCAGATGCACTAAGGTGATGTAGTTAATGCAAAGAATATGGAATAATTTATTTTTGTGGCACCTTTAAAATCTTTAAATATTGGCAATAACACTGCTCTTGTTCAGTGGTTTGAATTGCACTACCATTCAGGAAGGTAAAAAGGAACACAATTTTGATCTATTTCTCTAACCAAAGATAATTCTGTGATGTATCATCCCTCTGAAATTGACCAGTAATGACAACTTAGAGGAGAAACAGAATCTCTGATTCTGTGAAAGACTGGTATTTTCAGTTTGAATGTATTTGTTACATTCAATTCACGGTCTTATCAAGTATGTGAAAAAGCAGCAAGTGATTTCCGCCACAGAATTTTTACTCAAAGAAGCAGGGCTTAGTCACATAAATTGGGAACAGTCCAAGATCTATATTAATGTACATCCTCTATTTTATTTTTAATAGACCCAGGTCCACTATTCTTTATATAATACTACATTAAAATCAGCTTCCAAAGATCTGAATATCTTGTATTCATTTCACAGTAATTAATTATTATTTTTTGGTAAAGACAAGTAATTGTTAATTCTGGCCACAAGTATTTATTCTGCACTTCTGGTGAACGTCCTGTTGAGGAATCTTTTATCCAAGATATTCGTGACAGAACAGTCACAGGAGGGCCCTGACTGTTATTTGGTGATATCCTCAGTCAGCAGTAGAATCTGTATAGCTGAATTTTGTGCCCTATATGTGTGGTAGAAGCACTTCTAATTAGTACTTCTCTCTCAGCAGCTGTATAGCAGACCAAACAGACTGCTATCTGGAATGCCTTTGTATAAGGAGGAAGGACAGGATGAGGATAAATCCTCAGTGTCGCCAGTATTGGTTGAATTGAATCAGGCCTTTGAAGATGTGTCATCTGAGGTAACATTTCAATTGTCTTTATGACTATCTTCCAGCAAAACTGCATTTACAATGAAAACTCCTCTAGCTCTCATCTAGAAATCCAGCCCTTTCACAAATATTAGGTGTTGGAAAGAGTAGGTTGTACTTCTGCTCTAGACTTCTCTGATTCCTTTTGCTCAGGCTGGACGGGTGGAGGAGAGCCTGCAACTTGAACAGAAGCTGTATGATGGTGTCGCAGCCACCTCCCTGTGGCTGGATGGTGTGGAAGAGCAGGTCTTTGTTGACACAGCTCTGTTGCCAGAGGAAGAAACAGAAACATATCTCTGCAAGCAAGAGGTAAGGAATCCATGAATAGGAGTTTCTTTAAATTGACAATAAGAGTGCATTTTATGTAGTGCTTAGAAAGAAAATATTAGGATCCTAGATAAGTGGCATGTCATAATATATAGGTAGTTGCAGTATTCTGCTAGTGTTTAGAAGTAACTTTATTCACTGTGTAGATAACTGTAGTGGGTTGACCCTGGCTGGATGCCAGGTGCCCACCAAAGCCACTCTATCATTCCCCTTCCAAGCTGGACAGCAGAGAGAAAATATAACAAAAGGCTCATGGGTCAAGATAAGGACAGGGAGAGATCACTCACCAACTATCGTCATGGGCAAAACAGATTTGTCTTGGGAGAAATTAGTTTATTACCAATCAAAATCAGAATAGGATAAAAAAAAATTAAAAACCATATCTTAAAACTCCTTCACCCCACACCTCCCATCTTCCCAGGCTGAACTTCACTCCCGATTTCTCTAGTTCCTCCCTCGTCAGTGGTGGAGTAGGACAGGGAAATGGGCTTGTGATCAGATCATCATATGTTGTCTCTGCCACTCCTTCCTCCTCAGGGGGAGGACTCCTCATATTCTTCCCCTGCTCCAGCATAGGGATCCCTCCCATGGAAGACAGTCTTCCACGAACTTCTCCAATGTGAGTCCTTCCCACGGGAGACAGTTCTTCACTGCTCCAGAGTAGGTCCCTTCCATGGGATGCAGTGCTTCAGGAACAGACTGCTCCTGTGTGGGTCCCCTGTGGGGCCGCAAGTCCTGCCAGAAAAGCTGCTCCAGCATGGGCTTCGCTCTCTGTGGGCCTTGTACCCTTGTACCCACCGCTGCCCACTACCAAAACCTTGCCATGCAAACCCAGGCCAAGAATGTTGCAGAAAGCAGCACCTGACCTGAATTTTGTCTCATCAGAAGAGAAATAAACATAGAATCTTTCTTCTGTTTAACTTTTTTGCTAAGTGTTATCAAATCCCACAGTGTTGAAACTGAAATTAGGTGAAAAAGAAGGAGGAATGGTCTGGGATATGGAACCAGTACAAATTCATCAGCATGAGAAGGAGAGGGAAGGAGGGGAGAGGGAAGAAAAACAGACTTTTTCAGCAGCAACATGGATTTCTGCTTCACAAAGCCCTGATTTGGGCAGGTTCATATTGTTTCAGCATTTATTTTCCTCAGAGAAGTCTGGGGTTTTTTTATTATCAGAAATACTGTGGCTGCATAACTTTGTCTAGTGTGTGTTTATTAACAATGTAAAAAAAGTCACTGCATCACTGCAAAATTGGCAATGATGGTGGCAGTATGTTTGCCTGCTTTCTAGAATGTCTAATTGTTGCTTTGTTTTGTTTTCTACAAAATCAGTCTCTTGCCAAAGAAATCAAAGAGATAACAGAAGAAATGAATAAGAACAAGAATTTATTTGCTCAGATATTTCCTGAGAATGGTGATAATAGGGGTATTATGGAAGACACTTTGGATTGCCTCCTGAGAAGACTGACCTTGCTGGAGTCAGTGGTAAACCAGAGATGCCATCAGATGAAAGGAAGGCTCCAGCAAATAGCGACTTTCAAGGTATGATGATCATCTGAAGGTATTAACAGGAGTACATGTCAAATTGGGATGTAAAGGATTTGATTCTCAAAGTAATAAGAATTTTTGGTACTAAATCAAGAGAACATAGTTTTTTACTGAAAATCAAACTTCTTAGACTAAGCAAAACTTGGCACCCAAATCATGATCCAAAATTTATAATTTCTGCTAGAAGCCTTCTACAACTCATGGAATTATTGTAGAAAGTATCGTTCATCCTGCATTTTCTCACCCTGCTGGCATTATAATAATAGAATTTGTTGACTACTGTTCCCAAAGAAGAAAAAGCAACTTGAGAGTTCCACTTTACTCATTTTATAATTTCATAAATGACAGAGTACACTGTTTTTATTAGCTATGATAAAATAGAAAACATAATACTGATTCCCGGCTTTCTGATCACCTTTTACCCATACTGTTATTCTATAAGAGCTTGCATCTCAAGCTGTCTATATTGACCAAAGCAGAAAATAACGAAGAGGAGAAATGCTTGCTTTTAGAAATCTTTTCAATCTTTTCTCTCCTATTCTTATCATATAAAGCCTCCAGTATGGTTTAGTTTTAATGAAATAAACCACATAAATTCCAGCAAAAAATGGGAAAATAGTATGCTGGTGTCTTCAGATATAGGATCACCATTTCATAGGTTGTACTGTAGGATTTATTTCCAAACACCATAACCTTTCTTCTGCAGCAGATAGGAAAAAATATAATTCCAACAATTTTCAATAAAAGGCCTTTCTTTGTTAAAGAAAGAAGCTGATGTGCCTTATTTTATATCAGCAGTATTTAATATTTAAAAGAATTTATGCCAAAAATAAAAATTAGAAACACACTCCTAAAGAATGCTAAAAGTCTTAGAGAAGTGTGCTGTTTATTTTCTATTTCACCAATATTAGGAGGTTTTGGGGGCTGAATGCATTAAAAAAAAAGATTGTGGTTTGGCAAAAATTGTCAAGTGATATGTATGTGTCTAGTCTAATAAAGTACTCTAATAGTTGTAATGTGTACTTAGCCCTGTAATGTGTTGACGCCTTGTTATATTTGCTTAAGTTTGTAATGAAAACAGCTTGTTTTAAAAAGTAAAATGTAGCTTGTTTATGAGCATATGTGATTGAACAAACTCTACGAGAATAATGTATTTTTGTTAAATCAAGGTAATTGAACCTTGTTAAATAATCATCTAATTGGAAGGCAAAAGCAGAAGTGATTTCCTAGGATGTGTTTCAATAGAAGTTGGTTTAGCTTTTTGCTCATACATATCGTTATTGATTTTCAACAATGTTGCATGTTTTGTATTGGCTAAGTAGGTTGAATAGTTTGTGTGCCTTAGTGCTGACATTGTAACATTGTAACACTTTAAACTTTTTGGATCATAAAATATTTTTCAGTTGACTTATGCTGTGATTTGCCTTAATATGTTATTGTTGTCTCCTGTAGAATGACCTGAAGCTTCTGTTTACATCGGTGGCTGAAAACAAATATTTAGTTGTACAGAAACTAGCAGAGGCAGCTGAGAGACCAGAAACAGAACAAATGCAGGTATTACCAAATGTCTATTACTTGAGCAGGAGGGAGGGGAGAGATAGAATTTCTATTCAAGGTATGACTGGATTCTAGACAATAGTTCCTTTTTATGGGAGAATTTACATGTTCACATAAAATATGTGAAAATAAGTGTGTAGTACACTTCCGAGAGTGCACTACACATTTATAAATTAAAAAAAAAACCTAACAGAGTGTGTTTGGGGTTACTTTCTGTAGATGTTTGTTGTCACCCAAGAGCTACTCTTGTCTGGCTCCAGCAGGTGACTGAGAGGAAGAGACTTATCCTTCAGCTACACAAAACTACTGTCCTTTATATATCTGATAATCAAATTTTGAAGGAATTTTAATTCATGTATGAGTAAGAGAGATGGAAGTCTGTCTCTCTTTTCTGTCTTCCATGATATGAAATATTGGTAAAAATTTAGTTTCTATATGGTTAATTTAACTATCAAATAGGAAAACAACATGGTAATAAAAGAAAACTGATTATTTTTTTTTTTTTCTGAACATCCACCTTAGCTGATAAAACATTCAAATTCAAAAGCATTGCTGTTTGTTCAACACAAGATTGGGAAAGCAGAAGTAAGACCCTCAATCAGCCAAGTACCTTAGCTGCAGTGTAAGTTTAGTGACTCTATTACTAGGACTCAGGATATACTCACATGTATAGTTCCAGTATTTGGATATACAGTTTCTGAGAAGAGGCCTTAACAAAGAACTTCAACTATAGGAGTCTAACCTTGTTCTTTTAACTTTGTTATAGCTTGCATGCATTAATTCAACAGATTCTTAGGTTGAAAGACCTTGTTTCTTGCAACTTCCATTGAAAATGTAAAATTATCATCTGCATACAGTTGCAACTACCAAAATGTCCAAGTACAAAAGGGGATGTAGAAGTCATTTTCCTTGACAGTAATTTTGGCCCTATCCTAGTCCTGTAAAGGAACTCTGCACGGGTCTTTGCTATCATGCATGTCTTCTGCTGTGATGGTTGTTTGCTTGGTTCTCAGATATGACAGAAATGTCTTAATAATAAAAAAACATTTTAAAAGAAGGTATTAGAACAACTGAAAGTCCTTTTGTGCCTGTACCAAATAGTTAAAAGTGTGGAACTTCACAGCAAGGTTTTGTATAAATTCATGTATGATACTAAGCCAGTTTGTTATAAAAAAGTAATAATGCCATATTATATTTAACTTCAAGAAACAAGCTGGGCTCTTCCAACTTTGGATTATGATTTTTTGTTTATAATATCCTTTAAAATTTCAGCAGACTGAAGGACTGATTAATTCTTCAGGCAGGAAACAAAAAAGAACATTATGGTTATTAAACCTTCAAACTAAATGATGTAATTTTCAAATACAGGTCATACTGCAGGCAGAAGAAGGTTTGAAGGAACTAGATACTGGAATCAATGAATTAAAGAAGCATGTAGACAAGCTACAAATTGACCAACCTTCCATGCAAGAGCTGTCTAAGATCCAGGTATGGTTCATAAATTCCATTTTAGACCTGTCTGGTGATATCAAAGATACTACTATGCTCCTTTCTATTGTTTATAAGGCAGTTTAAAAAAGCATGATCAACAGCATTTTAATGTGTATAAAAGATTATTTTCTCCCTGATTCACTTAGTTTTTCTACTTTTGCATTTTCAGATTTTCTAACATCTCTACTTTTAGTAGTATTAACCATAAAAGCACACAAAACAATGTTTTCTTTCAGCTCTTGTTGAGCCCCTTTTCAAATAGATAAAGTTAAGATGAAATCATAAACATCTGCTGAAGGTTGAGCCCTGTTCTCACCAATGTCTCATGATCTGGGGTTTAGTTCTCTGTCACATCCATCATTAAAATAAAAAAAAAAGAAAAAAAAAAAAGAGGGGAATGAGGCAGCATAGATAGATAATGTGACCTGAAACTGGAAATGTTCTGCTTTTAATTCTGCTTTCTAATTTTTAGTCATAGAGCCTCCTGCTTTTTGTTTGTTTGTTTGTTTGTTTGTTCTGTCAGACTATATGTAGATATCTTCCTCTCATTTATTTCAGTTTTTGAAAAAGCCTTCCCTTTTTTGACAGTTGTGCTTCTCAAAATTGTCTCTTTAAATCTAGGAGAGCTTCAGTCTTGGGGGGGGAGGTGTAGTTTGCTGTAGCACTGGATGGTCATAGAGATATTTTGGTTTATTAGTTTCTGGATGTCTTGTCTTGATCAAAAAATATGGGCTTGCCCTCACAGTCAGACACATGTTCTGAGAATACAATTCTGAAAACAAAATCAAGAAAGTAATCCTGTTCAGGTGAAGGAAAGCGTCTGTAGGTTGTTCTCACTTTTATGGCTGAGGTATACAAGATGAGGAAAAACACACAGGAACTCATTAAATTCTGCCTTTTGGCTCATTTTTGGCAATATGGACACACTTTTTCTACACTTTGCTGTTCTATACGGAGTGTATAGCTCTTTTGAGGCTGGTTTGTTTTTTACTACAGGTTGTCTGCATCTTGATTGCTATCAGTAAGCTGCTGGGGCAGGAGGGGGAGACAAATCTGGATTTGAGATAGATACCAATAGTCTGTAGCCATGATAGAGCCCATCTAACCCACTGCATTACAAGAAACAAAATATAAATAGCCTCTCCAGTGTACAGTAGCCACACAGTAATCTGATTTTTGATGACTTAAGCCCAATCACAATCCTTTGCTACTTAAAGCAAGCCTTTGGGATTCTGCTAACTTTGTTCCCAAATGCATGCACTCGAAAGAGTTGCAAGTCATGCTTACTTTTTCTCTCTTTAAATGGTGACTTGTTAATTTATCAATTAAGTCAGTATATCTGCACAGTCTTTTTGAGCTGGAAATAGATATTATTCTGCTAGTATTCACAGAGGAATACAGAGACAGAAAGGTTGCTTGTAGGCAGACGTGTAAAGTGTAAAATAAGACTCACCGTTGCTACTTTTTGCCCCCAAGGATATGTATGATGAGCTGATGATGATCATTGGATCCAGACGGAATGACCTGAATCAGAATCTGGCTCTTAAGAGGCAGTATGAACGGGCTTTACAGGACCTGGCTGACCTGTTAGAAACAGGCCAAGAAAAGATGGCTGGTGACCAGAAAATGATTGTTGCTTCTAAGGAAGAGGTTCAATCACTACTTGACAAGCATAAGGTAAGAAACTGTGACATATTTCAGGACTAATCATAGCTGTAAGCTTGCACACAGAAAATTGCTAATCCTAAGGGTTCAGGAGCTTTTCAGAATGGTGAGCCAGTATTAAATTGAGTTATATTAAAACATACTGTATTTTAAATTGGAATCAATGAGCTGTTCTGACTGAATTACTTCAAAATGTTCTGTTGAAAGTCAACCCAAGTAGATAAATGTTCTTCCTCATTCTAATAAAAAGTTCTTCTTCTTGTCCTGTCATGCCACATAGCAACTTCATCCACCACTCCATTTTTTACCAACGGAAAATTATGTTTGCTAATAGCGCCCACAAAATATAAGAAGACTATCCCACTTTTTTTTATTATGGAGAATGTTTTGGTGGCGTATATCTGATTTAAGCTATTTTTGTTTATGGAATGAGAGTGGGATAGTGTTTGCATGGAAAAGATGAATTATTTCTTCAAAAGAAAGATATTTTTTTTTTTGTTGGATTTTGTGAAATGGTGGTGGAATGAAAAGTTTACTTAATTGTATGTCTACAACTACTTGATTGTACTGCTATTGTCTGAAAATTTTGTTTTAGTGGTAATGAATTGAGTAACAATTGCACTTTCTCTTTTCTATTCTCTCTTTACTCTCTCCCTCACACCCAAATTTCTCAGGAATATTTTCAGGGGTTGGAGTCTCACATGATCCTGACGGAAACACTCTTTAGAAAAATGAGTAGCTTTGCCCTCTTGAAGGAAACTCGGTCACATTCAGACCTAATGACACAAGCTTCTGCTGTATTAAAGCTGGCTCATAAACGAGGTGTGGAGCTGGAATACATTCTAGAGGTGAGAATCTCTGTGGTCTTTTCTGTACTGCCAGGATATTCTGTAATGTTGGTTTCCTATGCTTGGGCAGAATTGGTGGACATCAGTCCCTTTTATCATACACACAAAGCACTGATAGACTACGTTTTCCTCTAAATTTAAAAAAGCTGCTTAGCTACAGCTGACAAGGAGAACATGACAGCTTTATCCATGTGTTCTAAATAAAAGCTGAGCCTGACACAGAGATGGTGTCTAATTATAGGTTCACTAGACATCTGTACTGTTATTTCTGTACATTCACAACCTTGCACCTATAGGATTTCAGACTGAGAAAGCGAGTAATAAATCTTCTAGATACCCAGATAAATATTCACCATATACATGGATAATTTGTGCTTGCAGACCTGGATGCGTCTGGATGAAGATTACCAGGAACTTACCAGACAGCTGGAATCTGTTGAAGGCAGCATCCCCATAGTTGGTTTGGTGGAAGAGACAGAGGACAGGCTTACAGACCGGATTACACTTTTTCAGGTTGGTGCTTTTTAGACATTCTTTATGGAAAAGTTGGATGAAAGGGACCTCTGAAGGTCATCTAGTCCAGCCTCCCACTTGAAGCAGGACAAGTGCCACAGGCTGAATCAGCCACAGTGTTGGAAACCTCAAAACATTGAGATCGTGCAGCAAAACTGGGGACCAAATGCAGTGCCGCATCACCTCCTTCTGAAAAGGCCAATCTAAACCTTCAACTTCCAGCTGGTCACCATTGTTCTTTTTTTATTTTGTGGCACTACTGAGGAGCATTTACCTCTATAATCTTTTCATTTCTACTCAGAATAGTTTTAGGCCTTTGTTAGACTGTCCCTTAGCCTCCTGTTTGCAAATCTAAAGAAGCACATCTCCCTCAGCCTCTTTTTAAAGGACATGTAGTCTAAGTCCCTCAACATCTTAATAGTTTGGCACCAGACCCTGACTTTCTTCTTCTTGAACTCATTGCGAGGTGGTGGCAAGGCAGAATAAGGTGCAGTAGATGTGGCCTTGTCAGCACCATGTAGATAATGCAATAGCTCATCAGTTTTTCACAGTCCTAACGTAGGCCAGTGCTGAGGTCTGCCTTATTCACGATGTCTTGGTTATGGAAGATGCCAGGTTAAATACACCAGCCGTTCCCATTTCCCAGCCTGTACTGAGAAACAGGGCTATTCTGCCCATGGCACAGAATTTGCACTTCTTGTTGAGCATCCTAAGGTTTCTGCTGCCTCCAACTTCAAGTTTATCAAAGTGTCTCTGGTCTAAGTCTGCCTTTTTTTCTGTCAACCACTCTCCCTATGTTAGTGTCATCCACAGATTTACTGAGGGAGCACTATCATCATTCATGCCATTAATTAAGATGATGAAGATCTTTGGGCTCAAATATGAACAATCCCTAGAGTACTCTGCCCATTACACTCTGTCATCCAGACGTTGAGCTTTTGTTCACTAGTGTTTGAGACTGGTAATGCCACCAGTTTTCAATCCATGTAATAGTACATTTATCCAGCCTCCATTCTCTCCACTTCCAGAAGAGGGTCCTGGGGGAGACAGTGTCAAAGGCCATATCGAAGTCAGTCTCATCCACAGAGAAAGTAGTTTCATCCTAAAAGGCTGTCAAGTTAATGAATCCAAGCTAAATATTCCTGATTACCTTTTGGTTCTTTTTGTCCTTGAAAATGAATTCCAAGAGGATGTCCTTCATGATCTTTCCAGAGACTAAGGTGAGGTTGAACAACCTGCAGGTCCCCAGGTTGTCTTCCTCCTTCTCAAATGCGACAGGAACTAGTGGTTTAAATATAGTTTTCTACCACATCCTGTTTTTTCAGTCTGTTCTCAAAATGAGAATTCTGGTTTAGTGTTTTGTCTTTGTCTCAGTATACACCAGACACTTTGGTTGAGTTCTTTTTTGTTTTCTTTTTTTGATTTACAGAAAAATGTCTGCCAAATTTTTCTTGCAAATTGACTTCTTGTCTGCTCTGAATTTATTATGTATATTGTGTTTTACTAGACAGCTTTCTGCTTTTGCAATGGTATGATGAGAACTTAAGCAATCTATTGAGCATGGGTTTTATTTTGGTTTTGCTTAATTCTAGGCATTGTTTGTGTTGGTTCTGACCCTAAATTAGTTTTTCTATTTTGTTTCTTATGCCAGTTACCTGTATTAGGTTATTCAAATCCAGATTCTCGGACTCTGCTATGGCATAATTTTTAATACGTTTTTTTTTTCTCTCCCTGTGACTATGTTTAGTTTAAAAATCCATCATAATTAATTTATGGCTATCTTGGAATTTGTATGCTACTCTCTAGGAGTTATACATTTATTTGTGTATATAAGATATATATAAGTACACACACAGACACTCATATATAGATATAAAAAATCTGATAAGTTATTAGAACTCTAGGTGAAAGAAAATAAGAGTGGTAGAAAGTTCATGTACACACCATGGGATTGGTAGTTTTGTACACTTTATCTTCAGATTAGTTTCAGCATAACTGAAAAATGGGAATGCATGTACATTTTGCACTGAAATTTAGTCAAATATATAGACGTTTTAAAAATCTGTACTATCTGTGTAATGATAACAGAATTTGGCAGGTATATTTGCCCACATATCCAAATTCTTTACCCATCCACAAGTCACTATTTAAATGAAATCTGTCTCTGCTCCCAGTTGGATTCAGGCTAAGAATATTAGCACCCTTTCTTTTTTCAGTACCGTTACTTTTTCAGTGCCTTTTTTGCTTTCTTTTGCCCTAACAATCAGCTTCTCTGTTCAGGGATTTGGGTAGGTTGAGGGTGATCTCCTCTTTCGTAACCATGGGTAGCAGGAATGTAGATCAGTAAAAGAAGAGTTAGATGACCAGAGAGCTGAAGATAGGCATTGAAAGGGCTGGTGTGGCCACCTTTAATGGCTTGGTATTGGACACCTTTAACTTTTGTTGCAGTAGAGTTTTCAGCAGATGGTAGATTAAGTTCTGACATTTTAATCAATTTCTCTCGGTAATGTTGCTACCCCACCAAGGTTCTTTTGAAATTGTTCTTTTCAAGTGTGAAATATCTATACCAAGGAGGAGTTAATCATAAGGAAGTGTCCATAAACATACTAAAGTGAGTGTTTTTGTGACAGCGTGTTCAGATTTTGAGCAGGCTACCTGCATGATGGTTCTCAGGGAGCTCTAGAGCTGGTGCAGAGGGAAAAAATGTGATGTGCTGTGGTGACATTTGATGTGCTACAAAATGCAATAAAAGAAAACTAAATGTTGAGAGAGCGTGGTACCAGAGACCTGCAGAGCTATCTAACCGTCTCCTCTGTCATTACAGCATCTGAGATCTAACCTGACTGAACACCAACCTAAATTATACCAAGTGCTAGATGATGGGAAAAGGCTCCTTTTTTCTGTTAGCTGCTCAGATCTCGAAAGTCAACTGAACCAACTAGGAGAACGCTGGTTAAGTAACTCCAGCAAGGTTACTAAGGAGCTTCATAGATTGGAGACAATACTGAAGCACTGGACAAGGTAATGCTGATGTACTGGACAATATAAACTTCAGGTCAAAGTCATTCTTAACCCAGAACTATTAGATTTGACATTTAAAAGAAAGTACTTTGAGATGTATGTTTGACTACTCTACAATATCCTACTTCTGTTCCATACAAGTGCTATCATACTCTCACATTTGCAATAAAACACGTAACAGCTGGTGGGAGGAAGTCAGAAGGTGCTTTATTCAGATGAGTGTCAGAAGCCCCATATCCATACGGGTTGATAAGAAAAGGTGTGTGCTTTGCTAGGTAGCATGAGTAGCCTCAGCGTGTTCTGGTAAGTAAGGGCATTGTCACTGCTGGGTTCCTGTGAGTTTGTGTCATCACATATGTGAAAGGGAGCTTTTAGCTGCCTTTAGTAATGTTCATATGCTACTTTTGAAATCAGTTCCCTATGTGATATACAAGCTTTGTCTGTTATTCATAATACCACTGGCTTGTTGGCTTACTAGCCTTTCAAGCGAGATACATAAAGGGATTGTATGTATAAAGGTATTTATACATACCTTTACAGATATCAGAGTGAATCAAGTGAACTGACACATTGGTTACAATCTGCAAAGGAGCGACTTGAGTTTTGGAGCCAGCAGTCTTTGACAGTTCCTCAGGAACTGGAAACAGTCCGAGACCACCTGAACTCCTTTTTGGTAAGTCATTCATGGACCTTAGACAACTTTTTCTCTCCAATTACAAATAAACAGATGAGCAGTCATATGGTTATAAACTTCTTCTCATCATGGAAGTAGTGACTATGCAAAAAAAAAAAAAAAAAAAAAAATCTGCTTCTGTAGGTGAGCTGTCCTTCAAAGAACTGGTGTGTTTGCACATTCAGCACTCCTTTGCTCTATGCAGGGTTTAATATTTTTCCTAGAACTTTTTTTTTTTTTTTTTTTTTTTTTTTCTCAAAATGGGAAAGAGGAATATAAAAAAAAAAAAAAAAAAAAAAAAATCTGCTTCTGTAGGTGAGCTGTCCTTCAAAGAACTGGTGTGTTTGCACATTCAGCACTCCTTTGCTCTATGCAGTGATTGTAAAGCCTGATGATTCTGAAAACAGAAAATGGTCTTAGACTGAAAACAACTTCTGTTCTCACTTGGTCTGAAGTATAGCTGGTAAACACTAATAGAAATTACATATTTTTAAGAGGAAGGGATGATATTCTTAGCTTTCTGAGGTAAAGCTTTAAGTACAGTAAACAAGCAGCTGATTATTTCCACAAAAATTATTCTGCTTACAGGAGTTTTCAAAAGAGGTGGATGCTAAATCATCACAGAAATCGTCTGTCCTGAGTACTGGGAATCAGCTCCTCAGGCTGAAGAAGGTGGATACAGCAGCACTGCGTGCGGGATTGTCCCACATTGACAGCCAGTGGACAGAGCTGCTCACACAAATCCCAGCAGTACAAGAGAAATTACACCAGGTAAGGAAAGCCAGTCGTGGCCTTTGATATTCCAGAAAATTCAGACCATACATTTGGCACTGCCTTTGAGAGATAGTTGCTCCCTTCCTCAATTTACCCATGTGAGATAAGATACAAACAGCGTTACTGCTATTTTAATGTGACACCACTTACACTCATGTCCAAATCTTGTCTACCCATTCTGTCTAACACCAATTGATGTTAATGTCAAACTTTCAGTTACGTCTGTTAAATTTTAACCAAAGAACAGATGAGGGTTTTTTCAACATGTTGATATGCTTTTTTGAAAAAAGGTAGTTCACATCCCTGTGTCCTGTCCGATTCTGATAGTGGTTTTGTTCAGATTGAACAGACTGGGTTCAAGTCTATGAAGGACAAAATAAATATAAAAACACTGTGCAAGGCTCCTGCTACTGTATGTAGAAGCAGGAGAGTTTTGGTTGTGTAGTTTTGGTTTTTTGATGCTATAATACTAAAGTTAAAGAATTATACTGGTCTAAAAGCTGGGTTAGTATTTAGTTGCTAGGAGGTTATCACTATAAGTGGTTTCTTCAGTTCATAATTTGGAATGCTTTCAGAGATAGTAATATCATCATGATTTTAGGGTAAGAAAGGAAGGGTAACAAATATTACCTGAGTCTAACAAAAAAAGTCTGTAACAAAATAATGTCATTCAGTATTTCTCTGAACTGTCTTGTAACTATATATGTACCTAAAAATGTCATAGAATAAGTTTCTGAGTAACTAAATGTAAGCAAACACCACTGTATCATATGTTGAACATGAGTCTCTTAAGAAAGCAATGGGTACTATTCAAAATGAGCCTATTTAGAAATCATCACCACAAGAAGAGTTGTATATAATTATTTTCCATGGGTCGATTCATTAGCCATTTTCAAGGACAGGAAAACTGTAGTTTAAAGTTGATCTTTTACATAAGCCCAAGACTGAATTATGGAATGAGAATGCAGAACCATTTGGAAGGCAGAAATGGAATCTTTAAGTTTATTCAGTTTCTTTGTATAACGAAGAATGGAAATAAGAAGCCTTTAATATAATATTTTCTTTTTAAGATGCTTGCAGTTATACAATAGATCTATTAAAACCTCTTCCCTTTATTAATTTTTTTTTTTTTTTTAAATAAACTTCAGGGATATGTTAGGGATATAGAATAACATGATAATAAGAGCAGGAAAAGGAAATGCTCTGTGGCAAGGCAAAGCAAGGAATTCTTATCCATTTTCTTCACAACATGCATTTTAAGTCTGGTTATCTCTGCAGCTCCAGATGGACAAAATTCCTTCTCGTCATGCTATCACTGAAGTTATGAGCTGGATTTCCCTGATGGAAAATGTCATTCAGGAGGATGAAGAGAATATAAAAAATGTAGTAGGACAGAAAGCCATTCAAGATTATGTCAAGAAGTACAAGGTACTAAGTGGAAATGTTACTGATTTCCCTTTTGAATTATCACTATTAAATATGTATACATATGTAAAGTATCAGTGATTTAAGGAAAAAAAATAAGCCCAAAACTTACATTGTGGAGTGGTTAGAATTGTACACAAGTTACAATTTGGTAATATTTGATACAGTGTAAAAGAAGCCAAAATTATTTTTTCTCTGCTGTTTAGTTATGGCAGGAATATAATTTTTAATATGCTTACTTTAACTTCCAGGTAAATCCAAAGCAATATGCACATGATTAAACCTCATTAGATCTGCCTTGCACCCAAAACCACAAAGCACTTTGCAAATTACATATGCTTTTTTATGAATTCTCTGCATAACATCACCTTCTCCTCAAAGTGTAGCCTGTTCTTGAATGGAAGGTGGCCAGTGATTTACAGGTCAAGATAATTTTCATCAGTATCTGAGGCAAAAATGAGAGATACTATATCTTGAGATAACTGTTGAGGAGTATAGATATAGCAGAATTTCACTTCTTTAACTAGATCAGTAGCACTCTAGTAATAGATGTGCATACAGTGACTTTATTCTCAATGGCATGTTTGTTTCACTAGTCTCCTGAAAAATCATTTCTTGGCTATTATTCTTCTTTGTATGTAAGAATATTTTCCATCTTATCTGTTTTTGTATTAAAAATTTTGAGACTACATGAAAAAAAAGAATATTTACGGGTTTTTTCTTAGATCTAATCCTTGAGCCCTATATCAATAATTTTGCTGATTTTTTTTTTTTTGGGGGGGGGGGGTGGGTGTTAACAGGTAGGGGGAAAGGCAGGTCCTTTATTCAAAAGGCAGTGTATCACCAGTTTGTTTCTTAATATTTAGGAAAAAGTATCAGTGTTTTTAATTGCTGTTCAATTGCTAAAAAAACTTTTAGCTTAATTGTGGTAAAGCTGTAATTTGTGAACATTTTCGTCTGTTTTGCAGGAAGGTAAGAAATTATTGTACTTATGTTTTGGGGTTTTTATTCCCTTCTTTTCTACTAGGGTTTCAAGATAGATTTAAGTTGCAAACAGTTGACGGTAGACTTTGTGAACCAGTCAGTGCTGCAAATTAGCAGCCAGGATGTTGAAAGTAAACGTAGCGACAAAACTGATTTTGCAGAACAGCTTGGAGCAATGAACAGACGTTGGCAAATCCTGCAAGGCCTGATAACGGAAAAGGTAATGAAAAAATGCTAGGTGCTCTGTTGTGAACTTTCAAAATACATAAACTATAGGGTAATAAGGGTTGGAAGCCTCTGCAGGTCATCTAGTCCTACCTCCTGCTCAGAGCTAACTTTACATTTAGAACAGATTTGATGGGGACTTGCTTAGCTGAGTTTTGAAAATCTCCAGGCACAAATTCCACACCCTCCTTGGGCAGTCCGTTCCTGTGATTAACCAGCCCTGTTTTTGCCTTGCTCCCAGTCAGGATTTCCCATGTTGCAACTTGTGGCTGTTATCTCTCCTCCTCTTCCCGCACGTCTCCAAGAATAGTGTGCCTCCATCTTCTCCATAACCCCCCATCGCGAGTGGACAGATCAATGAGATGCTTCCCTTGCCCCTTCCCCAGTTTGAATGAAGCCAGCCTCTCCTTGTATGTCATGTGGTCCAAACCCCTAATGACCTTAGTGACCATTCACCAGTTTGTCAATCTCTCCCTTGCACTGGAGGGCGAAAATGGGTCACAAGCGTTAAGGAAAAGGAAAGAACCACTTCCCTTGACGTGCTGGGCACGCTCTCAGTAATCTAACCCAGTGTGCAGTTGGTCTTCATCAGCATAAACGCACACTGTCCATTCATTGTGTCCAACTTATTGACCACCATGGCCCCCTAGATCCTTTCTTCTCTCCAGCCTGCTGCTAGCCTGTATTGTTGCATGAAGTTATTTTGTCTGAGGTTCAGGACTTTACATTTGTCTTTACTGAATTTCTTGAGGGTTGATGAGCCTATTTCTCCATCTGCTGTTTTCAAATCCGGCTTTGGGGTTTGGTTTTGGTTTGGGGTTTTTTTTTAGAATAGAAGTGCTATCTCATTTGCCATTGAATAACACCTAGAACAATCAGAAAAATCTAAGAAACTTTGAAGCAATCAATTGACAAAGAAAGTAATATAAATCTTCATCTACTTTACACAGATATAAGCAAGGAATATAAAATGAATGTTTGTATGCTTAATTTTATATTATTCTTGTTCTCTGAAAAGAATTCCACTTCATAAATACATTCTGCTAAAGTATTAGCTTCTTTCAGCATGTCATAATATTTTAATACGTTATCTCTGTATTATCACTTCTGGATAAAGCAGGTTTTTTATTATGGACTCTTTTGAAATAGTAGATATATCTTGATTTGAATGCATATACTGGTTTTAAATTCTGAAAGCATTGAATTACAAGAAGGCACTGGTCAGCATTGGTCTTCACTGATTTATTTAATTGACACAACAATGAAGGTAATTGTATGAGAAAGTATATACTCATATTTCTTTGCAGATCCAGCTGTTGGAAAGTCTGCAGGAATCCTGGGCAGAATATGAAAATAGTGTGCAGGGCCTGAAAACTTGGTTTGAAACCCAAGAGAAGAAGCTGAAACAACAACAGAAAATTGGAGACCAGGCTTCAGTACAGAATGCTTTGAAGGACTGTCAGGTAATATCCCCTTACAAATAATAATATTCTCTTTCCAAAAGTTAGAAGCAGTACTTAATAAAGCCATGTGAAATCTTTGTATCAGTGAAGTCAGTGACAGAATTCATGTTTACTTCAGTGAGGGAGAGATTTCGTTCCAAAAGTGAAAGGAGGAAGGAACAATAATGTCCCAAAGATCTTTAAAGGCAACCAAAGTAATTATTCTTTTTTGTATTGTGTATTAAAGCACGGACATTTCTAAACATGCCAGGTGTACTGAACTATAAAAGCTGTCAGAGGAATATGTTCCCATTCCTGTTTATCCGGTCTTATGAAACTTGATGACTTGATGTCATGAACACCATGCTTGACTATTTGGAAACTTGTTTTTTCTGCCTTATCACTGTCTTTCCTCTGCTGCCCTCTCCCCTCCCATGCATGCTTCTGGACCTCTCAGGCTAGAGTTCAAGCTTATAGGTGTATAAGCAAAGCAGATTTTTCTGAATTTATAAACAAGGCCTCTACATGGTAACTGGCATCAGATAATTTTTGCTCAAAAGTATTTTGTTCTACCAGACACCAAATAATAAATTTCATACCTGGTCAAATTTTTAAGCCTTCAGAAACAGAACAGCTGGAAATCTATTCAAATGAAATGCATAAGAGAAGTGAATCTATATTCACCAGTGTATTAAACCCATCTTTGTTTCTGTAAAGTCAAATAGTTGTTTAGGCCAGATATGTTTGAAGTCAATTTTTTTTCCAAAGTTCTTGACCAGTTTTCAAACCAGTTGCAGTGCTTAGTTTCAATTCAAGTAGCTTTAAGTTTGCAGGACAATAAGCCCATACGACTGAAGCAAGGGTAATTTAGCATAGCCTGACATAATCAGCAGGCTGTGTTTGGCTGGAGTTCAAAGCTGAATCTGATTTATCACCTTTCTGGTTCCTTTTGGTCAGGGAAGTTAGCAAATACACTTGAGGGAGTCAGTTATGAATGGCAAAGCTTTGATCATCAGAGAAACAAATTGTTTAAGAAATAGCTGTATCAGACACTCCCAGGTATCAGGTTCAAACAGCACAAAAGCTGCAGTTTATTTATTAACCGATGTTGGTTGCTGCCTAGTGTCATATTAATAGGTGAAGGCAAGCATTTTTTCCCATCACAGATCAGAAACAGTAGTGTGTCTTTAATTCAGTCATGAGTTTAAAATGATGAGTAAGAAGCCCCTTTTCACAGAGAACCAGAAATATTTGCTGTTCTTGGGGTTTGAAATGTTTGCCTGTTTTCCATTCTGAATTTTGCAACAATCTTGTACAAACTTAAATGCCTTTTTTAATGTTATAATCCACTTTTTGGAAAGTCAAATTTACTATGTACAGCTTAGAAGTGTTCGCTTTGGTGTCAGCTGGTAAAAGGAAGATGTATTACTCCAAGGCTGTAGTCTGAAACAAGGTCATGGCTAGAAGTTTGATGAAATGTGAAATAGTACAGGAGGAAAGTGTATTGTATGTGTGCATGGATAAATTCTGTTAATAGCAAGTATTTGCAAGAGTGGGCAGAATTTGGTTCCAAATACCCTCCCCACTATCTGAACTGTAAACTCTGTTAAGGCAATGGTTCACTTGTTGGGGTCTTTTGATTCTTAGGGAGAGTAATTCATTGAAGGACATGGGGTTTCAGTTTGCCCAGAGTTTTGCTGTGTTGTTTTCTTTCCCCAATGATCCACCAATCTCAGTAAGGAAAGGCTTGCAGAAAATTAAAATACAACCTGAGAACACAAGATGTACTGCTTCATGTAGAGGCATCCCAAGATTGCTCTCGCCTCACAGTCTTCTTTCCATATCACACTGACTACTTTATCTCCAGACAGGTGAACACAAATCTGTGCTGGCCTGAAGCCCACAAGCCAGACTTCCCTGCTCTGCTCAGACTCAAACGTTTGTGCTATCTGAAGCTACACAGCTTCCATATGAGTCAGAGCACTGCAGGACTTTCCTGGATTTCCCTGCACCATCCCATGAAAATATATAGGTATTTTCCTGACTAAGGATGAGCTTATGAGAGTGTGCTGTATGACTCATTCACTGTTGCTCACTGAGTCTTCCTGTTCTCCTTCCTTCATTTTGTAACTTCATTCTCATGCTGTTGATCACAAGGTTTGTGACTAGTGAATGTTATGTACCAGACCTTCTGCAACTTCACTTATTGATAAAGCCAAGAAACTTTGAATCAGCATTTCCGTGACCAATCTAGGGTCATCTTAAATCAGCAACAGAGTCAGCAGTTGCCTGAGGCAGCAAAACAAGCCACTAACAAGTTGTCAATGGCCTTAGTGCTTACGTACTCAGCCCTGTTTTCTTCACTTGTTTTCACTCCAACTGTTCATATTCTTCCACTTGGATTAGTGAGTGGGAACTGTGAGCAGAGCAAAATGCTATCGAGCTCATTAGTGCTTCCCAATGGCATGCAACCTTGAGGAGGCAATAAGGAAAATTCCTGCAGTCTGTTGCTTGTTGTCATTGGCTGGATTCCAATGAACTTGTCATCCAGGGGAAGGCTCACTGTCCTCGGGCAAGGGGCTTTTCTGGGACCTGGCAGGGACCCAATCCATGTGAGGAAGAAAGGCAAATTGACATCTTTCCCTAGGAAATAATTTTGTCCTTTTCCTTGAGTGGCAAAATTCATTTTTTTCCAGAGGCTTGAGGCAGCTTTGGACTAATTTAAAAACCCTCTCAGGGTTCTAGGACAAACTAAGAAACACAACAGTTTTCCCATGTATTCAAACTGCTGTCCTATTTTTAATGAGTTTTGGACTCTTACATGAGAACAGAAAATTACACAGAGCTTTAACGTAGAGGACATGCTTCTATTTAAATTAAAGACAAACAACTATGCTTTAAAGGGAACATAAAATATTAAGTAAAATTGCTCATGAGTTATGATTCTCTTGAGAATAAAAAGCCAAAGTATGCAAGCATGACTTTCCTATTTTTTAAACTAAGGAGCTTATGGGCATCTTTTCTATCTCAAGGCATCATCTATCCAATTAAATAAACAAAAATACTCAGGCATCTTCTTTTTCTTTTTCAGGAATTAGAAGAATTAATAAGAACAAAGGAAAAAGAAGTAGAAAATGTGGAACAGAGCGGTCTGTCTTTGATACAGAACAAGAAGGAAGAAGTCTCTTCTGCTGTTATGAAAACACTGCAAGAAATTAACCATTCCTGGGCCAATTTGGATCATATGGTAAAAGAATCATCAAGAAGCAAATTATAGCCCCAGGAACAGGGCATGGAGGAGAGGGAGAATTAGCAGTTTGCAACTCGTGGATTTCTTCTGTACTGAAGGGGAACAGATTGTGAATTGTGTCCCTCTTTCCATCCCCATACGCTCTTTACACTCCCCATAAAATGGATGTAGTATTTCCTATTTCAAGGGTGTTTTTAATTCTTGGATTTTGGAACATTTTAGGTGCTTCCTGATATTTAATGGAAAGGCACCAAATGATCTGTAAGGAACTACCTTCGCAAGGACACAGGTCTCGCAGAATAAAGAAGAGATTGGCGTTAATTGTTATCATCCAACACTTGATAACATCAGTCCGCTTTCTCAGGATGAACGCAGTCTCTGCTAACTTTCATAGCCTGACTTGCCTGCCTTAGGAACACGTGTTTGACAGTCTTAGACAATTTCTCTAGATCTGGCTTTGGACCAAAGTAGAATGGACTTGATACCTTCTCAGTCCCTGCCATCCTAGCTTTATAAAATCAAGCAGAACTTTATGCTGTGCCCAGTGTAAGCCTATCTGATTGCTGTGAAAAATCTTCATTCTCCAACAAGTCTGAACTTAGGGATGTAGATCAAGTAGTATTAGAGATCAAAAGGAAGGAAATAATTTAAACAAAACCCAAAGATCTTGAATGCTTTTCATTTACTTTTTTTTTTTCTTCCTTCCTCCTAGGTTAGCCAGCTGAAGATATTGTTGCAATCTGTTCTTGATCAGTGGAGCATTTACAAGGTGGCTTATGAAGAACTGAACAGTTACCTGACAGAAGCCAGATACTCTTTGTCCCGGTTTTATCTTCTTACTGGTTCTTTGGAAGCAGTGAAAGTCCAAGTTGATAGCCTTCAGGTGAAAACAAAATCATGCCTCTTGATATACTAAGGATGGATTTAAGGATTAATTTTTTTCTCATTGCACAGATGTATATAACTATACATTTTGGTTCATAAGAGATGGAAGTACAGACATACTGGCACATTAAAATCCTGTGAAATTATCAAATAGTCATCGCATTTTTCATTTTGCAGAAAAATGAAATGGTGATAGTTGGTATTGGTTTTAGATTTTTGATGCTGCTGTCCTTTAATTTTTAAGCCATATTGTTAAATCGTTAAAAGTTTTTAAATCATGCTGGTGAGCATTAAAACTAAAGTTTCTTACTGTGCTTTGTCAGGCTTCTGAGCTACTGACACATTGAGATCATACTTTAAACCTGCTCCCCCACCTCAACCCTGTGGTTGCAGTAAATTTGAAGATCAAAGAAAATAGTGTTCCAAAAGCTGAGATACTTCTGAGCTGTTCATGTTGTTTTCCACTGTAAGAAAAGCATAAAATGCAATGAGATTCCTGTTATAAAATTATTATTAATGGAAATAAATTAATATAAATTATTAAATTAAAATTTATTAAAGGTATTGTTCTATTACATAGAAGAGCCTTTTATTTCAAAGAAAGTTATTGTCTTTGCAATCAAAAATAAATATGCAAACCTTTCCAGATGCTTAAAGCAACAACTTGCGTGGATACTATTTGCCAGCAAATTTAAGTTTACATTATCATTTAAATATTTTGTGCAATTTGAAGTCCAGATAGATATAAAGCTAAATGCCCTAAGCATGAACAGCACTTTCCAAGCCATGATTTAAAGAGCATCCATTAATGCACTTTACATCCACTCTTCAATGTTTTCATTTTTTTATATGTCAGAGGAGGAAGCAAAACAATAGTTACAGAAAATTAGGTTTTTTGCTTATTAAGTTTTTGATTATACTGTTTAATCAGGTTGATTTGCTGGGCTGTTCAAACTGTATTAATATGCATAAAAATATTTAACGTTAACAAAAAAAAAAGTGCATTTTCCCTGCCAGCTCTATTTCAGACTGATAAATGAAAGAGCAAGAATCTTATTTTGTGCTGTTACTTTTTCATCTTGTTCTAAACAGGCAAATATAATTTAATTTAATTTTTTCCAAGTTTTAATGTTAAAAGCAGTTCCATGCATTATTCCTTCTCTGCAAGAGTACTTGTTTAGAATAATTTCTTTTACAAGATTTTTGTATTTTTAGAAGATATTAGGTTAAATTTACTTTTTGCTACACTTTGATAGGCAATATCTCAAATAAATCTAATAACAATCTTCATATTTAACAACCTTCTATTTAGATGAAACATGCATGTATTCAAGTTTTGCCATCTTAACCCGTATGATGTAAATGATATATAGTATTTTGAAATGTTTCTGCATCATGCAACTATAAATCTCATGTATCTTAATTTTTATTATTATTCTATCTGTTTTAGAGCCTACAAGAAGAATTGGAAAAGCAAGAAAACAGCTTACAGAAATTTGGTTCTGTGACCAATCAACTGTTGAAAGAGTGTCACCCACCAGTGACTGAAACACTTACCAACACTTTGAAAGAAGTGAATATGAGGTAGAAAATGTCTGTGTGTCAAGCTTTACTTTCAGTGGTAAATTGGCATTTATCCACTGACTCAGTTTTCCATAATTTTTATTTTTGTTATATTTTATTCTTCCATGCATGGCTACCAACCAAGTTTAATAAATACCATGCTGGAAAATAATACTGCATTTAACATGTGAGAATCCTGTCTGAAATGTTTATTTGGTATGTGTGCACCAGATTCCCCAGATTTTAGGTTGCTATTTCTAGTTGTAGGAAGGGCATGATATCAACAAGGTCTAAGCCTTCACCAGTAGCTTGGCAAACAGCTTCCCCAACTTTGGAACCAGGCCAGAACCAGTGTAAGGGTTTACTCAGAGAAGCTGCAGAAAGGCAGGATCCAAAAACAAAAACTAGTTTGGTGGAAAATTTGGGGATTTTATGAAAACACAATCATGCCAAATTCATTTTTATCTGTGGTCCGTCCTGTCCTAGAATCCAGAAGGGGAGGAAGGGATTATTCACTCCATTTCAGAAAAAGATACTGTAGGATTTAACAGTTTCAATGATAACTGATGGACTTTTCATATCACCATTTTTATCATATAATAATAATTGAAAAATACTGTGCTTTCCTTTAGTGAGGAAATAATGAAGCAATTTGATAAATACCAGAACATTTGAGAGAGCGCATATTTCTGGTTGCTATTAGAGCCAAGAATTCAAAGGGGGATTCTATATTTAAATGAATAATAAAATTATAAGGACTTTTATTGGGTCTGGGATTATTTCAGAAGGGAGTTACACAGTGCTTTATGACTTTAAATATTCTGTTGGGGTTTGGGAAGAAATTACAGCAAAAGAAATGATTTCTTTTTTACACCTGTTTTGAGCCTCTTAGACCTTGCAGGAATCTGGTACTGCTAACTGGTTGTTGGTCATGGATGCTCTGTGCAGTGAACCAAAGTGTGCTAAGTGGAAATAACAGGAGGTTCACTTCAGAAAGTGCACTCCAGCTCTGACCTCAAGTATTAATATACAGCATCCAAGATGTAGCAGAGTTCAGACCTGCTGTGACAAGTCAGAACAGCCCGTGAACATATTTCTTGGATTCCTCTCCCCCCTCCCTGTCTCATCAAATGTCTTGATCTTGATTATTACCAAATTTCTTAAAAGTCCATGGAAAACAGCAGATAGGAAGAGGGGAAGGGATAGTTTGTATGGACTCCCAGGCTTCAATCATTCATCCGATCTCCTCACCAGGTGGAACAACCTTCTACAGGAGATTGCAGAGCGGCTGCGTGCCAGTAAGGGCCTCCTACAGCTGTGGCAGAGGTACAAGGACTGTTACCAGCAGTGCTCTTCCACACTCCGTCAGCGGGAAGACCAGACCAATGAACTCCTGAAGACTGCCACCAGTAAAGACATTGCTGATGATGAAGTTACTACTTGGATCCGGGACTGTAATGTATGTTCAGTTAAGCTTTGCAGTTTTTTACAGTTCTGTGGGCTAAAAATCTCAAGAGGGTCTCCATTACTGAGCTTTATAATTGGTGTATTGGAAACTTGCATAGAAACACATTTCTTGTTACTGATACCTCTCAGGGACAGGAGAGACAGCTTTATGTCTGCTACCCAAATATCATGAGTTTCTCAGACTTTTCATGTGACCCCTCTGTCACTTGTAGCGGTGTTCCAGAAGTCTCTGTCTGAAGTCATCTCTCTGAACAAGGTGGATAAATTCTATCGCTTGATTAATTCTTAAATCCCTGCTTACCAAAGGATGTTTTCCTTAGGAAAATATCTCTACCAAATCTATTGAGTACCTTATTATAGAAAGAAACACAAGATCCTACGACTATATTCCCACCAATCAAGGCTTTTCAGTTTTTCTGAATGAAGAGAGACTGTGAATTCTCTGGGAATGTGTTTATCCTTCCTTATGGAAGGACACCATTCAGCGTGAAACCTTGAGATTCTTCTTTTTTCAAGACTGCATCTCAAGACAGCAAGATATTTTATCTCCTATCTGTGGTTATATTTTGATTCTTTAGAGTTTAAATTAATGTTTAGTGTCATTGATGAAAAAAATTAAAATGTTAATTTCTTAGTGTAAGCAAAACAATTGCAAGGAGAAAAATGAAAACATTAATGAGCTCTTTGAGCATTTGCTGCCATAATCATATAGACTGGCAATTCGAATAAAAGTTATGCCTTTTACAAAAGTTACTTTTTCATCTCTCCTGATAATTCATATCAGGAATTAAAAGAGAGGTCTAGTCAAACCTGAATTGACCCACAGTGAGGAATGCCACTGCTTAGGACCAGCATGTCAGTAGATTCAAAAGGTTTGTTTCTGCAAGTCTCGCATCATCAGTATCTCAGGCTCGCTCAAAAGTACCTGAGCAGTCCCTTCTTTCTGTTCCTCTGTGTACAGGTAAATATTTTTTTTTTCTGCCCATCATTGGGAAGACCTACAGAGGGACCTAGATAGATTGGATCACTGGGCCAAGATCAACGGCATGAGTTTCAACAAGGGCAAGTGCAAGGTCCTGCACTTGGGCCACAACAACCCCATGCAGCGCTACAGGCTGGGGGAAGTGTGGCTGGAGAGCTGCCTGGAGGAAAGAGACCTGGGGGTTCTAATCGACAAGCGGCTGAATATGAGCCAGCAGTGTGCCCAGGTGGCCAAGAAAGCCAATGGCATTCTGGCTTGTATCAAAAATAGTGTGACCAGCAGAAGTAGGGAGGTGATTATGCCCCTGTACTCAGCACTGTGAAGCCACACCTCGAGTATTGTGTCCAGTTTTGGGCACCTCAATACAAGAGAGATATCGAGGTGCTGGAGCGAGTGCAGAGGAGGGCAACGAAACTAGTGAAGGGCCTAGAAGACAAATCATATGAAGAGCGGCTGAAGGAGCTGGGGCTGTTCAGTATGAGGAAGAGGAGGCTGAGGGGAGACCTCATCACTCTCTACAACTACTTGAAAGGACACTGTAGAGAGGTTGGGGCTGGTCTCTTCTCACAGGTAATTAACAATAGAACGAGAGGGAACGGCTTCAAGCTCCAACAGGGTAGGTTTAGATTGAACATTAGGAAGGAATTCTTCACAGAGAGAGTGGTTGGGCATTGGAATAGGCTGCCCAGGGAGGTGGTTGAGTCACCATCCCTGGCTGTGTTTAAGGGACGTTTAGATGGGGTACTGAGGGATATGGTGTAGGGGAGGACTTTGTAGAGTAGGGTAGATGGTTGGACTCGATGATCCCAAGGGTCTCTTCCAACCTCAATGATTCAATGATTCTATGATTCTATGATTTCCTTTTCATACAGAGAGTATATGGACACTTGTGCATTGAAATTCAGTACTAAATATAGTGATGGAGTTTGGTCATTTTGTTCTTCCTTTAAACCAGGGGAGGATGACATCAGCAGAGTGACGGGTTAATTCTTCATATCTTTATTCAATGTGTTGCCACAGGATGTGCTCACGGATTTGAAGACAGCACAGGAGTCACTGGTGGTTCTTCAAGAACTGGGTGAGGAGCTGAAAAGCCAGGTGGAGGCTTCAGCAGCAGCAGCTATACAGTCTGAACATCTTTCTCTGAACCAGAATCTGTCAACCCTAGAACAAGCTCTCCGTAAGCAACAGGCTGTGCTTCAGGTATGCCGAGAATGCTTCCAGTCCTTGAACGTGATCATCCTGTGGTACCTGAAAACATATAAATTAGTTAAAAAACTGCCTGGGAAAAGAGGATAGTGTCACCCGTTGCTCAGCATTTCCTGGAAGCCAGAGTTGAGAGCAGAAAATATTCTCAAGTCCAGCATAGAGATCTTGTAAGAAGGTCCAAATTCTGGGAAGAGGTAAGAAACCTCATGGAGGAAAGTGTCCATCTGGAATCCCAAGGGCACCATGCTTTCTACAAACAGCAATAGTGCTAACAGCTGGATCCACAGCTGCTGCTCCCCTGAAGACAACCTCTCTTCTCAGCTAAATCTTTAGCAGTAAAAAAAAATGAGACATTCTGATTTTTACAGTTCCTGTTAACGTCAGTGACCAGACTGACACCTACCACTTGTGTCAAAGCCTGTTCAGCAGATGTTGCTAATTGCTTGTGTCACCAGGGAGTAACGAGCAAAAAGGGGGTGGGCAGAATGTGTTCCATAGGAAAGTATATGGGTGACAAAGCAACAAAAGTAGTGGCTTCTATTTGGGTGACAAGAGGAATTACCCAAGAAATCCAGCGTTGTCTAGAATGTGATTATAACATCACTGTTCTGTGAGGAGACAAAATGTAAGAGAAGTTTTCCATTTTAAATTGCACTAATAGCAATTAGTGTTTCTCTCTGCTGACAATAGATTAAGCAGAGGAGTTAGTTCATAGAAGGAAGTTGCAGAAGGTTACCTATTTCAAGGCAAGGAGATATTTACGTACTTTGTTGAAGTGGTGCCTTTTTGCTATGATCAATAATCCTCTGTTCTAACTTAAAAAAAAGCCCAATAATTCCATAGTCTGTGAGCAAAGTAGCAGTTACAATTGCTCCTAGTCTATTCAGCTGTTTACAAATCTGTAATGAGAATAGCCAGGAGTGTAATCTCAATATGGATGCTATGTGGCTGAAGTTCTTATGCTGTGGGTCCTTTTCTATTCAAGGCTGGAGTGCTGGACTATCAAACCTTTGCCAAGAACCTGCAAGTCCTTGAGGCCTGGATAACAGAAGCAGAAGAAATATTGAAAGGACAGGATCCCAGTCACTCATCTGATCTCTCAGCAATACAGAGTAGAATGGAGGAACTCAAGGTGACTAATAAATGCAGAAAGTGTTGAATTATTTTTTTTTTTCTGTTAGCCTGGTTATTTGTAGTACAGGGTATGCACAAACATCATACATGTATTCTATACATATTAAAATGGTATTTAGTGTAGGGATGAAGTCATCTATTCTTTTTGAGTATCTTGATATACTGAAGAAACATGCATACTGTGTATTGCATGGTCTCAATTTGAACTCTTTCACTCTTTCTTTTCATGGGGTTTTTTTTTACCCTCTTCTTCCTTCAAGGTTGATGGACTTTGCCATCTAGGTTGGTTTTGTCATTTTAAGCTTCCATTATTTTTCTATCGGGATTAAAATGTAATTGCACTTTGGGCATGCTGAAACCCAGGACATTTTCCTATCATAGTGAATTGGATATTTCTGTATGCAAAACAAAAGCGCAAAAAATAAAAAGCTGAATAAGTTCAATGGGAATTTGCCAGCCTAGCATTCAGGCTAAGAAAAAAAAAAGAAACAGGCTCCCTTTTTTGGCAAAATAATCATATGGCTTCAAACGCTAGCCTACTTTTGCAGCTCTGAGTGGTAAATCCCCAGTTCAGCAAAAGACTTCAGTGCAATTTGAGTTTACTTCTCTGCGCACGTTTAAGCATGACCATAAGTCTTGTCCTGATCTGACACCAGAGGCTGAAGACTAGAAATGCAATTTTTCCCTGGCATAGGGATTGCTTGCCACTTGGTGGCAACCAAGGCCTCTCCAAATTAAACTGAGTGCTAGTTCATAATTTTGCAGTGTATAACAGCGTATTTACTGAACTTTCTGGTTACCACTTTTACTGTTTTTTGCAGAGTCAGATGTTGAAGTTCAGCAGTATGAGCCCAGATTTGGACCGTCTTAATGAGCTGGGTTATAGGCTCCCTCTGAATGATAAAGAAATCAAGAGGATGCAGAACCTGAACAGACATTGGTCTCTGATCTCATCTCAGACTACGGAGAGGTTCAGGTGGGGATAGTTAAAGATTGTTGTATAGTTTTCTTAGATTACAGCAGCTAGAAAGTATACCCTTTGCAGAATGTAGAAAACATTTTAGATATCTCATTAACTAAAGTCCCTTTCCTTCGGTATAATTATAAATAAAAAGTGAAGCCAGTGAGCTGAGATGATAGTTTTGCCACAAATTAACAGAACTTGAAATGAGGAACACTGCTACTTTTCAAAGTGTTGACTAGATAAATTGAATGAGGCAGCTGAGTGGGAAAAGTGTTACCATCCGAATTGGAATTCTGCTGGGAAAGTTATTGCAAGACCCTTAACACTGTGTGTGAGAGGAGGAGACCTTACCTGAATCCATCTTTCTTTCTTTCTTTCTTTCTTTCAGTAAGCTGCAGTCTTTCTTGCTGCAGCAGCAGACCTTTTTGGAGAAATGTGAGACTTGGATGGATTTATTAGTTCAGACTGAGCAGAAGCTGGCGGCAGAGATTTCAGGAAACTACCAGAGCCTTTTAGAACAACAGAGAGTACATGAGGCAAGTCATCATGTGTATTTATACAGAACTACAACACGTACTATTTATACATAAATGGAATGCACATTCTTTTGTGGAGTAATATAATAGTATGCCTTGAATTGAATTACGTTTGCCTGCACCATCTGAGGATATCTTAAAAACACAAGTGTACAAATATGTCAATAATACCCAGTTTGGGGAGAACTTGATTATCTGTCTACATTTGTGTATAATGTGTCAGCATGCCTAGGAGTGCTTGTCCCCTACAGATTGGTTTGTATTACTACTTCAGATTTGTAAATCAGAGTTTTTATTGGTCTTCCCATAGAGCCTAACTACTCTCATGCTATTTGGCCCCTTGTCTTCAGTTCTAACTGGAGAAAATGTCTGTGTTTTCAGTTTATTCTGATTTTGTTTTTTGTTATTAAATTACCAACGTAAATAGCATCTGAAGACCATGTTAAAGGAAGACTTTTTTGTCAAATACTGAGTTATATAACTCATCATGGGACCTCCATTTGGTAACATTTTCTTGGAGAACAAACTGATTTGATCCTCACTGCGTGCTGGAATCATTTGTCTGTTTGTAACAAATCAAGAGCAGCCCAGCTTTTGCTGCAGGGAAAAACTGATTCAGAGTTTTTACTAGAGGATGCCTTTATGATTCTTCAGTGAAGTCACGTGATGCACATTTTTTTTTCTCCACCCATATTGTTACTGCCAAGAATTCTGGTAAAGATCAAGTAAGATAAGTCAAATTTCATACCAAAGCTCCCATGCGGCTACAGTAGTTTCAGTTCCCACAACTTTTTCAGCTGACCTACCCATAGACTCGGGCCAGATCATAGGGAGAGTCATGTCCTTCCCCTCTCACAGCATAGTGTTTGCATGAATGTCTGATAGCAGCAAGTAATTCACAACCATTTTTCCTTGCTTTAGCATACATTTGTTTTAGCATTTAACTGCCTTTGCTTTCATAGACATCATCCATTTCATTTCCTCTTGCTGCTGCCAGCATTAACTGGACAGTGTCTTTGTAAGTTGAGACATCTCAGGTCATTGAGATTTGAATGTCCAGAAATCATTGCTGTCTAAGTGGATAACTTCCTACTGTTGTGTCCAGTCATAGCTATAATTTTTTGAAAGAAGTTTATGGCAATCTTCTTGCTTACAATTGCTTTGAGATCTCCTGAAATCTTAATCTGAGCAGTCAGTTCAGATATGTGTTACTAAGGGACTCTGAAGCTTTTTTTATTACAGCTATAAAGTTATGTTTCAGAATTTAGTGAACTAATATCTGATTTTCTAAATACTGCAATTCATCCTAAGAAAATATTGCAAACAGCATTTGGCTTTTTGGCTTTTTATATATTCTAAATGTCAATGTTCTTTGCAGTGCCTCCTGATACTCATGAAGAATTTTCTTTCCACTCCTTGTAGCTGAAAGGGTCAAATCTAAACTTCTTGAGATTAATTTCCAGATTCTTTTGCTTTTTATTTTTGAAGATAATGACGAAATACTTTGTTTCCACATATATTCCCAGAATGGATACTGAAATTCCTCCAGCTCAGTTACCAGCTTTCCAGTGCTGACTCACAACTTTGCTGGGGTTTATTCAAAGAGGACCCCAGCTACCTCAGTGGCCTTATTTAGAAATAACTTCCTACCAAAATTTACAAACCAGCAACATGGAGGTGATACCTTTTTCAAATATCGTACACTAACACTGGCATCTGCATCTGACAAGTCTGTCAGGACAATCTTTTAGTCATTCTGGCACAATTCTCCAGATATCCTAAGCCTGGTATTTTGCTTGGGACTCCCGTGCAGTGGGAATGCACTGAGACAAGCGTTTGAGAAAGTGCTGGCAGAGGAAGGGGAAGTTCTTTGCCAACACAATTACTGAAATTTTTGCAGTGTGCTGGTATTGTGCCTTCCAGAATTTGCCCTCCTTCCCTCCTCTTTTGGATTTCGATTTCTGTGATTTCTGTGATTTACATATGGGAAGAAATAGGAGTGGCAAGTGGTCCCACACTACAGAGTTGTTCTCTTCTGTACAGAGGCAGTGTACGTGAGGAGTGCCAATGGATATTGACAGAAATGTCTGCTTTTGGGTAGGGCTTGAATACCTCCACTCTAAGCTCTGTTCCTCATGCTTGGCAAGCTTTTGTTTCACCTGTCCCCTTACAAAATATTAAAATTGTCACTTCTAGGGGGGCTTCCTTTGTTGGTTTTTTTTTAGCCAGTTGTATTTTGTTTAGTCTCAATCTGCCAACAGATGGTAGATGCTGTTGCCTCCTGTGCTTCATACATGCCACTTAACTTGACAGAAATAGATGAGACAGGAAGTAAAATTCCTGCCTCCTTGCTCAGCTTTCTGAAATTCTCTCTTGTGGTTTCATTCATGAGATAATAGAGCAATTAGTTTCCCTATGGTTCAGACTCAGTCATTCATAAGAGCCAAGGTATTCAAAGAACACTATCAAATAGTTCTGCAAGGAAATTAGGTAACACTGTTTCTTTCTATGGGAAAATTTATGACCTGTGTAAAATGTTCAAAATTAATTTAGTGATCCAGAGAGTCAAAATGTTATTTTGAAAAATTAGTCCATCGTCTTGAAGTCCTAAGCTACATACAGGGTGCTTGAGAGATTTAATTATGCAGGTCCCAGCAGGTATTTTGCTGGCAGTTGCAGATGCAGGGACTGGTACATCACAATTTGAGCTGGTGAAAAGCCATATAACAGAGGTGTAATCTTGATTCAGGGAATAGTGGCTCTCAGTTGAGGCAAGGGTGAACTATTAAGTGTAAACACCACCACTAACAAAATTTAAAAAAAATCTTAAGCTTCATACCAGCATATGTTCTCTCTTAATCTGGTGCACCTGCATCAACATAAGAATATTTCTGAACAACCTTATCTAGAGACATGGTCCATTAGTAAAAGAAAAGACGTTTTTAAAAATAAATGCAAGTGGTATATATTTAAGTAATTTTTGCTTAAGTAGTACTGAGGTAATTTTTTGTCTAAAATAGTATTTAAGGAATAAGGGTTTTTAAAGTATTGTGAAAGTTGATTGTGACTGATGGGGAAAACTGGAAAATAAATTGGAAAAATTGGAAGAAGTAGAAAATTCACTTCTAGCATGGCTGACCATTTCTTTTAAAGTTCTGTTGGCAGTGTAAAATTGTATTAAAAATTTTATAACACTATCACTAACAATCTGTGCATAAATTCAGTTTAACAAGGCAAAAGACTATAATATTCTTCAATACTCCAGAAAATGAAAAGTGCCTCTTCGGTCCATGCAATAAATACCCTATCTGAATTTTCTTTTAAGTTACAGTGCCCATCACACTATTGTACTCAGAGACAGAAAACCTAGCTCCTGTTGATATTGTTTAGCTTTTGCTTTTTTTTTTTTTTTTCAAATCTCAAGCAACTAATAATAATTACTAGGAGCAGCAAAGAACTCCAGCAGTGAGATTTTTTTTAAAGTGTTTCTATTTAAGCTAATGACAAAAGTCCTATTGAATTAATTTGAAATGAAATTAAACACATGAAAATTCATTTTTACCAGTGCATACAGATAGAATTAAAATGTAAGATCTTGTTTTAACATCCTTGTTTCCTGTGCAACAGCTCTTCCAGGCAGAGATGTTCAGCCGCCAGCAAATTTTGCATTCGATTATCTCTGATGGGCAGCACCTCATAGAACAAGGACAGGTGGATGACAGGTAGACATTCCTGTGTTATTGCTGTTTATGTCACATAATACTTAGGCTAGTGAGGGACTTCCAAACAGAGAAGGTGACAAACGTCGCTGTTAGATCATGCTCTTCTGAGGTAGCAGTTACTATTGCCATGATTAAGCTATTAAATAGCCAGATCTTACCTAAGACAGCGTTCTGGAGTTTGTGAATGTGTGCATGCATGTGGGAATATGACAGTTTAAGGCTGCTTCTCTGACAAAGGTTTGTCTTGGATTATCAAGCATGTTACATGTTTGTCTATTTTGATGTACTTTCAAAATGTCACTTTCACCAAAGGAGCCTGCAGTGACCGGTTTAGTGAGTTACATTTGATTTGTGCCAGCTGGGGACTTGCCTCTACCAAGAGGATTCCCTACTGCCATTTAAGAACACCTGCAGCATAAATGTGGTGGAACAGGAATTCATCGCTGTCTGAGATTTTATTTTAAACACTTGTGATCAAATGAATGAAAATCATTGAAACACCAGTGGTTTTACACTTGTGCATATGCATTGAATTTGCTAAGGGTATCACGGTGCTAATATGAGATTAAATGTTTACTGGGATGTGAGAATCTTGTTAACACTGTGTATATCTTATGCCTGCTTTGACCTCAGTAGTAAATCTGTGGGAGAATCATGAAATTTCCATTATTTGCTATGAATTTGGCTAATCCAAACTGGCAGAGCCTGTGAGTTTTCTTTACATAGTTCTGGGGAGGAGGTAGAAGAGTTTTGTGTGATCAGAGCCCTTTGATTCTCCCAGTACGTGAAGTATGATGTTCTCATCCTCAGCAAGCTATCGTGAGACTTCAGTGCTATTCTCCTAGTGTTTCATAATTGACAGCCAGAAAACATCTTCCCTTTCCCTTCAGTTTATTTCATTCAACAAATAGATCTAAGTACGGAGATTGTCCTGTGGCTTTATTTCTTTATCAATTTATAATAGGGATGAATTTAATCTGAAGCTGACTCTTCTAAGCAATCAATGGCAAGGAGTAATTCGCCGGGCACAGCAGAGAAGGGGGATCATTGACAGCCAGATTCACCAGTGGCAACGCTACAGGGAGATGGCAGAGAAGCTGCGCAAGTGGCTGGTGGAAATATCCTGTCAGCCAGTGAGTGGGCTGGGCGATGTTCCCATACCATTACAGCAAGCCAGAGCGCTACTGGATGAAGTGCAGGTATGTCCAGTGCATTTGGAGAAAGAGGAAAAAATCCCCACCTTTTTTACAGCCTTTACCATTTAAAACATTCTTAAAAATGTATTCGATTCAAACTATCCACTTTGCAGAAAGCAGTACTGGATGTTAGTTCTTTGGACCTGGCATAGCCTCAAAAGCAGCAGTGTGATGGAGAGTTGGGGTTCATAAATAACACGCAACAAAGAACTTGTCTCTCCCTAGATCCTTGTTTGCTTCTGGTTTTGCTTTGTACATAACGTCGTACTGAAACTGTCTTGAAAAAAACCCATGATGTCCTGTTTGTGGAATATATTCTAGCTAACAAAGGATTCCTTGAGTGTCCATCTTCATGTGAGGTTAACAGTATCTATTTAGCAACTTGGTGTCTTCAAGCTTTTTGGCTGGAAGATACATATAATGATAAAGCTCATAAGCATAATAGACTATAGAGGAACTATTGCTCTTTAAGAGCAGTTGAGAAACTGATCTTAGCGGGGAGAGAGAAATCTTTCCTGTCTTTAGAAAATTTCTCCGAGGAGATAAAGTACTGCTGCAGTAAATGATTGTGAAAAAGTTAGGGTAAAGCATTTGGGAAATAGCTTACACTTAAATCAAGGAAAGTTAGGGTAAAGCATTTGGGAAATAGCTTACACTTAAACCAAGGTATGCAGTCATATGCAGTCAATTAAAGTATGGATGTAAGAATGAATTACACTGAATTGCTAACTGTAATTAAAAAGACAAACCTGTCAGAAAACTGTTAATATTTTCAGCTTAAAGAGAAAATTCTCCTAAGGCAGCAAGGGAGTTACATCCTGACTGTGGAAGCTGGGAAGCAACTGCTGCTCTCTGCTGACAGCGGAGCTGAGGCAGACCTGCAGGCAGAGCTCACGGAAATTCAAGAGCGCTGGATGGCAGCTAGCACCCAACTGGAGCAACAAAAGAAACAACTTGCTTTACTGCTGAAAGTAAGTATGTGATTCCTTCTGTATTTATTCAGCAAGTTCATGGTTTCTCGCTGTGAACCTTGTTGGAAAAAGAAAAAAAACAAAAAAGGGGTTCTCAAGGGATAAGCACAAATACAGGTGTGGTGTATACACCACGTGAGCTCACAGTGTCATTTCACCACCCCTGAAACTAGGAGGGGTAATACTTCACAGTAGGCTTCTATGTGAGTTGATAAAATTTTAATTGATATTTTCAGAACACTGCCAATAAAGGATATTCCTACCAGTCCTATTTTCAACACAAAGCAAAAATGTATTGTATTTTGCACAATGCTGGTTAATTTTTATACATACAGTATTGAAAATTTGACCTACCTATTCCCTCCACATGCCATGTTAAGAACTATCTAGCAATGTAGTAATCTGTGTTTCCTCCCAGTGTTTTGAGTATGTTCTAGTTTAGATAAACTTGTTGGAGAAGCGAGCCTTGAACTTTATTTTGATGTAAGCAATGTCCAGAATGACTGCTAACCTCACTTAAAGTCTGAAGATGATAGGCTGGAATTTAAATTTTCGTCTGTTTGTTTTTCCCTTTTATTCATTCTAGGAAGGAAAATTGGAGTTGTGTATATTAATAGAACAGGACAAGTGCTTTTAGAATAGTTTCAGAGGTCTAGTAGAATTACAGAATTACAGACACTTTTGTTTGTAAATGGCAAGAGGTAAGGCAGTGCAATAAAATGAAATATTATTTTGGAAAAATTCAGACAAGTAAATTTTTCTTCCTATTTCAGGCCTTGTTCCTTGTACCTCAGCTTCTAGTGGGGGAATTATGTCAGGAAATTTCAGTCATGAAAGCTATTATCTAGGAAGACTAAAAGTTCTATGGTATTTTGTCTCAATGAAAATATGGAAGCTAATGCTTGAAAGTGAGGAAGTAGGTGTAAATTACCATGCAAATTGCAAAAAATGTCTCATAGATATCAAGCCTTCATTACATTATGTTGTCTTGGTCTTAAATACATGACTTTTTAGTGGCCTTCTGACCAAATGGGAAGTACAAGTGTATATTCTACAAGAGTATGTGTTGCATTAAGAGCATCACAGACTATTGTAACGTAAGGTTGTATTACTTACTAAGAAGAGAAGACAGAAGACACTAGAGAGGTTATTTTGCAAGACCTGTTGTTTGTAATTCTCCATCCTAAACACAAGCGTGAAATGCTGGCATAGATTGGAAAAAACAATGGGAGAGAAAGGCAGCAGTTGAAGGAGAATAGAAGACTAAGAGAAACAAGTTCCTTATTTTCTGGTACCACACAACTGGCATTCTTTATGCGTTGACTGGCTTATTGGAGATCTTTCTGTTTGTGAGTACCTTTTTAATAGGATTTAACAAGCAGGTGAGGCAAGTAAAACCATACTGTCACATGCTGATTGGTATGGTTTGATTGCATTGGACACATTTAAAATTTTGGAAAACATAGAACCGCTAAAGCTGGGGATAGCTGCTAGAATCCTAATTTAGATGAGATACTGCAGGTATTTCAATCTGACTTGAATTTGCAGTACCCCCAACAACTTTTTTTTTTTTTTTTTTTTTTGGAGTTTTATGCACCTGAAGGGAGTTTTCAGACACCTTTCTGATGAATGAATTTGTATACATAAAATTTTTCAAAATCCCTGAGAAAAAGCAGGAGAATATTTATACTACTCATCTGGTAATTTAACGCTGCTGTTACCACATTCTTTCCTTAATAGCTCTTCATGACAGGACAATTCCTTCAGGGTGGCTATTGGGTCTCTTGGGGAATTAGGACAATGGGGCCCTGGCTCTTATGTGACTCATTTGCTTTGAACATGTTAAATAATAAAAGACAAACATAAGAAGCATGTATTGGAAGCAAAATTTTAAGATGATTGGGAGCCTCGAAGATGCTGATACATGCATTTCCCTCTCCAATCAACCAGTTCTGCCCATCAGCTCAGGAAGGCGCCAGAGTCCCACCTCCTTTGCTGGGGTCTCTCACACACCTCACACACCCCTCCGTGCAGAGGTTGCTTGTCTCTAGTTATTTGTCCTGCTCTTGTTAACACCGCAGGGTCCACTCACTATCTGGCCTTAAAAGGCTACAGCTGTAGCTTGAGAAAATCATTTCTAGTCAGCTCTTTTAATAATTAATTCCAACATTCACCCTTAAAACGTGCAATGAAGAGAAACCATACACAGGGGGCAACATTCATCTGCCAAAAAAGGAATATTGCAGACTACATTTTTTTTTTCTTTCTTTTCCTTTCTTGATATTGAGAATGATAATAAAATTCCCCACATCTGTATTCTCACACCTCAGGAAAATAATGTTTTCCTAAATGTATCTGACTTGTAGACTATGGATATTGAAATGTGTGCTTCTGCAGTGGGGGGATGAGGGGCGAAGCCTTGGCAAGAGAATCCAAACCACTTTTCTGATTTGTTCTTTATTAGTTATATTTTGATTTTTTCAGCAATCTAAGTTTTATCTTTCTTCTGTTCACAATGTATCTCCCAGCAGCCATGCATCTGGTTTGGAAACAAAAATATATTTCAAGGGTAGCTCCTTCCTGTCAGGATGTAACAAATACCTGTTATGCTACACAGTATGGTCCCTTATGTATCACATATACAATAGCTATACGTGCAGTAAGTCTGCTAAGTGCACTATCATACAGCACACTGCTGTTCAGACACGTTGCATTAGTAAGGACTGACCTAATTTCAAAGCTACCACACAACATCAAATGGTTATATCAAACATTACCTCCTAACAGTATTAGAGTAGCTATGTTTTACCTGGCTGCTTATTAATTTCAAAGCCAGACTATCAAGTACTAAGATGAACCGAGTTAATTAGTGCCATTAATCCAACATTTTATAAAGCACATTTCAGGTGCAGAAGGCTAAAGGGACCTGACTATACTGTTTAAGTTTTCATTGTATAATCCAATTAAGAAGTTCCAAGAACAAAGGAGATTTTTCACTTTCATGTAATGTTGAGGGTTTTTTTGGTCAAAAAAGCTGATTCAAGATATTTTGTTTTCCAATTACACATGCCTCTAGAACAGCTTCAGTGGAACACACAGTAGTAGGGGTACTTTGCGTGCTGAGGTTAAAAGCTGTCCACTGTCTATAATCACAAATACTTTTTTCACATAATTAATAATTACCTCCTAGAAAAGCACATTTAAAGCACCTTTAAAAGCACCTGCAAAACTGTGCCACTTGGTTTAAACAAAATAAATAAATAAATCACCATCAGAAAGTTTCACTGATGCTGCCTGCACTGCCAGCCTTTAACAGACTCTTGCTCCTATGCAGAGCTTTCAACAAACCGAGATAATTTTTTGTCTACTCTCATGCTGTTTGACTTACAAGTTGTTCTGAGTAGTGGTGGACCTTCGGGTAGTGGACCTTTTGGGAACCTAAGGGTTTCCCAAAGAAGAGATAGCAGAGGGCTGTTCACAAAGGAACACACCTTAGAAGCAAGACTCCTTCTTCATCCCTAGAAGTTCACGCCTTAATTTCTCTAAGACGAAGCAAAGAGAAGCACGGAGGATATCCACCATCCTACTCCCTTTTTACCCCTCTGACAGCCCCTCCTCGGCAGAAAAACGTCCCCCCGGGGAGTACGGACACCCAATTTTGGCGTCTTCGGGGCACCGCTGGATTAGCGTCAGGGCGGCTAATTAACGGCGAAGTTGGGACCATTTCTGAATGAACTTTCCAGCGAGAGCGCCCGCAAGCCCCGCGGGGGGGATGCGTGAGGGGTTCCCGCCGGCGGCCGTCCGTCCCTACCTTGAGAAGCCTGACGGAGGGGAGGAAGGCGGCATGGCACAGCTTCCGGATGGTCCAGTTGAGCGGCCGGGGAGCGTCGGTCTGATTCATGACCCCTCCGCGGGGAGAGCCGCCGACGACGACGACCTGTCAGCACCGACCGCCGGGACCGCCCGCCGGGGCGCGGGCATCCCACGCGCGATCCGCCCGCCGTGCCGCAGGGCAGAGGGGTGGGCTGGGCTGGGCTGGGACCGCCGATCCGCCTGGAGAAAGCAGCCTCCTCCCGCCTGGGGACGGCAGCGCTCATGCATACCAAATGCGGCGGGATGGAGGCGATCGGGGCAGGCTGCGCCGCCTGGGCGGGAAGGGGCAGCCCGCATAAAAAGGCAGGCTGCGGCGGGAGACGGTGGTGGTGATGCTGATGCTGATGCTGCTCCCCCTCTCTCCCTCCTGCCCTCCTCACGGAGCCGCCGCGTTAGCCGCTCCCCGGCCAGGGGAGCCATCCGCCCAGCGCTCCTCCGCTTCCCCCGGCCACCAGCCGGGCAGAAAAGGAGGTAATTTAAATAAAGCCAGCGGAGGGGCACCTGCACTTTCTTTCCCAAAGCATTGCGAAGAGAGGGGAGCCGGCATGAGGGGAGGGGCCAACGCTCAGGCAGCAGAGATTGAGAGGGGGGGAGAAAAATTAATTCACTCTCGATTTACTGACATAATGGACCTGGAAAGCATAGTTTCATTGATCGGGCATAGCGGCAAGCGGCGGCGGTTAGAAGCTCTACTATAAGAGTATGGGCGTTAACATGTCCATTCTGGCAAAAAACCAAAAGCCCGCCAAGCTCAGAATTCAGCTAATTTTAATATTAAACCTGTGTGCAGAATATTTCGTCTGAAGACTTGCAAACACATGAAGTAGTAGTGCTGGGGCAATCCAAGTGCAGCAAAGCATGTTTCCATTATGGGGCAACTCAAGTACCGCAAAGCACGTTTCCATTATGGGGCACTATCTGCCTTTCCCAGCTAATGAATGGTATTCTTAAAGCCAACTCTCCCGCTAAAGGAGACATACCTCCCTTTCCCCACTATGTTTTTGGCAGGGGTGAAGACTACAAGAGGGAAGAGTTAGAAAGTGCAAAAGCAAACATCTTGTAAAGCTATAGGAATTTTTTATTTCGCCAGTAATTATCAGGTTTTACTCAGATTATGGAGGAAAACA